GCTCCCCCATACGAGTGTGACGTTATTTATGGACGACCCGTAACGGGGATAGGGTGCGATCAAAACAAAAATCCTAGAAACATTAACATGCGTAACCTAGGTAATCAATTGAATCAGAGCTACACCTGTTTATTTAAAAGAAAAATAGTTTAAAAAAAGGAAAACAATGTTAAGTGTTTGTGCTGGGGGGGGGGGGAATGTGACGTTTTTTTAAAAGGTCGAGGAGTGCCCGAAGATTTGTGTTGATGCGTAATGATGGGGATGGGGGAGCCGTTTAGTTGTGTAGGTTCACATAAGACACAATATCTCATTTAAAAAGTCGGTAAACCTCGTCAAGCCGTTTAGCTGTGCAGGTTTACTAGTGACAAAATATCTCATTTAAAAGGTTAATGAACCCGTGTGGCACCGTTCAGTCATACAGGTTTACATGAGATAAAATATCTCATTTAAACAGGTTAATAAACCTGTGTCACACCGTTTAGCTGTGGAGATTTCCATGAGTCAGCTCAGCAGCTAAAAACCCCAGTCTAACATGCCGCGCTACGTTTTCTTTTCAAATCTCGCGCCGTAACGTAGGTATTCACGCGATTCGCAAAGTGTGCAATGTGCAGGAGAGATAGGGCGGATTGGTACATTGCTCTTTTTCTTTTTTCATAATTTTAACAAAGAGAGGCGAAAAACAATATCTAGACGGGTGCCAGTCTAGGTCTATCGGGGGAGTAATGGTGTGTGGGGGGGGGGGGGGGGGGGGGGGAGGGGGGGAATGGGAGTAACACATCATAAACAGATAACATATTTCGTGTCTTTTGTGTTTCATCGTTGGGTGTGTTCGAGAACAAAAACAATGACAGCGCATGACTGTTGCTTTTATTATAAAGCTAGGGCTAGGCCCTATGAGTAAATAATAATGACAATGTTGTTTGCAAGGAAGAATTATTTTCTAGATAGAATTGTAATTTTTTTTTCTTATATTTTAAAACTTGAGCGTGTCTTTAACATATAATAATGATTATAATAGTAATAACATGACCAATACACGTACACCAGTAGGCCTACAGTCTTGTCATTTACTGATAGAATTTTTTTCTAGAGCGTAGGCTATAGACCTACATCCTTACAATCTATCACTATCATGCAATTAGTTTATTTTAGACTCCCCCCCCCCAGAACCCCCCAACGAAGAAAGTCTGAAATAGAAAAAAGATATTCTTTATATTAAAAAAAAAAAATTTTAAACCCGTCTACACTAAGTGCCTCGCCCCCCCCCCCCCCCAAACCTTTCAAGCGCCCCCCAGAGATAATGTTTTAAAGAAACACTGCACGCAATCGACATGTTTTCATTACCAATACGTTATAAATCTAGTCAAATAGATCATACACTATTAACTTGTAGTGTAAATGGCATAACTATTAAGGCTAGGTAGTGTTTAGAATGTTTCATTTTCAAAGCTATGCCTATCAACAACAACAAAGGCGTACTCAAAATGTTGTTCTTATTTGTTTTTGCTTAATCAGCTTCTATATAAATATACGAACATGTCAAGCCAGATTTTCACAATTTTTTAGATATTTGCATTAGCCAGCCATTACAATATTATTAACAAGTAGGCCAATTTATGTTGACAACTAGGTTTATCAACCAAAGTGGGTCACTCGCGATGTTTTTAATTGAAGTGTTCGCGTTTTTAGCGTGTATGTATGTAGGCTGTTGTGACCACTGGATTAATAACTGGCCCGCCTTCCCTCACCCTCCGGTGAATCATACACCAGCCTCGAGTGGAGTGAAGTGTCTGTGCTAAGTAGGCTAATTTATGTTTTAGGGGCGAGAAGGTGAAGCACACTTTCAAGAGGAATACGGTTATAGTTTACATCTAAATGTAAAGTAACATACAAGAAAATGTCTCTCTAGCATATTTAAAAGGAGGGTATACAATTAACGGCACGCTTTATAGTGTGTTACCGTCTTGTAGATTTGAGGAATCACCATAAGCCGGCGTTAGCAACGTTTATAAATAGACTTGCCTTCTGCTGTAAAAACGCTCCGCCTCTTTTCATACCGCTGTTTGCGCAATTAAAAATAGCATCACTATGGCCTACCATTTAGGCCTAGGCTCGTTATTTATTTAGTGGCCACTGGATCTACTTTTGCTATGTTTGTATCATTAAATTATTTTATCTCAGCGCTTATGTTTTGAATAAATTAAAATAAAACGTGTAGTATTGACAAAGAACTACCACTACCACACCTCAAAAAGTCAAATTGTATGAGCACGGCAATTTGGATAATTTATTTCTTAGTGGGACTATTCACCACATAGAATCTAATTCATTGCATCTACAGTTCTCTCCAATAGAATCTAGATCTAGTAAATATCAGAAAACATTAATGTACGACAGTCCTCGTCTAAAGGGCCTACTTTATTCCTTGATCTAGATAAATCTAACTCTAGGCCAAGTCAACAAAATATGTTTAGAGAAAATGCCTACAGTAATATTATTTTCTATTTTTAGAACTACCCACAACATAATATAGCCATTCATAATTAGGGTTTATGGAGTGCTTAGGTTGTTGTCCCTTTCTTGAAGTAATCTGATACCCAATTTATAATTAAAGCACTGTGGGATTAACTCATAAACACTATGCAAACCTAGGCCTACCACACGCGGAGTTCCCCCGACATTGTGATTAAACGGGCCTATGTCGCATTGCAGATCCCAGTCGTCCAATCGCGATCGTCGTTACAAATCAGTAACGGTGAAACATTTGGCGGGGAAGCTGAGTAGTCAAGAGACCGGTGTGCGAATAGATGCTAATTTCTTGAGAAGTAGTTCGTGATATACCATTCATTCCGTTTTGGAATTTCAAACATAAAGGATTATTCATTTCTTTTGATAGTTAAGTTTGGTCTTTACTGAAAATATTCATTTGTGAAGTATATTAGTATATTTCCTAGCCGGTGGATTGTTCATACTGCGCAGGAATTTTTAAGAGCGCCAAAGAGGAATTGTCGCGGATACGGAAGTGATTTTGTTGACTCACTGTTAGAGAAGGGCAGGATTACTGTTATACATTGAACACTAACACAATCCGAAATGGTAAGTGCTTGTAAATGACCATCCTACACATTCTATAAAAATATTATTAGTATACGTATGTATATGGTAAATGATGCTTATTATTTTCTCAGTCACCGGCGTTTGTACGTTGAAAAATCTCTTGTAAATATGTGCCGGTATAGCTGTAGTTACTAAAGTAATTTTACACATTATAACAGTGTGGAAAATGGGCACTAGCTCATATCTTGTCTCGATCTAAATCTAGATGTCGAGTCTAACATTTTCAATCTATTAGATATCTTATTATTTGTATTGCTTGTCTTTTCTTAAAGGTAGTGTTTCATTTTTAAATCGGTCAAACAAAAATGCAAGCTATTCTAATCCGGATAGGTATCCATGGTGATGGTTACTAACAGAACTGTAGTTAAATTTTAAGATTAAAAATATAGACTAAGTCGTTGTTCATTGTAAGTTACACAAAGTGAGTTTATAGATCTACAGATCCTATTTTCAATTTGTCGGCTTCATTTATTCTTCTTTTCATGAAACAGTGGAATAGATGCAGATTCTAGATCTACTATTTGTGACTCCCATTCTTGGACCTGTCATTGAATTTGATTTGGCACTAAACTAGAATTGACTAATCTAGATCTAGAGTTTACATCTAGAATCTACTAAGATGAAAGAATTTGTAAATGTAGCTGAAAAGAGCTTATATTTGGCCACTGTAATTTAAAATGATGATTTACAGGTTTCAGGCTTTGAAAACTTCCCTGATAAAGGATATTTCTAGAATCTTGATTTTCTAGATCTAGATCATCTTTTATTTCACCATCATCACCCATTTTTGTCATGACAGTTCTTTATTCCAAGCTAATCTAGACCAAATCTTTTGAGTACAGTATCTGTCAGCTTGTAGGCTTCCAGATCTAAGTGTGTAAAGTGTAAGGTATTGGATACCATTTTAGATATTATATGCCTAGATCTAGAATCTATATGCTTCCTTGTTCATTTATTTTTGGAGTCTTGATGATTTTATTTTTCTGGGTTATTTTCCATTAGTGAACATAAGTGGTAGATAAATAATCTTAATCTAGAATCTACCATATTTACCATTTTGTCTTACTTTTAAACTTTCTGTTAATGTGCATTTGTTTCCTGCAAATTTTAAGACACTATTCTATTTGGGATTAAATGTATAAAATTGTGGAGGGGGGTCTAAGAACACTGTGCTACTAGATTCTAGATTTAGAAAATCTAGTAAAGAGAGCCTTGGAACAATACTGCAATCTTTTGTAATGTCATATTGCTGAAAAAATAATAATTTGTGCAGATCTAAAAAAAAAAAAAAAAAAATATGCCATGACCCCTTCAGCATGTTGTTTAGCCATATAGATCTATATCCATATATATATACACACACACACAAAGACACTGGGGATGCTGTTGTCAATTTTCCCTGGTTAGTGTTGCTGGCCTAACTAGTACATAACACCATGATCTTGTCCTATCAGTATTTTAACACATTAATTTTATTATTGAATTTTTAAAGACTATAGGGGATTGGGTCTTCTCTTGTAAATGTAGGTGTGTGTCTGGGCAATCTGAGGGTAGTTGTATAGTTCTCTGATATTGTATGTATTAGCATTTCCAGCACTGAGCTGCAGCTGGTTCTATTAGCTAGCACTGCCTACACATCTGTTCCCCATTTATGAAAATACAAAGAATATTTTATGACTAGACGTGGAGCATTTAATTCACCACTTTATAACTAATCTTGATTTATTTATTTTATTTTTAATTTAGATTAGATTTTCATCCTATCAGTTATTCCATCTGACACTTTGAAATATGTTGTAACATCTGCTATAGTGAATTTGCTTTTGCTTCTCTTTTCACTCAATATTACTTAAATAGCTTTTTCTTCCAGGCACTTCAATTCCTTTTTCTTTTCTTTTTTCTTTTATAGGCTGATCAATTGACAGAAGAGCAAATTGCAGGTAATTTTCTTTTTAAACATGTTGCATACTTAAAGACCTAACATTGCTAGGTATATTACTTTTAATGAATAGAATAGCCATTAGCACTGCTTAATATTTTTTTATTCCTTTGACTTGTTTCTGCATGTATTACATATTGTTATCTGTTTTTCAGAATTCAAAGAAGCTTTCAGTCTTTTTGATAAGGATGGCGACGGCACCATCACAACCAAAGAGTTGGGAACAGTCATGCGTTCTCTGGGGCAAAATCCAACAGAAGCTGAACTTCAAGACATGATCAATGAAGTTGATGCTGATGGTAATTTTATTTTTATCCCTTGTTAACAAAATATGACTATCATTATTAACTATTTAGGTATTGTTTAGGATGGATAAGTTTTTAATATTGTTTGTGTCACTATGCTTGCTATACATAACTTAAAAAACTACTTGCTTGTCCTCAGTCCAGTGTAGTTTTGCTAATATTTTCCAGACTTTTAACAAACTTCTTTTTCTTTCAGGTAACGGGACAATAGATTTTCCTGAGTTTCTCACTATGATGGCCAGAAAAATGAAAGACACTGACAGTGAGGAGGAAATTAGAGAAGCATTCCGTGTCTTTGATAAAGACGGCAATGGATTTATTAGTGCTGCTGAACTTCGACATGTTATGACAAATTTGGGTGAAAAATTAACAGATGAGGAAGTAGATGAAATGATTAGGGAGGCTGATATTGATGGTGATGGTCAAGTAAATTATGAAGGTATTGGGATGTTTTATTTTTAGATATTACTTAAATTTATCTATAAAGGGATAGTAGAAAAGAAAAACTTTTATTTCATAATTTGTTCTATTATATTTTTTTCTTCATATTTTGTACTTTTTTTTTCTTGCTGCTTATTTATATTTCATGGTTATTTTTATTCATTGTTCACAGAGTTCGTAACGATGATGACATCCAAGTAATGGTTTGAATGGTGTGTTAGCTTGTTCTTCATCTTCATTGTTTTCTACCACTGTCATCTGCACTTAGTGCGATCAAGAGCTCAAAACAACTGCTCCAAATGGTGATCTGGACCTTGACGTTGCAGCATGCCCGGGTGATGAATGGACTGATTGTAGACTGCAAACCAGTGTCATTTTCTTTTTCTTTGGATGTGTATGTGCATGAGACTGTAGATTGGGCTATGATTGGTGCAGTCATGACATTTTTACTTTGTCTGCTGATATTTATACATTATAAATGTCACATTGAACACAAGGTATTGGATGGTTGTTTTCAATTGTAATACATTTCCATTTTTACTGGCTTTCTGATAATTATTTTTTTATCCTTTTTTTTTTTAAAAAAGTTGGGATTATAATAATCTAAGCGTTCTTAACTTGAATTTGGCTAAGTTGCTTATCTGAATCAATTTGATCTGATGTGCGGGATGGGGTGGGGCTTAAAAACTTTAACCCTCTTTCAATAATTGTTTAGCATGTTTGTGTTTAGTCAGTGTGTATCTGGTCTATATAAGGATCTCATGTGAGTGTTAGTTTTCTGGTTTATATTAATTTCTGTGACAATTCATATCTTTCCCTTAATAAAAAAAAAATTATGCTGCACATTGCAACAAAGCAATTATCTTTGTGTGCTCTTAATTTAGGGCTTGTTTAATTGATCACACAAAGGGTTTGCACAACAGCACATTTCAAATTTTGAAGGTGCACACAAAAGAATGCCCTGTGTTGTGATATGCTTTATTACAGTTACAAGTAATAAAGTTGTCCATATTTTATTTTTAACTTCTTTTTTCTAAAAGTTGTAATTTGTATGTTGTTTTGGGACCATTACAAGATAGCTATAGAGAATTTTTGAGCAGGGTTAGAATTTCTTTTCAGTTGAACATTACTACAAGTATCTGTCACAGACATGAGGCTTATTTCCAGCCATCTTGTTCAATTCTGCTTTTAGTGACTATAGCTTCTGTAATGCCTGTTTTAATTTTTTTTAATATATACGACCTAAATAAAGTTACAGGTTTCTTTTATTCTGCCCAGTGTTTTGTTTCTTGCTTAACAGCTGTTGAAATTCCATTCCTGCTTAATTGCATATTGAAAAGAAATGTACAAAATGGCAATGATTTGGGTGGTCTTGTAACATTTTAAGAAATTTAAAGTTCTGAATTTTGTGTTTAGGTCTTTTTTTTCTCCCCTTACATTTTGCCTTTCTATAAACTACCTGAATTCTTTTCTCACTGCACTAAAAATTTTTATTGTTTGTATTTTCAAACAAACAACTTTGTAGATGAAAAATAAAATGTTATTGCTCTTAATTTTGTTGGTTAATGATTTTATTTTTGTGAACTGAAACTTCAGTGAATCCTTAGATGCCAAGGGTACAGTGAAACAATTTGCAATAACTAGATGTACATCATTTGTATAAACTTTGCAGTAGTATCTATATTATGGATTTTTACCTCCCTACTAATAAAATGGTGATGGACAATTTAGTGGGTTTATAACAATGGACATCTGTTATTCCAAACTACTAGCAGGATAGTGGTTGGGAGGATTCAGTGAGTGAGATACCATGAAACTGTTGAAACTTATAAAATTGAATGGGGTAGCAGAATATTGATACATTAGTTGTGGGCTAGACTGGTGAAAATAGAATGACACTTAATACAATGGGAAGGGCTTGTGCACGTGAAAACTTGTACTTTTATTGAAAAGTGCTGCATCTGTTCCTTCACCCAAAATCTTCATAAGCATTATAATCTCTTAAAACATTGGAATATGATACGATAAAATAAAGGTGTATGGTCTGACTGATGTTAAAATATGCATAACACAGTTTTAGATGACATTAAAGTTTAAACTCACGGCTCCTTTTTTTTTTATTAACCATGTTAGAAGCTAAATAAATAAAGCAACATAGCTTTTTACTGAATTCAGCATTCCAGCCTATAGCCTAAAAATAAAAAAAAGAGTATTGATGTATTCTGTTGATATTTTTTTCAATAAGAAAAAATTGCAAGCATCAGCCAGAATCTCGATGGTTATTAAAAGCCAGGTCAAAGGGGAATAACTAGTGTAATTACCGCGCATTTTGGGACGCAACTATTTACTTCCCATGTTTTGGATATTTTTTATTTATTTATTTTTTTTTTTTTTTAAATAACAGCGTTTAAAGCCGGCTTATACAATGACACGCTTTTTTATCAATTGGTACGCCAATTGCTCGCAGAGTAGGATTATAGGCCCTAAATGTTACATTTTTAGCCGTATATACAATAATTTCTTTCAACTTCTGCAAGGGGAAGTAACCACGTATTTATTATTTTGACGAAATTATTAATTGAGTTGTGTCTCCTAGAACGTAAAACTACGAAAATGAACATTTTAGCAATTCGTTGAGCCGTTGTCATAATGATAATTTTAAAAAATAGCTGAATTTTTTTTTTAAAGTTGAGATAATAACATATCAAAATGAAATAATGTGAAGTCATATTTTCTTAACAAGATCCCGACCCCTCCCCTTCGTTACTTAAGTCGTATCCCCTTCCTCAACACCCCTCTCTTTACATTTATAGATCTATTTTCCTTGATCGATTGGACAAAAACTGGGACAGAAATCCTATATTGACAAAAAATGTGTGTTCTTATTCATTGTAGATTTTTAACTTTTTCCATAATGGTATTAATTATTAATTATGTTAGGATACTTTTACACGTACAGTTATTCTACTAAAGGTAAACTGGAGTATCGCCTGCGATTTTAAACTTCATTATTGTTTAAAAGAAATCGAATAATTTTAAAAATTCATCTGTTTCTCTATAAGTTGGTACTTATCTTTAATTAAACAGATGCGTTTGTTATTGAATACCAGTTTCTAAATTAGTGGATTAGTAAATTAGATTCTAATCTATACTAATTATAGATAGAGGCCTAAATCTCACAAATCTCGAAGTATTAAGTTTGTGGCCCACAACCTAAAAAGTTTTTAGATCTAAATACTCTAAAAGTTGTGCTAATGTTTCTACAAATTCTATAATCTTATTTGATTTGGCGGCGTTTCTAAACAAATCTGGAAAAATACTGTATTTTGTGGCAATATTTTCTCGATTTTACTGGAAAGTTTAGAAAGGTGGAATGTCAACTAGTTGCTAGAGCATGCGTCATGATGTTACAGTTAGTTCAAAGGTCACCGGCCATGCGCACTGTTATCATAATAAATATTCCACCAATGAAACCACACGTGTGCTAAAAATAGACATCTAGAATTTGCCATGCTGTTCTTGTTTTTACCAGTTGTTTACATTCTAGATGCTCCCTTCTCGACTAGTATATAAAGGAATGAGGAACCACAGTGGGTAGAAAACTAAACACAAAGCGATCAAAGATAGAAGTCTACAAGTAACATTGGACAGCAAGCGAAAGCATAAACGTCTGTAACAACTTTGATTCAAATTCAACTCTTGCTCAAGCTTCAACTTATTTAAATTTATTTGTTATCAACTTCAAATTTTCCAGTTCTTGCGACTTAAACAACAACTGCGAAGTAAACTCAGTGGGTTTTTTTTAACGAAGAAATGTAAGTAAACAATTTTTTTTTCATTCTAAATTTAAAGCGTTCTTATCCCACAAGAACTCAATTTAATAAATTTAATTAGATGTAAATTTAGACTGCTAATTAAATTTTAAACTTAAATAAATTAACCTTAGAGTCTAGTCTTACTTACTACTAACTAAATTATTATAAATCAGTCTAACTAAACTAAGGAAGTCTAGATCTATTATACATTTACACTCAGTAGTAGATCTAGATCTAGTATAGAATTAAATTTCAGTTTTATTTTCCAAAGTACGAAATAATTAGAGAAAACAGTGAGAAACTAAGAGTAATTTATATTAGTATCTACTGTATAGGCCCTAAATAATTAAATTAAATAAACAATATGCCAATTATTATTCTAATTCTAATACCTACAAATTTCAAATTACTGTCAAATTATTCATATAAATAAATTCCAAAATAACTATTAGTACTTAAGCCTATTATATAGGCCTAATATAAATGTATTTAATCTCATCTCTTTTTATTTATAAAATAAAATATATTGTTTATATGTATTTAAACTTCATTTTTAACTCTAGATTACATATTTTGTTTTTTTTCTTATTTTACAGATGCCTAAAGGAGGTAACGCACCCGCTATTGGGATTGATCTGGGGACAACATACTCCTGCGTTGGTGTCTTCCAGCATGGGAAGGTGGAAATCATCGCCAACGATCAAGGTAACAGAACAACCCCAAGCTATGTTGCTTTCACAGACACTGAACGCCTGGTTGGAGATGCCGCCTTAAACCAGGCAGCTATGAATCCAAACAACACCATCTTCGATGCTAAACGTCTGATTGGTAGAAAGTTTGACGAAAGAACCGTGCAGAGTGATATGAAGCATTGGCCGTTTAAAGTTGTGGATGCGGGCGGAAAGCCAAAGATTCAAGCTGAATATAAAGGTGAGAAAAAAATGTTTGCACCTGAAGAAATCAGTTCTATGGTTTTGAGCAAGATGAAAGAGACAGCAGAGGCTTATCTGGGCCAGAAAGTCAAAGATGCCGTCATCACAGTCCCTGCTTATTTTAATGACTCACAAAGACAGGCCACAAAAGATGCTGGGGCCATCGCTGGGTTAAATGTTCTTAGAATAATAAACGAGCCAACTGCAGCTGCACTGGCCTATGGATTAGACAAGCGGCATAAAGGTGAAATGAATGTACTCATCTTTGACCTGGGAGGTGGCACATTTGATGTGAGTGTGCTGACCATTGATGAAGGTTCAATGTTTGAAGTGAAAGCCACTGCTGGTGATACTCACTTGGGTGGAGAAGATTTCGACAGCCGGATGGTGAACCATTTTGTGCAAGAGTTTAAGAGGAAATACGGCAAGGATATGAGCACAAACCCCAGGGCAATAAGACGTCTGCGCACCGCCTGTGAAAGAGCTAAAAGAACCTTATCCAGCAGCACTGAAGCTTCTATTGAAATTGATTCCTTGTTTGATGGCATTGATTTCTACACAAAAATCACAAGAGCAAGGTTTGAGGAGCTTTGCGGAGATTTATTCCGGTCTACCCTCGAACCTGTTGAGTCAGCTCTGAGAGATGCCAAGTTGGATAAGGGCAAAATACATGAGGTTGTCTTGGTAGGAGGCTCAACGCGCATCCCCAAGGTTCAGAAACTGTTGACTGACTTCTTCAATGGAAAAGAACTGAACAAATCTATTAACCCTGATGAGGCTGTGGCCTATGGTGCTGCAGTTCAAGCTGCTGTACTAACTGGAGACACAAGTGATACAATTAAAGATGTTTTGCTGGTCGATGTGGCTCCGTTGTCTCTGGGTATCGAGACAGCCGGAGGCGTCATGACCCCACTGGTCAAGCGAGGCACCACCATCCCAACCAAGACGTCCCAGATCTTCACCACTTACTCGGACAACCAACCAGGTGTGGATATACAGGTGTACGAAGGTGAACGTGCCATGACCAAAGACAACAACCACCTGGGCAAATTCCACCTGACCGGCATCCCACCTGCACCTCGGGGTGTACCGCAGATTGAAGTCACCTTTGACATTGACGCCAACGGCATTCTCAATGTCACCGCCCAGGACAAAAGCACGGGAAAATCCAGCAACATCACCATTAAAAATGACAAAGGTCGCCTTAGCCAGGCAGAGATTGACAGAATGTTGGCAGAGGCTGAAAGATACAAGGAAGAAGACAGGAAACAGCAGGAAAGGGTCAGCGCCAGAAATCAACTTGAGAGTTATGTGTTCAGTGTCAAGCAAGCTATTGAAGCTGCCGGTGACAAGCTTGCGTCTAAAGACAAAGACACAGTGCTCAACGCGTGCAGCGAGACATTGAAATGGCTAGACAATAACTCCCTGGCCGAGAAAGAGGAATATGAAGACAAGTTGAAGGAAATCCAAAAAACCTCATCATCCGTCATGGCTAAGCTGCATACACAAGGAGGAGGCAATCCAGGTGGACAGGGAGGATCTTCTGCCAGAGGGCAGTCACATGGTGGAGGACCAACCATTGAAGAGGTTGACTAACTTACCCATCTCAATTGTAATAATTTGTCCTCTTTTTGACTGGTCAATTCTGTGTAAAATATGTTTCATTTAAATTATTTTTAACATTTAGACTTGATTTCCAGTTCATGTTGCTGAGTTGTATCATTACAAGTTAAATTTTAGTTAACATTTTAAAATGTTTCATTCATAACCTAATGGATTTTAAATGTTTGTAGTTTTTAAATTAACTTCAGTTAAATATTTTGAACACGCTTGTTAAATGTTGCCTAGTTGTATTTTTCAAAATTCTGAATGAATGTTTAATATTTAATCTATTGAATATCTGCATTGTATAAGCCTATAGTAAACTGTTGCACTTTTAAGCAATGTTAAATTCTAATGTAATTTATTAATCAATTATGTATAGTAAATACTAAAGTATAGTTTAAGTTAATTTTTTAAACTGTTTTGCTTAATTGATAGTTTGGTAGTTAAAAACATAAAATGATCTGCTTTTTAAAAATTATTTTAAATATCTTGCAAATGATAGTTAGGCTACATATTATTATTGAAAAGTTTGATTTGACCCATTTGGTCATTCCTGTTATATATTCTTCTTCTTGTGGTTTTTTACGATGCTGTTAATAATTATTAAAATAGTTTAAAAATACAGATTGTCTTGTTGTTTAATTCATACCAAATATTTTGTGTTGTGATAATGCATTCAAAATGTTAAACCTGTTGATAATTGGTTTTTTTTTTTTTTTTTGGTACAAAAAACTAATCTTGTGTGGAATTACTGAATTATCAATGAATTACAGTACATTACTTACTTCATACTTGATGGTCTACAGAGTATTCATAGTAGAGTTCACTTTCCTTAACTAATCATAAAATTGGACAGTTTGGGCTGTTGAAAGTGAAAGCCTATCTGCACTATTATTAAAGTCAAGTACCCATCAGAGCTGGGTAGAATTGGAGATCCTAGATTGACCTACATCTATAGACTCATGTCATGGGTTGAATTGGAGATCCTAGATCTATAGACTCATGTCATGGGTTGAATTGAACTCGTGTCCAAAACCAAAATTTTACCACTCAATCAAGCTGCCCCTTTGGGTGAATAACGTCTCTGAAAATAAGCAAATTCAACCGATTTTTTTTTCAAATAATTTTGGCCATCCATGATCATTTATCTGGCCAGCAAAGTGGCTTTTTGCTGTATGTGCCAAGTAGGATTGAAGCCTGCCTTTAGAACTCCCAAAATGGCATAGCATTTTTCTTTATAGATCTAAACCAGGGGGGGGGGTGCGGACCGCACCGGGTGACACCAAGGCAAAAAATAGCAAAATATATAGAGAAAAACTTGAGGGGGGGGGGGGGTGCAAATCGAAAATTTGTCCTCGGGAAGGGTCGCTACGCCTCTGGGGGGGGGGGGGGTGACCCCATTAAGTGCCGCACCGGGTGACACCCGATCTCGCTACGCCTCTGATCTAAACGCTAAAGTCTACACACTCACTAGCAATATAAATATTGATTGAAAGAGTCGTGCATTGAATATAAGGTTTTAAGTCACTAGGAAAAGTGTTAATGAAATAAGGTATTCATACCAGTGATAGAAATGTTAACTCCCCCCCCCCCCTCACCCCCCCCCCCCCCCAGAGCAAACAAGTTTAGATGGCTATTAATCGCTACCTATTTTACACAGCTTAATTTTAATTCACAAAAAACGATGTCACATTTTATATGGACAAGATACGGTCTTTTATAAGGGTGGGGGGGGGGGGGTCAGAAAATGCTAAAAATTGAGTTTTGGTCATTTTTTTTCTCGTTAAAAATGCTTTAATTGTAAAAGTAGGCTATCATTATATCATTATGCTCAGTGTAGACCGAGCTTATTCAATATTTTATTAAGAGGTTACTGTTTAGGAAAACAAGGACTGCTGATTTGATTGAGCGGGGGGGGGGGAGGGAATTCTGACAGTGGAGCGTCACTAGTGCCATTTTGTGATGGGGTGGGAAGCGGCAAAAAGTGTTACGACGTTCATGGATGACTATAGACCAGTTTAAATACCTACGTACAGGAAGCTACCAATTCTAGAAGTACCTAAAGCATACGTGAAGTGATAGGGTTGAGCGAGGGAGAGCGCACTATATATAGGAACCTCAGGCTTACTCCCATTTAAACTGTTTGAGTCTGTAGCTCATCCGTATTTACGCTCTAGACCATTTGGTCAACATGGATTATTAATTTGGTCAGCAAGGATTATTAATTTGGCCAACATGGATTATTAATTTGGCCAACATGGATTATTAATTACCTCATCTGAGTTAGTCAAAGAGTCTGGGCTTTGTTTTATTTGCAGCCTACTAGAAGTGAACTTTTTATAAAAAATTTATCCCTATATTACCTGCCATATTAGGCCCAGGTCTATCTGCGACGAGGTGTTTGTTAGGGGGTGAGGGCTGATGCGGTTTGTAAACATCACCCCTACACCTGTCTACAAATGACCGACCAAGAGGTAAGGACCGTCCTCTTACAGTACTTAAGTAACCGATACGCACGACCTGCAGATATTGCACTTACCTATGGTCACGTGATGTACTGTTCCGTCAGGGCTTTTGTTTACGCAAATGATTTTTTTTTAAATAACCCTTTCTGTGCAATATTTAGATTCTAAATCCTCAATATAAAAAATTCATAAAAACCGTTTTAAAAACTAAAACATTTTAAATCCTTTTTTTTTTGCGTCAGACATGTATTTTACAGCGTCAGTTTGCCTAGCATGTTCGCTTTAGTATTACAGTTTCATCATCGGCTTGTAAGGACTGATACAGGTTTACAATAGTATTATTTCTTTCTTACTGTTAAATTCAAAATGTGTGTTTTCTAACTGGTAGAGCCAAATACTTCAAAATCAAATTCCCGTTGTAGAAGGTAGACTCAAGTTATGGTCCATGTACCAAATTAATGATTGTGTCCCAAATGAATTACCCCCCCCCTCACCTACAATCATACACACACACACACGAACGATTTTATTTTAATTTTTTTTCCTTTTTTTTTTTTTAGATTTGAAAAAATGAACAATTTTCATACTCACATGCATGTAACGAAGAAGACGCTGAATCTATGAATGTTGGTTCCCTTGAAACCATAGAGTACGGCAACTGTTTGCTTTGTTTTTTCATATTTTTTTCATGTTTTGCATTCATACATTTTTGTTACTAAGATTGTGGGTTGTAGACAGGGCGAGTGGAGGGTTGAGCAACACCCTTAGCGCCCCTCCCTTGAAGACTTATGTTAGATTTGTCCTATTGCAGTACTTAAGTAACCGATACATGCAGATTTTTTACTCCAGTGTTGGTCACGTGATGTACTGTTATGTATGTCTTTTTGTTTTTCATTGTTGTGGGGACAGGGGTGGGGAGAGGGGTGCAGAGTGGGGGTGGGGAGAGAGGGTGGGGTAGATGGGGTGGGGAGAGAGAGTGGGGTAGAAGGGCTGGGGAGAGGGGTGCGGAGTGGGGGTGGGGATGTTTAGAAATGTTTGTTACGTATGTCCTGAGCTGACACCGATGTCTAATAAATAATTTTTCTGGGGATTCAGAGATTCGTCAACAAATAAAATCAAAGGAGGCTGAAATAGGTGAGGCCGAATTGAGATATACCACAACCCCCCCCCCTACCTCCACCTTCGTCTGGCTGTGTGTATGGGGGGGGTGGGTTAACTAGCTCTAGGGAGTTTAACTGGGTGGGGGAGATTATCTGTTTGATGGGGAGGTTTAACTGTCTGGTGTGAGTTTAACAGTCTGTGAGTTTAATTGTCTGTCTGTGGTGAGTTTAATTGTCTGTCTGTGGTGAGTTTAATTGTCTGTCTGTGGTGAGTTTAATTGTCTGTCTGTGGTGAGTTTAATTGTCTGTCTGTGGTGAGTTTAATTGTCTGTCGGTGGTGAGTTTAATTGTCTGGATGAAACAAGGATAAAGGGTTTAGACTTGAATAATGTGAAGATTATTTTTAAACATAATTCATTTTTTAAAAAAAAAACAATTATTTGTAACGTTTTTTTATCTTTCAAAATCATTTGTTTTAATATATTAAAATGAACAGTTATCTATGTTTCTTTTAGGGACAGTAGCGTAGCGAGGGGGGGGGGGGGACATATGTCCCCGGGCGCCGACCTTAGTGGGTTGGAAAAATAAATAGAAAGGTTGAGGGGGGTGCAAATCGAAAGTTTGAGGGGGGGGGGGGGGGGGTTCAAATCAAAATCTCGAGGGGGGGTGCAAATAGAAAAGTTTGTCCCCGGGCGCCGGAAAGGGTCGCTACGCCTCTGTTTAGGGAGAGGAGAAGTTACGGGTGGGGGGGGGGGGTAATCTGGACCCCTTAAGCTCTGTCCCAACGTAAATGGCCTTGAGGCAGGGATCGTCCTCTTGCAGTACTTAAGTAACCGATACGCATGCCCCGAGGATACTGTACTCACCATGATCACGTGGTGTACTGCTACATGCACGCTTATTCTTTATACATGGGTGGGGGGGGGGGTAAATAAACGACGTTATTACTCACCTTTTCCCGCAAACACAACAGTACTTTAGCGCCCCTGTAGGTGTCGTTCACGTGTATACGATACCAGTCTCGCCACCGAGGCCTCGACAATGTGCAAGCTGAGATCTGTTTTGAGCGTCGAATCAACACGAAGGTGTCGCGACAAGGCAGAAAGTTGACGAATAAAGTTAACTAATGAAGTTAACGATAGGGTTGATAATGTGTATAAATAGGCGACAATTTCTAGCAGTAGTCATCGGCTGGGTGAATAGCTTAGCTCTACGACTATTGTGCAGACTGCAAACCTACAGAAAAATATTCTACGACTTTTGTGCATACAGCAGGCTTGATAACTTCATTAAGGTAAATTTGGCCATTTGTTGTTGTCTGTTAAGTTGGGCTTTTTCTGTTTAATTGCCAAAAATGTCTACCTTCTTTGTTAATTTTTCAGTTCTAATAATAATAACGACAAACATAGTGTTACGGATAGGTATTAATTTTTACAAATCCTTATCATAGTCATATAGGTATTTAAAGAGTAGATATAGACATGGATTTAGGTAAACATGGAATTCGGCATAATGATAACTAGGCTTATATAATTGTGAAGATATTTTGGAAATTAACATTTGTACGCAATTATTTATTAAATAAAATATGCAATCAAACATAAAATTAGGTATATAATTAGTTATACCACTAAAACAACGATGTGGAATATAGGTCTATTTCGAAAAAAAATGTCCCTTTGTATGCCGAGGTAACTGAAAAAGATAAACGCTACTAACTTCATCTGCCCCATGTGCCTTGAGAGATAACTTCATTGCGGGGTTAATTTATTTATTTAAACATTATCTTCGCCAAATACTATATAGGTGGAGTATAGGTCTATTTCGAAAAAAAATGTCCCTTTGTATGCCGAGGTAACTGAAAAAGATGAACTCTACTAACTTCATCTGTCCAGTGTGTCTTGAGAGATAACTTCATTGCAGGGTTAATTTATTTATTTAAACATTATTTTCGCCAAATACTTTTTATGTCTATGTGATTATCAATGTCGTGAAATGTCCACTGTTCTGTAGATGCGCTGGTTCCTGATCACAGTGCTGGTGGCGCTTGCGACCCAGTCGCTGCAGGCGGAGTTGGTGGACGCCGACGGGGTTCAGGCTGCCGTGGATGTCGATCGTCGTGTGCTTGGGGGTCTGCTGGACGGTGTGCTGGGAAATATCCTGGGTGGTGCTACTGGTGATAAGACAAGTGGTGGTCTCCTGGGTCTAGGGAATTTTGTAACCAGCTTGACAGGAGCTCTGGGCAAACTGGTCGGCAGCCTGGTAGGAAAGGGTGGTCTTTTAGAAGGGCTTGACAAGGGTCTGGTGGGTAGCCTGGTCAGCACGCTGGCGAAAAATTTCCCAATCAACGTGGTCATCCAGATCGTCGGCCAACTCCTGTGTGTCATTAAACAATTAGGGCTCCAGGTGGTCATTTATCTGCTCCAGAGCCTGAAAGTGGACGTTATGTTGTCTCTGAATACATTCCTCTGTACTGCTAACGGGTCCCGGTTGTTTGATGAAGTTAACGGCACGGCGAAGATTGAAGCGTCTGGATGCCTGCTCAACATTCTCAGCGATATTCTTCTAGACATCACATCAGTGCTGAGACTCATACTCAAACTAGATCTCGATCTGGGACTTAAAGAGATATGCGAAAACCCCGTCGGAGGATCCCTAGTGAAAGGAATTTTTAAGCTGTTGGGCAAGGTCTTGAACCCTGAATTGATAACGAAAATTTTAGCTATCCTAAAATCCGTTGATTTAAACAACCTACCCGGCTCAATAGAAAAGATAATTAAAAACATCGAATGCTTGCTCAAGTATTTTGGCGTGGGCGTAAAACTCACTTTTCTGCTAGATCTTCTTCAAGTTCTTGGTTTCAAGTTTGTCCTTGACGCCGAAGCCGTTTTCTGCAATGCGTCTGATGCTGACATAAAAGCCGAAGCCCTTCTGAAACTGAATCAAGCCATCGGAGAGCAAGCCACAGCCAAATGGATCGAACAAGCAGGGTTAGCTATCGTGCTTGAAATCATCATCAAGGTGTTAACGCAACTACGGGAGATCAGGCTGGAAGTGATCCGGGCCATCTTGTGTATGATGGTCAGCTTCGGCGTGGACCTTTTCATGGGGGTGTTCAGAAGTGTGGCCGTCTCCGTTTTGCTTCAGTTGTCTGGGCTCGTCTGCAGTAGTCTGGGAGAGCCGGTGATAGCCAGCGCAGACGCCAAAGTTCTGGCTGAACTCATTAAACTCTGCTCTGGTCCCTCTAGCCCTGAATGCTCGGCGTAAGTCGTTTATTGTCTTTATTTTTTTTCTTTAGTTGAGGTATAGTTAAAGAGAGGAAAAAAGCAACTATTAATGTGTGCATCTTAATTTGTCTCATTTTAAAAATGAGAATACTCTGAGTTAAAACTAAAGGTATTTCAGTTACATTGCCTAAAAATTAGTATAGAAGTTTTTTTGTTTGGATTTTCATTTTAGCCAAAGTATAATTATAGAGGGGGGAGCAGCAAATTAATGTATCATAATTTACCTAAATAAAGAAAAATAATATTTTGAGCTAAAATAACAGTTATTTCAGAAATTTCAGTTACATTGCCGAAAAAAAGTATAAAAAGTTTTTTGTTAGTATTTGTATTTTAGTCAATGTAGGCCTATATACTTGAAGATGAGGAAAAAAGCAACAATTTAAGTGTATTATAATTTTGAGCTACAATTGCAGTTATTTCAATTACACTGCTGAAAATTAGTATTAAACAAGTGTTTTTGTTAGGATTTTAAATTATGTATTGACTGCCTACGTATTATGCTAATTCTGATCTGTTCGCGTGGTATTTTCAGACAACTGAACTTCTCCTTCACCGCCACCGCCTGCGCTAAAGTCTGCGGCTACTGTGAGGGTATGGGGGAAGCTAGTCCACAAGTTTACGGCGCCTTCCGTGATGAATGCCTAGACAAGTGTAGCACCGAATGTCCTACCTTTGTTGGTTAGTGTTGACTGTTCCATACGCCTGTCAGGGTGGGGGTGGGGGGATAAGAACCAGTGGCGTCAACTGGTTGGGTGTCACCCGGTGTGGTAACTGAGGGTGTCACACCACCTCTTCGAATAATTTTGGATTTTTTCGCTTTGGTGTTACCCCACTCTCTATATTTTTTTTCGCTTTTTTTTTTTAATTTTTGACTGAGTGCGAGAGGCATCCCGCCCCCCACCCCCACACCCCACTACCGCCTTGTGACGTTACTGATGCGCTCTGTAAAAAAAATGTAAATATGACTGTATGTATGACCACTGAGTTGACACTTGATGTAAATATGACTGTATATATGACAACAAGTTGACCGTTATGACCAGTGAATTCTTTCCGTCAGGGTCTGCACCAGTGACAACTGAATCACCAGGAGCAGGTGGCCTCAGCAGTGGGCGTTAACCGAGTGGCCCCCACCCACACATGGCCCGTCACAGGCTTGGTGTAACAAAAAGTCTGACAAGGGCGAAATTTAAAGAAATAAAATGCTTGCAATTCTGAAAAGTTGTTATTGTTGGTATTTTTGTGTGGGGGTTTTTTTTTTTGTCCTTGTTGCTAATGGTGGACATTAAGTTGACATCAAGCTGGAATGAAGCTGATAAAATTTAACTTGAAATTGCCTTACATTGGACATGCAGTTCGCAGTAAAATATTAAGAAGTTAACAATTGACATGAAGTTTACATGAAGTTCACAATTGACATGAAGTTGGCGTGATGTTCATATAAAACTATTATGCAGTTCACCTGTCATATATAAAATTATTATGCAGCTGACATCAAATAGGCATGCAGTTGATTTGATTAGCATCATTCAGGCAGAAACAACTCAGATTGACGCGTGCCATGACCCAATGGTGTATGGATGACCATCCACTCAAGCATGGAAGGGGACCCGAGTGAGACGAGGGAGAAGACGGCTGGGGGACTGGGCTGGGTTGTCCGGTGTTGCATTAAAATCTTCTGCGTTATAACACCTGGGATAAGAAACTCGCAGTGTTTCTTTCAGGCATCTCTTCAAATCACGTGCAATGTTTTCCAGACTAGCAGGCCTCCAATGGTGAGGTAGGGTTGGATGTGGAGGAGGGCTGGTGGTTCTGATGGAGGCGCAAAAAAACTGCTAACCCAAAAGTTACGAGTTCCGATTTCGGACTAAATTTTCAGAGACCTCGGCATATGAAGGGATAGAGTGATTATTACTACGCCCATCTGCCTTTGTTTCCCGGACATGGGTGGAGTACTTATCAGAGCTGGGTGGGCTCACAATGTTCTACAAACTCGAGCCCGAATTTCGAACTCGAAACTTTCGGATTAGCAGTCAAAAGCTCTACCATTCGACCACATCGTCCTGTTATATTCTAAGCATACATAGCCGCCTCCTCCACCCCCCCCCCACTGGTATGTATTTTTAAAATATTTGCTCTATTTTATTAACAAAATATTACATACAAGCGGGGGTAGAAACGGCTGGGTATGAGGTTGACCAAACAATCCCACTGGGAAAGAAGCACAAGGCTATACAACATTGAGGCTGAACTACAATGACGGGCTACACCTGGAGTCAGGTTGAGAAAATAGTACAGAGGTCTCTTTGGCTGGTGGCCCGTACCCCAGCAGGACAGAGGACTCTGGAGATCTTTAGTTGGTGGCCCGTACCCCAGCAGGACAGAGGACTCTGGAGATCTTTGGTTGGTGGCCCATACCCCAGTAGGACAGAGGACTCTGGAGATCTTTTTTTGGTGGCCCGTACCCCAGCAGGACAGAGGACTCTGGAGATCTTTGGTTGTTGGCCCATACCCCATCAAGGGTTACGGGCAGTGCTGGTAATGAAACAATCCCTTCTGCCCTGGTCACTTTTTTTAAAATAAGGTAAACCCTACTTTATCTTCACAACGAACCATCGAATATGAAATAAAAACTACACATTATGCTAAATAATAAAAATCATTCAAAACGTATTGTCTATTGGTTCGTCGACAATGCTTGTAGGATAAAACTGCAACTTTTTAATTTAGAGCCCAACGTTTTCTAAAGTTTCTAAAGAAAGAAAACGTTTAATTTTGAAAACGTTTGGTGCCTTTCACAGCTTGTCATTATAAATAGGCCTATTGTGATGACGCAAGATTACGTCAGACATGTTTAGCAGATATAGGTTAGCAGAAACAGACTATAGGCCTAGTTGGTTGGGTAGAGAGGCCAATGGGCGCACAGGGCTGACCGGTCACGTGGGACGGTCAGCTGACCACTGAGGCGTGGGGCAGTAGAGAGATAGGCCAGCAGTTGATAGGTAGATAGCGAAGAGTAGAGAAGGTGTTAGGAAGCGGTTAGAGACGGTTGTAATTTGCAGAGCTAGAGAACAGTTAGTTAGTGTTAGGATTGGTCATGGGAGTGCGTAGTAGTAGGTAGCATGTGGTATGAACAGTCAGTAGTAGAAGTAAATAGTACAGTGTAGATCAGTTAGGTAGAAACTTGAACATATATATCATTTTAATAAAGAACAATTATAGTTGAACTTGAACTGTGTGTTGTTGGATTCATTCGTTCCCGCCTTCTTAAAATCCCCACCCTCACAACTGGTGGTAACCATCATCAAAACACCTGTACCCTCACAACTGCTGGAGCGCGGGTCGAGGACAGGAAAGACAGTGCATATAGTTTACTCATGACGGAGTGTACTGGTGTACAGCTTTCTTAACTCAACACAACAGCGTGTTCTTCAACCGGAACGAGTTTGGATTAACGACACAAGGGAACTGTCACCATGTTCAAAAAGATAAGTACCTTCCAACATTTTGTTTTTTTAAAAACGTTTGGGTTTAGAGCCGTGCTGGATATTTTGTACCAGCGGTTTTTCTGCCTCTTCTTATCTGTTTATTCAACCACACTACCCTTAAAAATGCCCCCATTAAACGAATCAGTCCCTAAAGAGTCAGGCCTAGAAGAGCCAGGTAGAATTGATGACTTGTTGCTATACACAAATGTTCAGAATACAGTTAAAATGGAACACAAAACAAGAACTATTGAGGATCCAGATATTCTGGATGAATTGATTATTAGGCTTGGACAATACACGACAACAGAAAATCGAGACTGGTTATTAACTGTTAAAGAATTTGACGTAAAAACTCTAGATGATCCAGATGCTATGGAAGATTTGATCAATAGAATTGTAGATTACAAGGTAACAGGAGATCCAGATTCCTTGTTGACTGAAGAAGAATATGATGCAAAGAAAGATGCCGAGTTAGCAGAGAAACAAAGAGAAGCAGAAACATATATTGCCGGAATTAAAGAAGAAACAGAAAGAATTCGTAAAGAAAGAGAAAAACTGAGAGAACTTAGCCAAGCCAAACAAGAAACGGTGCAAAGTTTAGATACTAATAAAAACAACCAGATAGCATATGCACCAACATATTACTATTCAGATGAATCATCCAGTGAAAGAAGCGAGAGATTTTCAAAAGAAAGCGATACAGCTCATTCAGTTCAATATAATACAAGAAACCACAACATACACATGTACTACAGTCAACCAGAAGACTATCACAGTGTCAGATGCTACTATTGTAATAGAACAGGCCACAAACAAATAAATTGCAGAATACGATATTATGATATACGCCAACAAGATGCACAACGCAACAGAACACAATATAGACAAATTAATAGAATAGCATTCATGTCATCGTTTACAGAAGCCAGTAGAAGAACAGACATATTTACATCAAAAGTCAATAACAGATACGCCACGTCTATTAGGGATACACTATGCTCCACAGTGGCAGTACGTAACACATTCGTACAACACCATCAATACACAGGCAGAACACAACGTGTTCACAGTTCAAGAGGCAGCACATATGATTGGCCAACAGGTATAGTCACCATAGCCACACCCTCAGCGTGTAAAACAGTTGAAGCAGTTGTTTTCAAAAACGGACCATACGATATGATATTAGGCAACATTACAGGAGTGAAGCAATTTAATGTAGAATTCATGAGTCACAAGCAACAAATAAACAAGCAGCCCAGTATTCGGGACAAAGAACAAGTAGACACAAAAGTAGACGAATTGCATTTCAAAACGGACAAGTTGATAGAAAAAGTTAACGAGGTTATTGATGATCATTCTAGAAAGACTACCGAGATTGGTGCAGATGTTCTTAACTTAGGGCTGCAGAACGACACAGCCAGTAATAGATTGCTGAGATTAGAGAAATCAGTAAACAATGAATCAGAGGAATATGTAACAAGGAATTTGATAGCAGACAAACAGTACGGTTACTCCTGGTCAGCCATAAACCAGATGACCCCATCAACACACCTACACAAACACAAGTATGGTAATCATAGACCATGTGAAAGTTCGCAACACAATGTCCACACCGAGCCCCGCCCTATCGGTCCTAGTGTGGTATATTAATGCCTGGATAGAATTTGACCCGGACCGTCCCCATAAATGATTTTGAACAACGGACAAAAGTGAAGTCAAGTCGAGTTTTTGTGTTGATCTAAGTAGTCGAAAAAATCGGCATGAAGTCGATATAGTTGAAGTCGAAGTCAGTGTAGTCAATCTGAAGTCAATTGAGTTATTGAAGTCAGTGAAGTAAATAGAGTCAGAACTGAAGTCAAAGAAGTTATTTGAAGTCAGTCAAGTCAGTCAATAAGTTGTTGAAGTCGTAGTTGAGGTCATAGTGACGTAGTTGAAGTCATGTTGCAGTCAAAGAAAAGTCTTTGAAGTTATATTACAGTCGTTGAGGTCATAGTGAAGAAGTGAAATCGTCAAAGTTATAGTGAAGTCTTTGAAGTCAAAGTGATGTCGTTGAAATCGTTGAAGTCAAAGTTAAAGTCTTTGAAGTCATATTGGAATTGTTGAAGTCAAAGTGAAGTCTTTGAAGTCATGTTGAAGTCTTTGAAATCAAAGTGAAGTTTTTTGAGGTCAAAATGAAGTCGTCGAAGTTTAAGTCAGTCATTGAAGTCCTTTAAGTTGAATTGAAGTCAAAGTCAGTCAGTGATGTCGTTGAAGTCGAATTAAAGTCAGTCAGTGAAACCAGTCGTCTAGGTCAAGTTAGTCGTCAAATTGAAGTAGTTGAAGTCGTCGAAGTAAAGTCAGTCGTCATAGTGAAGTCAGTGAAGTTACTGAAGTCCAAAGTGAAGTCAGTCGTTAATTTGAAGTCAGTCGAGTTACTGAAGTCAAAGTGAAATAAGTGAAGTTACTGAAGTCAAAAGTGAAGTCAGTCATTAAGTCAAGCCAGCCAGTTTTTGTCAAAAGTCAGATAGTGAGAGCTGCTCCACTATATGATTACGTATTCAAATGTTGATTTGAAACGGCACGATTAATTATACACACTTACATGTCTATTCTTTTTGTGAAGCTATTTCTAAGCTCTAGTAGTGTTTACGTCTATTGTGTTTATTAGGCTTTACAGATTGTTGTTAGATTAGAGTGTACTGATTTTTTATTTGGTTAATTTTGTAATGTTATATTTGTATGCTGTATGTACCGCCAGACAAATGTTCAGCACGTATAAATTTGGGATTGAGGTTTTTTTTAATGGAAGGTACCTCTGTCTGAATACTTGTCTGCGCGGGCACTAAGATAGTCACGTAAAACCATTGCTCATGGTCTCGTAATACAATTTTCAGACCCACTACGCTCATATTCAGAATGAGACGAGATGAAGCAAACACTTCAAAGAGTACCGCCACCTGAAGCCCTGAATACGTTGAATTACCTGGACAGCGAACAGCCCTGCCGAACGGAGAACTGCCCTGGTCAAGACAACGGACGCATCGCCACCGCTTCGCCCCCGCACTGGGGTTATCTAACAGGCCACCAGCGACGTTAACCTACGTCGGCACATACAAAGGGTAGAAGACCCATCGTCCAAGTTCCCAGCGACAGAATGTTACGTCATTGTTCACCAGCGCATCAGACAGCTCCAGTTCATCGTATAACCACTCTACGTGGACGTCTCAACCAGCGTTGAGATGAGATTGTTGCGTCATCACATTGACCAACGAAAGTTACGCCTACACCCGCCTCACGGGAACTTACGTAGACCAACGCCACAACCCACCCACCACAGATGAACGCCAATAATTACATAACACTTACACACACACACACTTACACTGCTCGTTGAGCCCGTTCAACCAGTTACACATTCTACTAAGATTAGCTCAAGGCCAGTACACGACAACCTAGCCAGAACTGAGTTTCACATGATTGAATTCACACATACCATAACATAGACATACATTAGCAAGCAGAGACACCAGTCACACCACAAGATTTCAGGAACTAGAACAATGACATTTCTTCCAAGAACACAGACACAAGATTTTATGTTTTTGTAAACTGTGCTGTCCCATTTTGTATTTGATTTACATGATTGATGTTAGGGATAGAATAGAGTAGTAAGATAGATAGTTGTTGATGTATTAGATTAGTAGCAGACGCTGAAAAATATAATTTGTCAGCTACAGAAAGGGAGGGAGATATGTGATGACGCAAGATTACGTCAGACATGTTTAGCAGATATAGGTTAGCAGAAACAGACTATAGGCCTAGTTGGTTGGTTAGAGAGGCCAATGGGCGCACAGGACTGACCGGTCACGTGGGACGGTCAGCTGACCACTGAGGCGTGGGGCAGTAGAGAGATAGGCCAGCAGTTGATAGGTAGATAGCGAAGAGTAGAGAAGGTGTTAGGAAGCGGTTAGAGACGGTTGTAATTTGCAGAGCTAGAGAACAGTTAGTTAGTGTTAGGATTGGTCATGGGAGTGCGTAGTAGTAGGTAGCATGTGGTATGAACAGTCAGTAGTAGAAGTAAATAGTACAGTGTAGATCAGTTAGGTAGAAACTTGAACATATATATCATTTTAATAAAGAACAATTATAGTTGAACTTGAACTGTGTGTTGTTGGATTCATTCGTTCCCGCCTTCTTAAAATCCCCACCCTCACAACTGGTGGTAACCATCATCAAAACACCTGTACCCTCACACCTATTGTTATGAATATATTAATTTTTTAAAATTATATTCACCTAATTTACACTGATATATTAATAGTGCGAAAACAGCGAACGAATTAACTAACACCAATTAAAATGTTCTGTCCAAAACATTTATTTGAGCAGACATACACAATATTCAAAACTCAGTCCAATATTTATTGACTCAAAACTCGGTCCAATATTTATTAACAATATTTATTGACAATTCAATTATTTTTCCATCTAATTTTACAAAGGCGTGTGCGGCCATTATGACCTTGTTAAGAGACATTTCTCTCTGGATGTGTTCATATTCACTGCTGTTCATCCTGCTAATATATTGTAAAAATAAAAATTGTGTTCGTTAAGTATGATAATAAAAATATTATTTCGTTTTAGCTTTTAATATTTGAATATTTGAAATATTGAATTTTTGTTTTCAATCTCACTGACATTACATCTACACATAATTATTTTTTTTTAGATAAGCAGCAAGGATATTTTGATTTTGAATTTTTTTTTGGTGTCACCCCCCCCCCCACCCCTAAATTATGTCACCCGTGTGGCTCGAACCCCGGGCCCACGCATTATGACGTTACTGAGTGCTCTACACATTTAAAACATCGAACATACTCCATGTTTACGGAAAAATGTTATGCTACTAAATGACGTCACTTTCGTAGGTTGGAGGGGGGTCCGTAATTTTGTGACGGTGTGTGATGAGGGGGAGGGGGTTCAGATGGTGCGACGTCACATTTTTGCATTATAAAAAAGCAATGTTAGAAAGCAAAGTTTATACGTTATTTCCCGTTTTAGAAAACTGTTTTAATAAATTGTAATAGAAATTCAATTAAGCTACTCTGTTTTGACAGAGTTCAGACAAGATTTTGGAAAAATATCGATGTTTAAAAAAAAATATTCAACTGCAATTTTGAGGTAGGGGGGTGTAGGCTGAGGTGTGACGTCATTTTAAGGGGGGGGGGGGGTCTGGCTTTTTTGTGACGGAGGGGAGGGTGGAGGTAACAATCGTCAAAAAAGCGTGACGTCATTTATGGATGACCCCTTAAAGTAAAAGTAAAGTTTCCCTTTCAACCCTGACGGTCTATGGAGCAAGTGAAGTAGAGTTTACTTGTTTCTGTGACCTCGACATATGATGACCCCTTAGTTCGATACAAATTAAAAACGTAAAACCTACTCCATATTTACGGAACAATTTGACTCAATTGAGTTCTATACAAATTTAAAATATGGAACACACTTTATGTTTACGAAACAATTTGACACTACTCAGTTCTATAAAAATTTAAAACTTGGAATCTACTTCATGTTTACGGGACAAAAATGTTAACTAACCGAGAAAGCGGGGACAAGTACTGCACTTGGCCAAGCAGAAGTTGGCAGCGAGCAGGTACCCACTGAAACCAGACAGTTGCTTGCAGGTCTTGCAGACGTCCTCACACGGATTCACGCTGAGCGCCATCTCAATTTGTCTGAAAAATTGAACACAGCTTTAAAGATCAAGTTGTTATTAAATCGCAAGCAGTAAATTGATTTTTTTTAAAGCTTTTTTATTTATTTTTTGTTTTTTTTTCTAAGAAAGTGAAAGCGTAATATTTTTTGTTGTTTAAATTATTGATTTTCGATTCCCGTTTTGATAACTAATGACATTTCAGCTCTGTGTATTTCTCTGATAAATAATTATGTTGGCATTTTGTTTTTTGGAATGTATATTTTCTATATGTTTATTTAAGTGAAAAAGGTTGAATGAGATGAGCATTTAAACAGAGTTTCTTTCAGATATATCTCGCGAGGGGCACACGTATAACCTACACCCCTCCCTTCCTTCCGGGCGAAATGAAAAATAAATAATTTAAGTATAAATGCATACTTTAACTAACCGGAAAATTTAAGTCCCCCCCCCTCCCACCCATCCCCCCATCCCCCGGAGAAAATTTCTGAAAAAAACCCTTGTATATATAACTGTAGCTTACGAGGAGCATTGAGCAGTCACTTGTCCTTTGCACATTTTCATAAAATCAACCAGGATGGTGGCCCCTGCGCTGAGTAGCACCGGCTCCCCCTGCTTGTTGCAGACGATGCCGGACAGTCCAAGAATCGCGCCGACGTTCAGGTTTCTAAACAGGTCGAGGAAAGCCTCGATGCCTAAACTGCTCACCATACACAACACAACTCGCAGGACCTCAAGACTGATCTCCCCTAGTTCCTTGAACACCTTGCCGGCGATCTCAACCACAGTGCCGAATCCCAGCTGTTTCGCCAACTTCCCCACCAGGTCGACCCCCACCGTAGCGTTCAGCTTCAGAAGAGCGCTAGCTTTAACGCTGGCGTCGGTCGCGTCGCAGAAATGAGTTTCAAGGCCTATGACGGCCTTGAGGCCAACGGCTCCAAGAACATCGACCAGGAAGTTTAGTTTTACGTCAGTGTTGAAGACTTTGGTCAAGCATTCAAGAGATTTTAGAATCTTCGGAACCGACACGGATAAGTCGCTTAGGTCGATAGCGTTGAGGAGGACGAGAATTTTTTTCGTTAATTCTGGGTTCAGGGTTTTACCGAAAAGCTGAAAAACTCCTTTAATTAGGGAACTCCCAGCCGGGCTTTTGCATTTTTCGTTAAGGCCTGATCCGGTTATACTAGCGAGGGAGGGGAGAAAGACATCCAAGCTAACGAGATTTTGGACTGTGTTTAGGAGACAGTCGCTCCCCGCGATCGTCGCTGTGGCGTTAACAGAAGCATCAAACAAACGGGACCCGTTGGCAGAACACAGGAAGTTATTCAGGGACAACGCCACATCCAGCTTGAGCGTCTTGACCAGCTGAACGACGACGCCGAGTCCCAGTTTTTTAATCAGACACAGGAGTTTCCCGATGATCTCGATGATCTCGCTCAAGTCAACGCCGAGGGTTTTCGAGAGCGTGTTCACCAGGTTACCAACAAGACCCTTTTCTAAGCCAAGCCCGGCTAAGATACCCCCCGGCCCCAGCAGTTGATCAGCTATAGGTCCGAGTAAATCATTTACAAGTTTACTAACGGGGTCGAGTAAACCACCGGCACCCCCACCTAATAACCCACCCAGCAGACCCCCATCTCCTAGCAACCCACCAAGTAGACCTTTCCCCCCGCCCAACAGACCCCCATCGCCCAGTAATCCACCAAGGAGACTCCCTTTGTCACCCCCTTCTGTCCCACTACCACCACCCAGTAACCCTAGGAGACGCCGGTTTAGGACTTCATATTCCTCCACGTCCGTCTCAGCTTTCAGAGTCTTTGTCGCCAACAGACAGAGAAAAGTAATGAGAATCAACTGCATCTGTCATGGGGAAAAAATAGCGAATTAGTTCAATTTTGGTATTAGTATTGGTCAACAATTTATCTCTTTTTCTTCGTTCGTAATTATAATATTGGACAAGAGTTCCCCCAATACAATATTACGTGATGTGTTATGCGCCAAATGACCCGTTGACTCCAACTTCAGCCTGCTTTTGAGCATTGGCGTCATTAGGTCGGATAACGTGAGGCGCGATAACCCCGGGCGTCAACCCCTCTGCCAACAACGTACAAAAATAAACGCAATGTGGAGTCACTTTCCCATCTAGATGGTGATACCATGTGCCTAATGATGTATACAACTTTATGAAGTTAATAAAGTATCGGATAAAAGCATACTTTTTCATTAAATTATGATGCCTTTCGTTTTGGTCTTTCCTTGGCTGTTTTTTCTTATAAGAGGCAGTTTCAAATTTCACGTCTTTGGTCTATTTTTAACCCCCTTCCAAAGCGACATCATTACATATCATCAAGATGTCATAACCCCCTTTCCATGACGTCACACTTAAATAGCAAACTACCCGGCTATTTAACGACTCGTTTCGGTAAAAAGGGATATAACCAAGCTAGGTTGAGTTTGCCGAAAACAATTGAGTTGTTTTCTTTTGCAAAATAAAATTCACAAATAATATAGCTACTGTTAACTGTTTTAAGTGTTTACTATCCTTTTTTTTTCATAGCCGACGGCTTCGCTAATCATTACTTAATAAGGACAATTTTACAATTGTTGATCAATGTTCATAGCAATTTAAAAGCACTAATTATTTCAAATGTAAAACAAATATTTTAAAAAATACCCCCCCCTCTCATTTACAGGCATAACTGGCTAGAGTAATGCTAAAAAACAAGACAGGATTAAAAACTTCTAGAACCTTGCCCCTTTTGTAATTAAATTTGATTTCTTTCAGGAAAAGAGGTGGTGGTGCCCCCCCCCCCCCCCAAGAGATATATAAAAGAAAATCTCCACAGAATAGCCTATATTATAACTTCTCTTACCTTGCTGCGAATGTCAATGTTCTACTGCTGCCCAATAGGAGCTTTGTTCTTGCAAGCAGTCACAAGTTTATTAAAGCAAGTAGTTCATTCTCTCTGTATTTATAGCCTACAAGGAGCGCATGACTTCATTAATTTCCTTTTTTTTAAGCGTGAGCGTCTTCCACGTGTTAGGATAACTGACCAAAACAACTCTCATCTTACCTACATCGACACCCCTATGGGTGTCATATTTTGGGATCAGTTACCCGTGAGGGGAGCTTTCTCGGCGACACCTTCGCAATCAGATTCGAGTTTTTTTTTTGTTTTTTTTTAAAGAAACGCGATTGTAGGCCTTTGACAACAAGGTGAGTAATAAAACAGATCCCCCCTCTCAGGTGGGAGGACGTGTCAGGCACGTGCCGACCCGGGGACGGACGTTACGAGATACGGCGGCGATACCCGGATGAGATAACGTCTGCAAGTGATGGGTTTCTATGACCAGATCGTTGTCAGTTGACTAATTTCGTGAGACGCTTGCCGTATCATTTGTCCGGTTGTTGTTTTAAGAGTAATGTTGTGATTTTGATAGAGGTAAACATCAGGCATAACATTTTGTTTTGATTGTAAAAATAAACAATGACATTGGGTCAATGATTGGTATATTCAAAGTGCAGAAATAATCATTAATTTAAATTTATTACAAAAATAAAAACAGAAATGTTGACTGTAATGTTCATTTCTACAATAAAACTATGGGGGGGGGGGGGCGTCATCCATAAATAACGTCACGCTTTTTAAATTGACGATTTGTAATTCCCCCCCCCCCCCTCCTCCCTCCGTCACACAGCGTTACAAAAAGCCAGACCCCCACCCCTAAAATGACATCAAAACTCAGCATACAACCCCGCCCCCCCCCCCCCCCCCCCAAAAAAAAAAATTGCAGTTGAATTTTTCTTAAAACAGATATTTTTTTCTAAAATAGTGTCTGGATTCTGTTTTAATCAATTATATGACAGTTTATTTTTTTTTTAATTCTAAAATTCGTTATAACGGCTAAAATTCTTTTTCTTACATAACATTGCTTTTTTTTTATAATGAAAAAGTGTAACGACACGACATCTGACTGACACCCCCCCCCCCTGTGGCGTAGTTATCGTAAAGCTAGTGTAAACAAGGCATAGGGGCCCAAGGCAAATAGGGGCCCTTTTTCGAAAGTTTGAGAAGGGGGTTCAAATCGAAAGTTTAGGGGGGGTGCACATCGAAAGTTTGTCCCCGGAAAGGGTCGCTACGCCTCTGAGGGGCGAACTAACACTTTTTGCATAGGGGCCCAAAAATCCTAGCTACGCCACTGCCCCCCCCCCCCATCACAAAACTACGGAGCCCCCCTCCGAGTGTCACGTCATTTATGGACGACCCAGTGGGAACTCAGATTGTACATCTAATTTTTTTTTTGTTTTGTTAAAAAAAAGTGACAGACAAAATAATCTCCCTTGCATAATATCAAGTATATCATAAAATGTGGGCACCAATAGCGACATTGATATATTTTAATTTAATAAGCTTTTAGAAGTTTTGATAACCTTTGGGGGTTTTTTTTCTGTTTAAAATTAAAAAAATAATTGGATAGGGATAGACGGTTGACCAACAGCGTGATGTCATTTATAGACGACAATTCAAGTGATCTTACACGAGTCTGTTATGTAACATGATGGGGAAGGGGAGAACGTTGTTTATAAAATGGGAAGTTATTTTTCTTTTTTTACCGTAAGCAAGAAAGGTTGAATGAATTTGAGTAGTGTAGGCTTGCACATGTGTGTCGTCCCATCCCCACAGCTGTTTTTACTACACTATGGAAGGTTTTTTTTAATTTACAGCTGTTTCTAGGGAAGATGTGTCAAGTCGTTTTCTCTTAAGCTAATTTTTAAAAACAAATTATTTTCATTTGGGGTGGGTGCTGTTCATATATTGTAGCCTATATGAAGTTCCTTGTAGGCATATTTTCGAAAGCAGGGGTTGGGGGGGGGGGGGGGGGGGGGGGAAGGGATGAAAGGTTTCCCCCACCCCTATTCGAGAGTCCTTAAGTCCTACTTTAGCTGTAAGCACCAGTGGGTCCTACTTTAGCTGTAAGCACCAGTTGGTCCTACTTTAGCTGTAAGCATCAGTTGGTCCTACTTAAGCTGTGAGCACTAGTAGCTCCTACTTTAAGCACCAGCAGGTCCTACTTTAGCTGTGAGCACCAGTGGCTCCTACTTTAAGCACCAGTGGGTCCTACTTTAGCTGTAAGCACCAGTGGGTCCTACTTTAGCTGTAATGTAAGCATCACTGGGTTCAACTTTAGCTGTAAGCACCAGTGGGTCCTGCTTTAGCTGTAAGCAACAGTGGGTCCTACTTTAGCTGTAAGCACCAGTGGGTCCTACTTTAGCTGTGAGCACCAGTGGGTCCTACTTTAGCTGTAAGCACCAATGGGTCCTATTAGCACCAGTGGGTCCTACTTTAGCTGTGAGCACCAGTGGGTCCTACTTTAGCTGTAAGCACCAGTGGGTCCTATTAGTACCAGTGTGTCCTACTTTAGCTGTAAGCACCAATGTGTCCTATTAGCACCAGTGGGTCCTACTTTAGCTGTAATGTAAGCATCACTGGGTCCTACTTTAGCTGTAAGTACTAGTGGGTCCTACTTTAGCTGTAAGCACTAGAAGGTCCTACTTTAGCTGTAAGCATCAGTAGGTCCTACTTTAGCTTTGACAAGCAACATTTGGAAAGCAGGCCTATCCCAACGTCACAAACAGCAAGTCATAAAATTCCAACCCCCCCCCCCCCCTTTTTTTTTTCTCCCACAGAAGTGTGACGTCATTTAGGATCGTTCCCAGACACCAGCTGAGGAAAATGACAAGAGCTGAATGTATCTGGATCAAAACCTAACCAGAGTGGCAATCTCCTTTTGGACTGTTGGTTCCACCTGTGTGCAAAAACACACCCTTGTAAAAATAAGTGAATTAAGTTGTGATGAGTATTTTGAAATCAGGTGTAGTTAGGGTTATGATAAGACCTGGATAAGGTTAATAGTGACAAGAACCAATGACTTATTCAAAACAATAATGAAGGTCACTATGCCAGGAGGGAGAAAGAGGGGAACGTAACAAAAATCATTCGATGCAATTTAGCTCAGTACTAGAAACCTAACACCCTTTCATTATTGTGGCTTTATTGGACACTGAGAAACCCCTCATTTTGTACATCTTCAAAACTGAATCAATTTGTGCTTTAACTACAAAAATTACTCATTTATGCACTTTTGAATAAAACATATATTTATAATAAGATAGAACAAATATTATAACATTTCTAATTTAATGATGATTAACAAAACGGCATATAAAAAAATATTTACACAACAGATCATTAATGACATTAATCAATGTAATTAAAATATTACACATATTCCAACATATTCTTTTTACAAATATATCAGATAGTATTACCCACATTCATGTCCATTTCACTGAAGAATAGTATTTACAGAGCTTAGAAATGATTACAATGTGGAACTTGACAGAAACAGCTCAAATTAAAATTCACAAAAAAATAAAAGCATAAGTATTCACAGAAGAAAAAAAAACAACAACAGTATTTAAGTTAGTAGTATTCACAATTTTTTGAAAATGTAAATACATTACAGCTCCGGTGGTTTCACATTATAATCTTCATCCGTCTCAACCCCTATCTCCTCAAACAACTGTTTCTTTGTTTTGGGATACCCTTCCAGGATAGAATTCAAAATATCCGAAGCAGTCCTCTTCCTTTTTCTCCATTCTTTAACATATTTCTCTCTGTTTTTGACAACTTTGTCCTTATCTTCTTTAGAAATTAAAACTCTGCCTTCCTTTAACTTTCCTAGTTTCGCTTTTAAAGCTTCAATCTCTGGGTAAATTTGACCGAGCTGAGCACGTGCATCCACTGTGGATACAAGCGCGTTGAATTTGTGCAGTTCCGATTCAAGTTTGCGGATCTCTTCCTGCTTGAGTTCGATTCTGCCTTGAAGCTGAGAAATCTTCTCATCCATTGATCTAATTTCTGCATCGTTCACAGCTGGGTACTGGCTTTGGTCAGCCACGTACACTTTTTGCTTGCCGTAAACTTTTTCCTTTAGCTTGCCCTCAGAAGCAAGACTTTCCATTGCCTTCATGACAGCAGTTTTACCCAAATCCTTCCCAGCGTTCTGGAACACATCTTGCACGCTGTAAGGTCTGTTTTGTTTGATCATGTAGGCCAGGACAAGCTGATTTGCTGCAGTTTCTTTTGTCTTGCTCATGGCTGCTGATGTGGTTCTTGATGTTGGAAATAAAGATGCCTTATCTCTAAAATCCTGAAAATATAATAGAGTAACCAATAAATCAAAATTAAATTTACAGTTAGCAGATTGTCAGACTACATTGTGGTACTAGGCTATAGTTAGTAATAGGATAGTTATATGCTAAATGTAGTAAATGACTCTTAGTATTAGTTATTAGACTAATCATCAAAGTATTATTATTAGACTATGTCTATGATTGTTTGTCATACAATGCTGTGCTATATATAGAGTCTATAAGATATTGTTTATGCTTGTTACATATTGATACATATTCATGGTGTACAAAATGGAACCATGGCATGGATGACTCAGTCTCGTAGTATTCACTATTCATAATTCAGTCAGTGTATATTAGTGTATATAGATCTAGATCTTGATGTAGCTAGCTTCTAGATCTACTTAATAAGTAGTACTTATACTATTGACTTATTATGATAATAATATTATTATTATTGTAATTGTATAGTTGAATAATTCATATTTCATAAAATTAAAATTCATAATATGGCGGGTATTTCGTTTATTTACGATAAAATTTTAAAATTTTGTTTTAGAAATTTTAGACCAATAATGTGTTTCAATCTCATTGTGTTTCAGATTCTACTAATTATGTAATAGATAATAATAATAATAATAGATCTAGAATCTAGATCTAGATAACTATTTTAACTTCCTATTTCTTCCTCAAGAAAGCAAAATCTTTCTACAATCTCAGTACGGCTTACCTTTATTTTTCGGGAAAATGCGTAACTGCGGACAATAACAATCAATTTTCCTACGTTGGAAACAAATAAAATCTTAGCCTTGTTGTAGATCCACAGCTAGAGAATCTAGATCTAGAGTCTAGAGAGTCTAGTCACTAGTCTAGCTAGAGATATCCAGTAACACTAGAAAAGATCTAGCCACTTTGACTTTACAATCTAGAAGATCTAGAGTTGGTGGTTCTATAATCTTCAGGATAGATCTAGTATGGCAACGTCTTACAACAATAAAGTTAGGGGGGAATATAGCAGAGGGCGTTCAAAAAAGAACAGAGAATTTGCAAACGGTAACCGAGATGACAAAAGTAGGCCAATTTCACATTTGAATTTACTTCAATTTACATAAAATACATAATACTCCCAATACTATGATAGGTAATCTATCGTTTTGGGTACGTAAAATCGCCCGCGACTTGTAATGTGAAAACCAGGTGACTCCTTAAATTTTAATAATTATTTCACATTTTGAGGAGGATTTATTTATGTTTTTTAAAATACAAAAATGTTTCCTTGTTTCATTTATTTACCTGTTTTTAAACAATTGAATTAAAACTTTTCCGTAATAAATGAAGACAGACTAGCGATGTTTCCAACAGATGCAACCATGCTCATTTACTTAAATAGCAGCAATCTTGTTTAAGTTTTATTTTTATAAGCTTTTAGCGGGAGATTCAGGGGGAAGCCACTCTATTTTACAAATGGCTGCTGTTTATATAGCAAATCTTGCTCTCAGACACTGCTGTTTAAAGTTGATTTCTAGCCTATATCGATATATTTAGCCATTGATTTAGGTTTATTATTCATTTATCTATAATATTTGACACAAACATTTGACAATATACTCCAATTAGAGCCTTGACAATGAGGTAACGTTTTCGTAGGGTGTGGGGAAATTGCGAGACGCGAAAAGCGAAATGGCGAGTTGGGAAAATGCGAGAAGGGCGCGAAAACGGTCGGTCACGTGACTTTTTTGTCTCGCATTTTACCACAAGCCGATACTTACGCTGGGTGGTGTTGAAATGCGAAGATTTCTGCGAAAAATTTACCGCACCCGATTTTCAGTGGTATTTGGTCCAGACTTCAAAGACGTTTCGTTTGCATTGTTAAAACTTCCGATTTTTCCGTCGCTAGACATACTGATGATTTGTCAACACCCCCATCTTTTGTGTCGACTTAGAATACCACCTTGTTCGAAACCGACTGAAATACCGCCGACGATAGATCAACATCTGTCTTTTGTGTGGAACGCCGAGGCCGCCTGATTTACCGTCTTTGAAGATCGCCGTGCCCGGATCCGCTGCCGCCGCAAACATATTTTCTATTGTTGCATAGAGATTTTGTATTATAGCCGCAGCCTACGATTTTTTTCTAGCTTTTTTTACCATATAAATCTAAGCACAAGGAAATGCCTACATCATTTGGATACAACAAAATAAAGTGACGTCACCGATATTATCAGTTGCTCGTGCTATATCGTAAGCTATGGGCCTACTTCAAATATTTTTAAAACCAAGTTGAACTTATCTGAATTTTTTGGTTTTGGTGGTGGTGTTATTTGGGGTCTTCCATAAATGACGTCACACTCATAGGGGGGGGGGGTCTGTCATTTTATGACGATGTGTGATGAGGGGGAGGAGGGGGGGTCACACTATAAAAAAGCAATGTTAGAAAAAGAATTTTAGACGTTTTTTCGCGTTTTAGAAAACTGTTTTAATACATTGTAATAGGAATTGATTAAAATACTCTATTTTGACCGAAATTAGACAAGATTTTGGGAAAATATCGATGTTTTAAAAAAACTCAACTGCTGGTGACAACAATGAGCAAGACATTGCCAAAATTACAGAAATGATAAAAAATACAAATTATAAAAAATGGAAAACCGATGTTGAGCGTGCGAATGATGATGATGAGAACATGGGTGCCAGTGTTGTTTGTGGGATGAACGAGGAGGTCAACTGTGATGAGAATGTGAAATGTTGTGAATGTGGATTGGAAGAAGAAGCAAAAGAAAAATGTATAAATGGGAGTCTAATGAACTGGGTTGGGTGTACTATGTGTGAAAGATGGTGTCACGAGGTGTGTTTGAGGACTGTTTCAGAAGATTTTGTTTGTAATTAAAATTACTTAATAAATAAATAAATTGCACTTTTTAGAACTGTTTATACTTTTACACTTTTTGCAAGTACAAAAATCCATAAATAGATGTTGCAAAATATCTCTCCTGCTGACAAGATTATACCAACAATTCACAATGACACAGCTCACGTTTGTATAAACATGATCGGGCTAGATTTTTAAATTAATGCCGACTGAGACGGGATTTTCCTCTCGCTAACAAGAGCGGGCGATGACAGTAGCACAGCAACGATGTTAGGATTTTTAAATAGATAGATCTATATCTAGATCTATCTATCTTCTTAGTATCTAGATAAAAAATAACAACATACAACACTCGTGTTAAAGGGTATGGTTAAATGCTTGTTTATTTTAAAAATATTTAAAAAAATAATTGAAATAAATAAAGATGGAAAAAAAAAAGGAAAAAACTTTTTTCGCAAAAAGTGTCTCGCTATTTACCCGTAATTCCGCAGGTATGTCTCGCATTACCTTCTCGCATTTTCCCGCCTCGCCATTTCGCTTTTCGCGTCTCGCAATTTCCCCACACCCGTTTTCGTACATTAATAGCCGCGGGCGATTTTACGTACCCAAAACGATAAATTACCCTATGATAATACATAGATCTAGAATCTAGATCTATATAGATCTAGTATATATTATATGACATGATGATATAGTCAGATATTTAATTTAATAATTATAGATCTAGTCTGTCACCTAAGATTTTAAACTTCAAGATGACTTAAACACAATTAAAATTAAAAACTACATTTAGTGAGTCATTTAGGGCCTACTACTTAGTTATTAGTACTTGCTGCTTACCTTATAATTTCAATCTATTAATTTGATACCACTTTTATTTATCAAATTTAATCGGTAGCCTAGAAAGATTTGCGAAAAAACGCGTTTCTTTTCATTTTTTAAAGTTTTAAAATGACTACAATCATACGACGATATGACTGAATGAAACTCAGTGATACCTTGTTTTAGATTTTAGGAAGTTCAGCAGAAATGTGTCTTCCCATTAAAATACACGGCGGGCAAAATGGGCAAGCTTAGTTAGCTTTTGTCTCAAAAAAGTTTTGTTCTTATCCTGCATGATTTTAAAAAAATTAATGAAATTATTTTAGTAGGACGCAATTTATAATTTTCTATAGGCCTAGTTTATCATATTTTTAATAGGTTTACAAGGCAATTCACGTCTTGCTTACTTTTATTATGTTCTGCTTGATATTCTCAGCGATTAGACAAAAAAAATCTACAAATGGCAAGCTTGCATCAAACATTGGTATTGTTGAATAATACACAAAAATAATGATTATTAGAATATATTTCTGAAATGACCATCAAACATTGTTAAAAAACGGAATCACTGTATCGTTTTCGGCAGCCATCATTACCATGAAGTCGGTAAAAAAAAGTAGATCAAGCGACAACCTAATTTACATTAGAAAAAATTAGATTCTAGATCTAGGTAAGGATCTAGTACAATTTCTGGGTAATCTCACAATATAGCTTCGGAAATTATCCAGTAATGTTTGTTGAGTTTTGTTAACATTCTTAACCAGTAGCGTAGCGAGGGGGGGACGACATATGTCCCCGGGCGCCGAGCGTAGGGGGCGCCAAAATGGGTTGGAAAAATAAATTGAAAGGTTGAGGGGGGTGCAAATTGAAAGTTTGAGGTGGGGGGGTGCAAATCAAAATCTCGAGGGGAGGGGGGGTGCAAAATCGAAAAGTTTGTCCCGGGCGCCGGGAAGGGTCACTACGCCTCTGTTCTTAACTGTAAACAATAGTTTATTTGACAGTTGAAATAAAAAAAGTCAGGTGCATCAAATTAATGCTTTAACTTAATTTAAAGTTTAATTGATAGAAAATTAGCAACAATTGGCAATAAAATGTTTTTTTTTAAGAAACAGTAAAAACAAAGTTTTGCGACAACTACTACATCTAGAGCTAGGCCTAGTAAAATAAGACGATTATATTTACTTAAGTAGTAAGAAGAATTAGAACAATATTTAGTAGTAGCAATATTTAGCACATACACTAAAAATAATTCAAAATACAAAATATTTAGCAAAACAGTACTTAAAATGCAACTAAAATCAATCTATGCACATTTTTAAACATTATGTATTAAAAATAATATGGTGCCAAATAAACTATGGTTTACAGTATTTCTGGTGGTTTCCAAAATGGCATGACAGACTATGCCACGGTTTTATTGTCTTTTACTGCTATACCATTCCAGAATAATAACAAACGCTATATCATGAGTTTACCCAATTAATGAGTCAGTCAAAATTCTTAAATTATGTAGATCTATATTTTTAATTTTTAGGCCGCCAAATATTTTATTTCATTAATTTATTAGATCTAGATCTAAAATAATATTATTCATAATAATAGAGATACTGACACGAAGTACCAAGTCCAAGACTCTTGGTCCAAGAGCAAGAAGATAGACCATAGAAGTCCATCACTTTTTTTTTATTAAGAATCAGAATTAAATCTAACTATTAACTTATTTAACTAATCTAATAGTTGGTTACTTTTAATTAATTTTAATAGGCCTATGATTGTTTATTTAAATGCTTCTTCATTTGTCCACAGGAAAACGTCCCAAACTGAATGATTCCGGTCTTGATGACAACTCACCTATCATCAAATCTTTCAGAATTTTTCAAGTAGAATTGGACTCTAGAAATGACCGCTATGAACGTATTGTAAAATTAAGCAGAGATATTACAATAGAGAGCAAAAGAATAATTTTTCTACTACAGCGTGTTGCTGGGTAAGTTGGAGGATTGAGGCTATCACTTGTGTAGTCTAAAAGTATTATTATTAGTATTGTTCAGAAATAAAGTTGCACTTTTTAAAAAAAAATTCTGTAATACAGATTTTTTAGGATTTTGCAGGAAAATAAATCAAGTGTTTTGATTTTTACTATTGTATTACTTCAATTAAAATTTTCTAGATCTATTTAGTGCAGTCAAGATTAAAAAAAAAAACAACAGCATTTACACTTGCAAAATGTATACTATGCAAGTCTAGGATATTAAAAAAACGCAACTAGTTATTGTTAGTAATGTTAGCCTACATGAAAACATTTTTCCCACTTAACATGTAAACTTACTTATTGCAAGTTTTTTTCTAGCTTATACATGTCGCAAATGATGTAAACACTGTGTTGTTGATTGTTATTAATTGTAACACTTAACTTTTATGTAACTACAATTATTTTAGAGGTAAAAACATGTAAATTTGATGTATATATAATACAAGTGGACAAGATAACGCATTGTACTTTTTTGGTAGGTCAGAAGATAAAGATGTGGTCCTTTCTGAAGCTTTGGAGAAAATACAGGAGTTAAACAGCACCAAATTTTTGGAGTTAGCCCAAGAACTGGATACACAAGATCCTTTTCAGTTTTTAAGAGCATATTCACCAGGTGAGATCAACAGCATCACCCTTTTCTTTTTTTTTGTAATCAAATATAACAGACAAGTAATTATAAGCTATATGCTTACATTAATATTGTTAAATAACAAAACTATAATTGCGTTTGTCTTTAGTCTTTACCCTGTATTTGATTATAGAAATAAAACGAAATAGACATTTTATTTCCATAGTATTCAATAATCTTTGTTTTTCCCTTTTTTTGCAAGGTTTGCAGGAATACATAGAGGCTGTTACATTTTACCATTACTTAGCTAGTGAAAAATTAGTTGGTGTTGAAAAAATACAGTCCGACTTGACCTTTTCCGTCCCTGTGTTGTCTCCGTCTACCTCACACTCCTCCAACGTTCAATCAACCATTGAAAAAATGACAGATCTCGCAACCTCAGATAATGAGTCTCAATGTCCGTCCAATGAGGGAGCAATAACCAACGAGGGGGGCCAAGACACAATTCCAAAATGTGAGGCGCAGCGGCATCTCTCTGTACACATACCTCCCACTGAGTACATGCTGGGAGTTGGGGACTTTACAGGGGAGCTGATGAGAATGGCAATAAACAGTGTTGGGGCTGGAGACCTAGAAAAGCCTTCAGTTGTAAGTATTTGCTGGTTACTGTCTAGTCGAAATTTCTTTTTTAAACAACCTGGTAATCTGTAGTGTAGGCAGACTTTTTCTTTGGTCGAAAAATTGAAAGAGTCATGTATATATGTAATACATCGTTTACACTTGCGACATGTATACTATACATTTCTAGGAAAAAAAACTTCGCTATAGGGCCTAAGATAATAGGAGAGCCTACTCACTTATTGCGAAGTTTTTTTTTCTAGAAATGTATAGTATACATGTCGCAAGTGTAAACGCTGTATAAGTAAATATGCATTTACATGTGGAATAGTGCGAGATGATTTACTTGCAATAGATACTTAAAATACCTGGTGTTTTTTTAACATTCAAGATGTTGAAACACTTAACTGTAAATATAAGATGGCTATCATATTAGGGGATTCTAATACCCCTCCTGGTAATAGTTATATGTAGATAATTTAAGAAAGAACATAAAAAAAAGCAATAATATAAATGATATGTGACCACAGTATTTAAATTTTTTCTTCAACAGGATTTTGATAAACCAGCATTATATATGTTACGTACATATTTTTTTTTACATAGGTTGCGACTATGATGCGAATCATCAATGATGCATTCACAACATTTGCTCACCCCCCAAGAGAGTTGAGGCAAAAGACAAGGGTACTGCGACAAAGCTTGCAAAAGGTTGAAACAGCGTGCTACACTTTAAAAGTTCGGGGGTCTGAAATTCCTAACCATATGCTGGCCGATGTGTTCTCTATGCATAACTCAGGGCCAGTAGAGTCATTTTCTGAAGAGTTAGATGAAGCTTATGATTAAACTTTTGAAATATAAATAATTTTTGTTTTTTTGAATTGCATTAAGGCCTGGTAGAACAATAGACATTCTTTAGTAATTGGCAAACAAATTGAAAGAAAAATAAAAAGGTTTATTTTGGTTTTATTATTAGCAGGTACATTTAATGACAAATTAAGTGCATTGGCATGTATCAACCCATTGTTTTGAAGGGTAAAAAGTTCTAATTTCTAGAATACATTCAGTTTGATAACAAGGGGCTAGAGTAAAAAAAAAAATATAATTAAACACATCCTTTGAGTAACAAGACAAAGCTGAATGTTCCAGAAGGTCACAAACTTTTCAAGCTCTAGTATGTCTCTTGATGGTATCATTTTAAGTTGAAGATTGCACCTATTTTAAAAACATTTAACCCCTTACTCCTAGAACCCTGATCTCAAATTCCACATTTGTGCTTTTGCTAGACATAAAATTAGATCTTACCCCTTACAAAGTTCTATATTTTAGTTTGAAAAATATTAAGCATGACTGGTAAAATTTGTGTGCACAATTTTCACAAGCTTTTAAGGTGCTGAACCAAGATCTGTGCATTGAGAACATAAAATAAACAATTAAAACAATTAAATGGCACTGTAGCGATAAGAATTGACACGGAATATGATTAGTTGAAATATTTTCATACCAAGTGATTTGATGAGATGATTAAGGAAAATATAATGAAAGGACATTGAAGTTGTTCTTTAAGCAAAGGAGCATTTAACAATATACCCTAAATTAAATCAGCTATGTATGTGTAATACATCCTAAAAAATTAACATTATTTACAGATAAATGTTAGAGAGTAAATAGAATTTATAAGTGGAAATACATTGGTTGCAAAGTAAATTTGCAAGTGTAAAAAAAATGGTAGATATTTACCTTTTTGTTTCATGTGATTGCTTTGTTATGTGCTATGTACATACATTGAAAGGGATAAATAATCAAACATACAAAATGCAGCACAATTTTAAACTTAAATGGTATCTTACAAGACAGCTCTGAGTTTAGTTTTTTAAATAGAAAAAAGTTAAAATTGAAACAATCTCAATTTTATAAACTATAACTGCCTTAAAATAAATACACCTTTTATATACAATAACATTTATTTCTTACAAGATTCATTACTTTTGATTTGTAATCTAAAAAAAAATTAAACTAAAGTAATCAATCAGGTTTCTGTTTATTATGTATACTTATAAACTACTTGGATAATCACATTATTTTTTAGAGGATATAAAAAAAATTACACTAGAAGAGACAACTGTAAATACCCAGGCGTTGGAAAAAGTGACAGCTATAAAAATTTCACTCAGTAAAAGTACATTATATATATTTAAACTAAATAGGTAAAACTAAGATTGCTCTTTAATAAACAATTATTTGAAAAAAGTTATGTAGTGATTTTTGGGTTTTCTTTTTGCTTGTAAAGTACTAATAAAATTGCAGTTAGTGTACCTATTACTTAGACTGTGTGTGCTAAGTTGAGTTAGCTGGGTAATAATTTTACATTTAAAAATCAGAACAGTCATGATTAAAGTAAATAAGATGAATGAGTAAGAAGTCAGACAGTTCATGTAAGTTAAAACAAAGCTGAAGAAAAGTAGCAGAAAGACATAAATCACATAAGTCAAATTTGAAATGCTTTGCTTGACAGAGGATCAAACAAAAATATCATAACATAAACAAGAAATAGGTAAATCTATCGTGGCACATGTATGCCTGCATTCAATATGAAAGAAATATTTAATATCAACAATCACATACTGTAAACAGAAAAGCATGTTGAAGATTACATTGTCCCCAGTTTCATGTAAAATGTTTACCATCAATCTGTATTTTGACAATAAAATAAAAATTGTCACAATTCTAATACAAACAGTCTTGACTAGTTGATGTATAAGCATGGTGTCTAGGTTATATATGACAAAGGAATAGAAACATAAAACACAGAATTTAGTATTCACAGTATAAGTGTGTAAAAGACATCAATAAATAAAGATAATTACTATTAACAGGCTACAATTTTGAAGTTTTTACTAGCAAGGTGCCAAAATGATGAACCATATCATGTCTTGTAAAGGAATTCACCTTTCACCCATAACAGGAGAAGGGTAGTTTCAAACTTGGGTGCTAAAGAAAGTGAGACTCCACTATCACATTTGAACAGCAATTTTTTTAAACTTAATTTTTGCTTACGAAAAGATTCTTTCTCATCTGTTAAAAAAAAACAGAATTCACAAAAAAAAATTGACTCTTGGATGGACGCTTTATGATTCATAGAAATCTATTTAATCCATTCCAAAATATAGTCTTTATCACTATGTTGGAGGTAATATTAAAAAACGTGTTTATCAACGGATGCCTGTAAAGGGTTACTGGTAGTTACATTTATTAGTCCACCACCTTGCCACCTGTTGGTAAAAAAAAATATACAGAATAAAATTTGAGAAATAAATGCAAAAGCTTGAACATCCTCAAGAAAAAAATAAAATAATGAACCATATTCTAATGAACAAAGTTCGCTCCAGGGCTTGCTGACTCGGAGTCATCAAACACCCTGACTCTGACTTTTTGTTTATAATGATAGACTTGAAGGAACTGTTTAAGGCTGTTTGGCAGAGGGAGCAACCGAATCTGGTCGTACACCAGCCGATCACATATCACAGCCCGGCAGATGTGCTGCAGGGAGAAGGGAAAATTCCTAGCTAGGGGACGGGTCAGCATGGGCTCGAAAAACATACAACAGCACGGGTCCTTGTAGTGCTCCATCAGCTCGCAGACGGACGGGGCAGAGAACACGGCCGGGTCGTGGGCATCGAAGCTGAACCTGTGGTTCCACTGCTCAACTCTAGCATGCAGCGACCGGTTGTACCGCCGGAAACTGACAGAGAATAAAAAGTCCTCTTGAGCGCTGTCCCGCAAGAGGAAAGTCCCTTCTGGTTTGTTGTCCAGCAGCCGCTCTGCCTCGTAGCGGTCCATCACCCCCCAGTAGAAAGGACAAGCTAAAATGTTGTTCAACTGTGGCACCAGGCAGTGAATGAAATCAATCTGAGTGTGAATGCGCAGCATAGATGAAGACCTATCCTCCAGAGGTTTACTCACAGGACCTGACCACTGTCGGACTACGTTGTTCATCATAAGAGAGTAATCCTCAAGCGACGACACCTCTGGGGATGACACCGCTGAATCAGGACTGGCCGTCGGCATTCGATTTCTCCACAGTAACATCTCATCACGATCAAATAACCAGTTTACCCTGTGGTGCAAGTGGTTGTGGTTATGGCCGCCGGTTCCTACCTCCACCCCTGTGGCCATTTCCTCTGCACGTTCCCGTTTTCGTATAGTGTCAATGTCTTCTGTTGGGTAAAGCTTGTCAAAATCCTGCACAAATGTCAAGTCAATGAACTGGCGGGAGTTTGATATTGTTCTGACACGAGGGGACCTTCTACCAGATCCTGGAGATCCTGTTGGTTGATAAGTACCCTGGCAACCGGTAGCATGGTAGGAAATATCACAGCGATGACTGGCCACACGTTGAGGCTGTGACGCCCTCCATCTGGGGTTCCAGCGGCCTCTTATCCTTAAACTCCAAAACTTTTTCTTAGCATTGTGCTTATCTTTTTTCTTCCTCCGAACAATCTGAGTACGGCCCTCGCCTATTGGAGTAAGATTATTTACACCGCTGGTGCCAGATGTTTTTCTTGAAGATGCACCAGAAGAAGATGATTCATCTTCCTCGGATGAACTATTACACTCAATGCTTGTGACTTTCCTAGTAGGTGAATCTTTCAACTCTAACCCATCAACCAAACTGACAAGAGACAGCTCACTGCCACAGCAGAAGAACGGTCTCACAGCAGATCGCTGGCCTCTAGGACGCACATCAAGAGGGGCTTTTCCATTCTTAGCCCTAGCTGGGAGTGGCTTTGCAGTGCCAGTTTCAGAAATACGAAATGTGTTACTGGACGAGGAGTTGGAGAGTAAAGGGGGCTGACATTTTGTTGTTCTTGAAGAGCCCAGTAGCGGTGTGTACACATTCATTGTAGCTTTTGGTTGAGAGGTTGAAGGAAGTGGAGAGATCTGAGAAATCTTAATTTCTTCAATGATGTCAGCCTCTGCACCAGCTGTAAATATAATACATATTTTTAAAGTTACACTTAAAAAGCAGTTCATTAGAAAAATCAGTTATGAAACAATTTTTAATTTAAAAAAATATGTATCTGTGCTGTAGAAGTCATGGTTAGATAAACCAATTTGTATTGACACAATCCTAAAATTTGTATTCAAAGTCCTTCCAATTAAAACAATTATTAAGAACAAAATTGTACCTGACGATGAAGTTGCAGCCATTTTTATTTGATGTTACTTTTTATTTTGAAAAAGGCACTGCAGAGCAGCTTCAGCACCAACTACAAAAAAAGTGTTCATTATCGTTAGCAATTATCAAGAGATCACAAAATCCCTGTAAGATGGTAAAGCAATTAATATTATGCAAAACTATAAGATCAAATTTACTGCTTTCGCTGTTTTGACTTTAAAAATGTTGTGCTTAAGTGTCTTGTGGCACTATCAGTATCAGTCAACTAAACTGCAGTACTTGACTTAAAATAAATGACCTCCCTATCCCTTCATAATTCATAATGAGTAGGCCTACTGTCAGTACTAGATTTAGATTAGGGACATGGATATGACGCGCGATTTGCCGCGGGCGAGGAGAGCTGTTCGCCGATACCGTGATTTTGCGCTACGGCGTTTTTTGCGATGGGCAGTTTCGAAAAAAAATTTTTTTTCCTACAACCCAAATGATTATTGTCATGGTTTTAATAGATTTACAACTAGAAATGGACATCGTTTTTACTTACAAGTTGTTTTTTGTTCCAATGGATTATTATTTTATGGAGTTATTCATTGAAAATAAGGTAAGTTTGAGCAAATGTTTCAGATATAGCATTTTATGGCACAGTAATAAGTTTAAAGGCACAAATAGAACAACCATTTTACTATATGAATATCAAATTTTTTTAGCGACAATCGGACCCAAAAAGGTTTTATTTGGGACCAAGAAAGCATCTCTGATTTCAACAAACCGGATGCTCATAATAATAGTGATTTAAATAATGAAACTAAAACCGGAAGTTAGTAAAAATCAGAATTTCCCAAATATTGTCAATGACGCTAAAGCAAAATATAACAGCTGATTTTACAATCAGAGCCATCCATCATCTCCTTTTGCTTTTTATTGACTGATTTTCACTTCTATTGATAAAACATTGATTCTTTCCTGATGTTGCAGTTATATTTCGTGTTATAATTACATATTTATTTAATATGAATTATTTTACTGGGTTAAGTTTCCCATATAAGTTTCTTTGAAGTTTCGTTGTTAATATTGGATACTATGATAATTTCTCTTTTTTTTTAATATCGAGCCCATTTGTAACTTTTTCATGTATAAATTGAACTATTAATATATTATGAATAACAATAAACTTAAATCTAAAATACTTTTAACAAAAATACTACATCATAATAGATCTAGAATCTAACTTTGCTTTTGATGCTGGTGTCCAAAAATAATGTCACATTTCTGTCTGGGGGGGGGGGGGGGGGGGGGCGACATTTTTTCACAATGTGTGATGAGTTTGTTATAGCCTCTAATTTGCGTTTTAAACTGTTTTTTTTTTGTTGTAAATTGCAATAGACTTATAGAAATTGATTAATATACTTTTTGACCAGAGTGACCATAGTCAATATTTGAGAAAGAAACCATGAGCTATGTTAAAAATAAAGTTAAAAATAAAGCTGCAATTTTAAAGGGGTTTTAGGCTCAGGTCATTTTAATAGGGGGAGGGGGGGTCTGTGGCTTTTTGTGATAATGGGTGACAGTGGGTAGTAGGAGATATCATTTTATTGTACCTGTAGATCATTTTTAATTAAATTCAATGAAAGAAGAAAATCGTTCTAGTTTAGGCTTTTTGGATTTGCAATACATGTGTAGATCTATTCTACACCTACTTTTAACTAGATCTATATCTGTCTGTATTAACACAGATCTTCTGTAATAAAATAACTAAAAATAAATAGTCACAAAAGATGTAAAGATAAAAACGTAAATGTAATTGTAAATCTATTCTAAACAGGTTTTGAAGTTCAGCTGAATTGAAGTCACAGCCTTCACTGCTGGAGTAGCCAATTCCTCAGGATCGTGCATGGTTAGGCCTGGTAAAATTCACAGCCAGAATAGCTATTTCCACAGGGTATCAGACTGCCTGGTTCAAGTTTGTAGAGCGTCCCTGAGTCCACCCAGCTATGATGGGTACCTGACTCACTTCAGTTAAAGTTAAGGCAGATGGGCATAGTGCTCACCACACTATCCCTTCATATGCCAAGGTCACTGATACAGCAAACTTTACTTATTTGCCCCATGCACAGTCAGCTAATACAATATCTACATCATTTAAACGTAAAAGATGTATTTTAATTTGACATGTATTTCTAATTGCAGGCAGATGTTTATTATGTATCCTACATTAACAATTTAATACCACATGTTTATGATGATGCATAAACACGATGGATGAAATGTATACAATGTATCAACAAAAAGACCAATTTTCAGCTAAATATTCCAAGGTTGCCTATAGCAAAATTTTCGTTACAAAATAAGGAGGGTACCCTTGCTTCAAACCCATTTTTATGAAATGAAATATTTTTTTAATTAACTTACATCAATGTGTATTTAAAGTACATAATCACCTACAAATTTTACTGTTTTTGAATGATATAAGCAAAGAAATTATAATCAGTTTAGCTTTGTACCTCTTTCTTGTTAGAAAGTAGCTGCGCTGGACAAAAATGACCTTTTAACTTTGACCAACAGTAACAAAACCACATAAGCTAGATGAAATATCTGAACTTTCTGTGAATGTATACAATATTGATAACATTTCAGCAGATTTTCAGCTAAATATTCCAAGTGGTTAAAAATTGGAAACATATGTATGTTGTCTGTTGGAGAATTCTTCGTCACAAAATTAAGGGGGGTACCATAGTTTCATGCCCATTTTTATTAAATAAAATATTTCTTTTATCAACTTTGATCAGTGGGCATATTAAAGTATATAATAACCATCATTTATACTATCTTTAAAGAATAGGCAAAGTTATCTAAAATAAGCTAGGCATTGTAGTTCTTTTTTGCAAGAAAGTAATTGCGCAGAATAAAAAGTACTTTTTGATTTTGACCATTACTGTAACATAACTACATAAGCTAAGTAAAATATTTTTACTTTCTGTGAATGTGTACATTGTTGACATCATTTAAGCCAATTTTTACTGAGATATTCCATATAATAAAAATTTGGCAGCAGATTTAGTATTGCCTATATAAGACATTTTCTCAAAAATTTTAGGGGGGTGGCCCTCTTGGTTAACATTGCTTTTAACAATTTTTCACTTCCACTGAAGTTATTTGTATCTTATCCTTTTACTGATATGATAAGCTTGATCCTAGTCAATTTTTATAAAAAAATACCTGGTATTTAAAAAGTTACAGAGGTTTTTGTTCACATCCAAAAAATAAGGGTCACAGAAATTGGAAAAACCCCATTATAAAAAAACCCGAAAATTAAATACGTTAAAAATTCATAACTTTGCAACCGTTTGAGCTAAAATTAAAATGAAAATATCTTTATTCCTGGCTAAATGAGCTCTATAAGATGGTGCTATTACATTTTTCAATTTTTTAAAATTCAAATTTTATCCATGTCCCTTCTTCTTCTTCTTCGTTCTTAATTTTTGAATATGGTGAAGGATTCAGACGACAAGACCAACTTCGTGGACAAACCGGACTGTGGTTTCCAGTTTGTCAGGTGTCCCATATAATTTTTCCCTGAGTGGGGTGGGCTGGGGCCAGTGTCTGCCTCTTGCCTGGCCATACAGAGTACAATCCTGGAGTACGTGCTCAGTGTTTTCCGGGGCCTTGCCACAAGGGCACATTTCGCTACACCCAACCTTCAGTTTTTTGTGCATGTGTTGATTTAGTCTGTTGTGGCCTGTTCTGAGTCGAAAGATTATGTATTGTTGTTTTCGTGTTAAATTGTAATAGCCATCGTCTTTAATGTAGTGAGGGTGTGTGACAGACCACATTTGCGTTTGTTTGTTTTTAATTATTCTTTTTATTTCTTTTGGGTGTAGCGAAATTTCCGGTTGTGGTTTCTTTCCCCCAATTTTTGCCAGCTGGTCTGCGATTTCGTTACCCTGGATCTGGCAGTGGCCCGGGATCCACTGCAGCACAATTCTGCTGCAGGTATTTTTAAGTGCTGTCATAAGTGTTTGAATATAGGACTCCGGTCCATGTCCCTAATTTAGATTGTTAGTTTAAAAGTTTAAATGATTATGATTATACTTATATACTATAATACTAGATCTAGACTAGCTATAAGTTGTCCAAAAGCTGAAAAGATGCCAGCCCAGTCCACTAGATCTAGAGAATCTAGAGATAGATAGACTAGCTGCTAGCAAGAAGCTAGAACTGTCACCTGTGTCAGTGTGTGTAACACAACAGTTACTGTAACAGTGTAAAAAACGTCAGTCAATCGTACTAGTAAAACTAGTAGATTCTAGATCTAGAAAAACTCATTAAATTTTATTAAACCTTAAATAAATGGCTGCCTGGTATACGAACTCAGCTAATTGTTAATCCATTATTCGAAGAATGGCTAGATCTAGATTCTAGCAGAGTTTCCGTTGGAAAATTAATGATGTTCCACAAATATTATTTTCTAGATCTAGGCCTAGTCAGTGGAGGCTGACCGGAAGCGAAAAGACAAAGTGCGTGGGTGTAACTATTATGATGTCATTGGCCTTGCGTTTAGGCTATAATTTAATTTTAGTGTAACTACTAAAGGAACTTATTCTTTGACCAAAATTAATTAAAAACAATATTTTACCTAGAATCTACGTTTAAACTATTTGATAAGCCATTAACATGGTAAATAATACATATATTATTATTTCTTGTTGTTGCTGCATACCAGGCAAACTTAATATATCTTTGTTTTTAGTCGAATGTCAATTTCGAAACCGGAAGTTTACTATAAAGTCGCGCCAACACTGAATAGATCCAGGTCTACTGCTAAACATTTTAGAATAATTTTAGATTCAATAACATCTATTCTTGAGAAATGAAACCCCTAAAAATTGCCCACACTGATGGACATACTGATGTGTGTTATGATTCTTCCGGAAAGTATGTAGATCTAGAAATTGGGTGGATTTTTAATATTTTATTGACTGAGTCAACTGAGTGGTTGGTGTTCAATCATTGTTCAATGATAATCGGATGATTTTAATAAATAAATACTAAATAATACAGATGTCCGATAATAGACCCTTCCATAAATAATAAATATGTGTGTTGGCTTAGTAGTATAGTCCTATCCTATTGTAATCTCGACTAATTTTATTGTAAGAAATTAGCCAAGAATTAGGGTGCGGGTTAGGCGATTGGTTGGGTAAAACTCCATTTCAGCGTTATTCTCTGTTGCTTGTTTACCTCCAGTTGAGCGTATTTTATTATAACAACAGAAACATACCAAAACATTAGGAAAACACGATTTATTTTTTGTATTGTATTTTTGTTTTAGCAAATGAATAAAAATGAATATTTAAAAAAACACGACTTGTTTATTTGTATTGTATTTTTTTAAAAAAAAGCATTTGTCTCATGGTGAAACTGATACACTGTTAATCATTCTGTTTTATATTTTTGTATTTATGCAATAAATGTACAAACTCAGTGTTTTTTAATTTGACAGTTTTGCTAAAACTGAAAAAAAAAATTTACTATAGAGTTGTATGTTATTTAAATTCATAGTAAATCTACCATCCTTCCCTTTTTTGTATGAGTAAATTTCTGACTTTTAAAAAAAATTGATGTGGGGTCGTCCATAAATGACGTCACACTCGTAAGGGAGAGGGGGGTCAGCAATTTTGTGACGATGTGTGATGAGGGGGAGGGGGTGGGGTTTCAGATGGTGTGACGTCCCTTTTTTGCATTATTAAAAAGCAATGTTAGAAAAACAAGCTTTAGCCGTTATTTCGCGTTTTAGAAAACGGTTTTAATAAATTGTAATATTAATTGATCAAAATACTCTATGTTGACAGAGTTCTGACAAGATTTTGGAAAAATTATCGATGTTTTAAGAAAAATTCAACAGAAATTTTGAGGGGGGGGGGGTTGTAGGCTGAGGTGTGACGTCATTTTAGGGGGGGTCTGACTTTTTGTGACGACGTGTAACGGAGGGGAGGGGGGAGGTAAAAATCGTAAAAAAGCGTGTCGTCACAAAAAGCAAGACCCCCCCCCCCCAAAATGACGTAGCACCATCTGAACCCCCCCCTCATCACACACAGTCACAAAATTACCCCCCCCCCCTCCCCCTACAAGTGTGACGTCATTTATGGACGACCTCTAACATTATTTTTTTAAAATGACAACATGAGTTGTCACACTTTCTCTAACACTCCAAGCCATCCCTCACCAAATTCCACCCCCCCCCCCCTCGGCCCACTTTCGGCAGCATCATTGTGCCTTTTAATACTTTGATTCAGTTTAGTTGAAATTGGAACACTTAATTGTACAAAGTGTGCATCTCTATTTTTGTAACCAACAAACAAAGCACTTCAGTCAGTCTCTTTGTTGTTTTTTAGTCATTTGTTAAAACAAAAATACAATACGAATAAATAAGTCGTGTTTTTTAAACATTCATTTTATTCATTTGTGAAAACAGAAATACAATACAAAAAATAAATCGTGTTTTCCTAATGTTTTGGTGTGTTTCGGTTGTTATAATAAAATACGCTCAACTGGAGGTAAACAAGCAACGGAGAATAAAATACGCTGAAATGGAGTTTTACCGATTGGTTGGACTAGGAGGATTGGGGTTAAGTTAGGGACAGGGTTAGCATTGAATTGACATTCATTATCACGCTATCATAATAATAATGTGTGTTTTTAGTTTTTGCTGTTTACATTTATTAGTTAACTACCAGTAACCTAACACCCCTTTTTTAAAGGATTCTATTATATGGACACTGGTATAAAAGTTCCCCCAAATTGGTAGGCCTATTGAAAATTAGCCTATAGGCCTAAATAAGTAAATAATACTCTAGAATCTAGGCTATAGCCTGGCCAAATAGAATCTTCTTAAAGAAGGGGGGGGTACACTATCATAAAGTAAAAAGTAAAGCTCCCTTTTCAAACCTGACCGTCTCTAGGGCACGTGAAGTAGAGTTCACTTGTTTCTGTGACCTAGGCATATGAAGAGATACTGTGGTCAGCACTATGCCAAACAACCTTTACTTTCCCTAACGTGAGTTAGGTACCCATCAGTGTTGGGTGGACTCAGGGACGGTCTACTGACTAAACTGACTTGAACCTGGATTCAAACTCGAGACTTACGAGTTAGCTGTCCAACTCTCTACCCCTAGACCACTCCGTCCCCTACCTTATCCTGTAATGTACGTAAAATCGGCGGAGGCTAGTAATGTGAAAAAGGGGGACTTTTTATGTTTAAAACTTACAAAAATGTTTAAAACTTTCATTCATTATGATTCATATACCTGTTTTTAAACAATTGTATTAAAACTTTTTAGTAATAAATAAAGATTAGCAATGTTTTCATAAGATACAACTAAGCTCATTTACTTTAGCAGCCATCTTGTTTAATTAAGTTTTTTGGTAACATTTTAGGCTAGAGATTCAGGGGAAACCACTCTAATTTACGGATGGCCGCTAGTGTTTACATAGCAAATCTGTTCAACGTTAGTTTCTGGCCTTTATTGATATATGTAGACATTGCTTTTGGTTTATTATTCAATTATCTATTATATTTGACACAACAATATAATAATATATTTGTATTAAAGCCATATTAATGGGCTACCTTTCTTGCACATTACTAGCCTCGGACGATTTTACATATCTAAAATGATAAATTACCGAAAGGCGTGTGAGGTTGATGGTAGTTAACTAAAAAATGGGCACACACGTGTGACTTGGTAATGTCAATGGTAACCTCCTAACTGTAATCTCTTCTGGTCCTAGCCTACGATCCATACCTTTGATGATACACAGATAAATGATTAATTACTATTATATTTTAATTACTAGATCTAGTACATTCACACTACTATACTGTAACTATTATTAACTATACACTCATACTATAGCCTACACCTTGGCCTAACACTTGTGACTTTATTAAGTGGCTCAAGGCCTACTAATAGAATCTAGTTCTAGTACAAGTAGTTATATTCTATTACTAACTCTATACTATAATAATATAATGCTAGATGAAAATCAAGATCACATTGTACTTGAAATTTTTTTTATTAGCCTTATTTGTTAAAAGAGGGCCAACAACCATATTGCACAACTATTAAAACAAAAGAAACCAATCTACTTTACTAGATTAATTAATAATTAGGCCTAGCCTACCACAAATTAAAAAGTTATTAATTTTAATATGCAAAATTAAACCTTATGATAATGTCACCAGTCCCCAGTGTCATAAAGTAATGGGAGTTTTTAGGTAAAAATTTTACCACACACTCGGTTTATACTACTGATACCTCTACTACTAACACATCTATTTTTGGAAGAGTTTAAGTATTATTGGACATCAATGACCTTATGGTGCCAACACAGGCTTAAGCCTGTGTTTGTGTTGGCACCATAAGGTCTACTGTCTACCTTAAAAAGTATAACGAATCAGTGATTCTTCTTTTTCTTAAGCATATCATTTTCATGTATTATTTGATAATGATATTATGATGTAGTTATTTAATATGTATATCAAACTGAAGAAAATAGAATTAATTCATAACATATTTTTTTTCAGTTTTATACTTACCAGTGGGGCTGATGGGAAAATTTGTATTTGGGAAGGAAGAGATGACACAGATACAACTACAGTGAACATAGGCAACAGCATTTTTGCCATAGCTTTTCAGGTATGGATATAGATCTAGTCATTCTTGTAAACAACAAACTTTTATCACTAGCCCATCAGTTATGCCCCATAATGTACTATAAATAAATATATGACTAATTCACCCAACTTCAGATTGAACTAGAATTCAACAATGATTCGACCTTCAATTTCTTAAGAGCACTTAGATACTAAGTCCATAGAACATCCCTGAATCAGCACCTACTAGTCAATTTGAAACACAACTACAGCAGTGTCAAACCAAGCTATAAACCTTTTTTAAATACTGATGCTTTTATTGCCAGTGTCTCCATTGTTGCCTCAAAAGCAAAAGCCTATAAGACACTTGTGAAAAATAAATAAAAATTAATGCCTGTTTCTTGGTCATGGGATGTCAATCATAGAAAATAAATTCCAAGCCAAAGAAATGTGAAGCTACTGGAAGTTAATATAAATATCATGTAAAAATGACATTGTGTGTTGTGATACTGCTACACATGTGGAGAATGACAAGGCAGGAGCCTAGGTCAGTGCAGATGAGAATTAGGAAGTGGTGCTGGGTTGGGCACACTGTGAAAGACACATACAGTTAAGAAATATGCTGGAGTGAATCTTGCAGGGGAGGCAAAAAAAAGTGGGCACCTGAGACAAACTTGGAAGTGCAGTCTTCTTGAAGAACCAAAGACTACATAGTCTGGAAAAAAGAGTAAGAAAATTGTTGAGACCCTATGCTGCTCAAGGAATAAATTGTAAACAAGACCTAAGTCAAGTGACCTAATACAATGATGGCTCAGTCATCATGATGACCTGTTTAATGACCTGTCAATCTTTAAAAATTTGATAGCTGAAATTCAGTTGAGGAGGTTTAACAAAAGAGCATCTAACATATTTTATGTTAATTCTCTTTTTCAATGCCAGAGATTTATTATATAATTATTATGTCATACAAATGCTATTTACGATGACTATATAACTAGCTTTCCCCAGTTGTAAATTTATGTCAACTGCTCCTATACAAATTCTATGTAATATAGTAACTAAAGATGTAGCATATTGATGTTCTTCTTAATAATTATTTTTGCTTTTGTTCTATTTTATCTGCAGGGTGGACGATTTTTCGCTGCCACCAATGAAAACACCATTCAGATTCACACCTTTCCAGATGGTGTTGGGGATGGCATGGTTACAAGGTTTACTGCACCCTGTCGTCATTTCTGTATTTGTGAAGATGGGTCTATACTGGTGGCGGGCGCTGAGTAGGTTTCGTCATACTTTAATAAATAAAGAATTGACGTTATTTAAAAATAATGAAATAGTTAACTCATATTTTTTTTTAAGAATTACGAAAAACATTATTTTTCCATATTATCTTGTACTTTAATGAAATAAACTGATAATAAACTTTGCTCTGTTACATATTTTTCATAGATTTAAAAAGTGAAATCTTTAAAACAGGTTTTTAAAAACTAGCCTACATGAAAAAAAACTACTAATTAACATATTGCTAAATATGTTAACTAATATCCTTTTTTATATCTTTTCCTTTTTTTTTCATTTAATGAACTTTGTAATATCTTTCCCTATTTTTTTAATCCTACAGTGATTTTAAAATCAAAGTCATCTCAATGGAAGAGAATGAATGCACTGTGTTATACTCAGGTCACCAGGCCCCCGTGTTGAGTGTTTGTCTGGATCCCACCAGAGAATTTGTTGTATGTTTATACCTAGTGTACACAGATTATTGTAATTTAAAAACAACATTGAAAGTGAAACAAATACTTAGGCATCCCCCATTTGAAAGTTCAATTTTCATTTTTCTGTCTAAATCTTTTAAAAACTTTTTGAAAACTGCTATTTTATTTATGAATTTCAGGCCTCATCAAGTTGTGATGGTACTGTGAAAATTTGGAGCATAGTTGATGGAGCTACAGAGAAAACTTTGAATTTGTTGACCAAATGTAATGAAGTTTGGTATGTGATCATGTTTAAAAATATAGTTTTCTTTCTTAAAACCTAGAAACACTTATTCTTTTATTTATTAAAAAAATTATAGTTACTTTATTTTAATCAATTTATTAGTTTGTGGGTTTGTGAATCAAAGCTTAAGGGCAAGAGTGGGTGATGGCGTTAAAATTGTAAAAATAAAAGCAAAAATGGCCACCATCAACATGGCAGCGGCAGGAAAATTTCCGCCATTTTTTAATTTTTAGACTTAACTCTTTCAGTTATAACTATATGTTAGATGTGAATTGTAGCTTTGTTCTTTACAATTTTTTGTCATAAATATTTAAACAATTATTTTCTTTTTTTTTACAGTCAAGCCAAAACACTTTGCAGGATGTGTTGGTCACATGATGGAGAGGTTAGTTAACTTGGATTGGATTGGCTGTTAATCTGATTATCTGATTATTTAAGAAGAGGCATCAATGCATTAACAATAAAATGAATTTTTTTTAAAAATTTTACTGGCTTGCACAGAGTGCGACTGGTATAATTTGCTAATGATATGTTTATTTAATATCCCTTTTTTGTCTTTATAGTTCTTGTTGGTCCCAGTAGAGAGTGAAATCCATATTTACCTTCGTTCATCATGGGAAGTTGTAAGGAAAGTGAGCAGTTCAGACATTAAAGAGGTAAATCTATTAGTTAAAAATAGTTGGCCTGTCATACCACTTCATCCATTTTTTTTATTAATACATTGTCTAACTTTCAGATTGCTTTTGTCACAAAATATTTTAAAAATGAGTAAATCTGTGTTTAGCCTGAAGGTTTATTCTTCTAGTACCAAATTTGTTGGATGAGACTTTAAAGGATACTCCCACAAACTAATGCTTTGTTTTATTTATTTAAATATATATTAATTTTATTTTTCCCCCACCCACCCAGGTTATAAATGTGATGAGCATGTGCCCAGATGGAAAGCATGTTGCTGTTGGCTGCAGCAATGGAGGGATTGCAGTTTTTGACTGGCAGAACAACAGACTTGTAGACAAGTAAGTTTATCTACCACAATGTTTTTTTATCTACCACAATGGTTTTTTTTATCTACCACAATGTTTTGTTTATCTAGCACAATGTTTTGAACAGCTGTAAAAAAAAAATTAAGTAAATTTATTTACACCTGGCAAACAATGCAATGGGGCAAGTGAAAATGCCCACCTGTTTTTGTGACCACTGCTTTATGAAACTGGTTAGTTCAATACCCAGTGACATTTACTTACCCTAATTTAGTTAGGCATCCTTCAGTGTGGACTTAGGGATGTCCTGAGGATTTGAGTCAATGATTTGAATGAGAGATGTTTGGGTAAGCAGTCATATTCACTACCACCTGACCACATTGTACCATTCTGAGCAGTTGAGGAACCCCTTGCATATTCTTTCATCATGTGGAACTTTTATTAGGCTTATTCCCAATTCAATGTGTTTTTTTTAATTTTTAATATCCTTTTGATCCTGTACTTTGTCCTCTGTTTTTTCTATACATTTTTTTGCAACATTATGAGTTTAAATATTTGATAATGCCTGCTGTTACTAAGTTTAATTGAATTTTTTTTCATCCAGTTCATTTCAGAGTTTCAGTTCCATGAACGAAATATAAAATATTGATTTTACTATTAATTTTTTACTCTCAGACATTCTCACCCTAAGCACTTAGCTATAACTTCAGTGGCATGGAATCCACTTCAATGGAGTGAGCTTGCATTCTGCGACAATGTTGTAAGCATGTTGTTTGTTTTTACATTTTATTAAAAAATGTCCCTGTTGCGTGTATTGATTCTGCAACTAAAAATTTTTTTAAAAGCAATGGTGCACTTATATAAAAAATTTATATTTAATTTATATTTACATTATATCCTTGAAAAAAAATACTGAAAAAGTCTTTGCCAGATATAGAGCTATATCTGTTCCCAACATTAAAACTACTTCCAAATTGTAAGTGGTTAATTAGCCTACATCCCTGTAATTATTTATAACTGTCATTTAATTAATCAAGTTAGTAATTTTTACAATTTAACTGAACCTTCTCTTGCCAATACTCATCAGGGACAACTGGGTTTTCTGGACATAGCAGCTGTTGAAAATAAGGTATTTAGAAAAAAAATCTTTTTAAACGTACTTTACATTTTATAACCATATTTTTATTACATTTTTATCTAGCTATTCGGTAAGCAACAGTTTTTTTCTAAAACTTTATACTTTTGGAGTCAGTAATCCATATTTTAGGGAAGAATGAACTGACTTTAAAAGAGTTATTATAAACTTAATACACAGAAATATTTTTCAGACTGAAGTTACTGGCAATGGTTCTAGAGCATTTGATGATGTGGATGATGATATGCTCATCTCAGCTAGTGGGCATCCAAGTAAAGACATGGATGATGTTAATAAGTTTCTTGAAGATGATGACAACAGCATAGACATCGGCAGTATCAAAAGAAGCTTGAACCTAGACAATGAAGATACCAGTGAGTTCTTGAAATTTGTGCCTTAACACTGTCAGGATATGGAACGGAATGTTCAGGTGGTAGAGCTCTCAACTGCTAGCAAAAAGTCACATTTTGGATTTCAGTCCAGACCTGAGTCTGTATGAGTCCACCTAGCTCTGACACATTAGGGAAACTAAAGTCAGCTGGGCATAGTGATGACCACATCATCCTTTCATATTTTGAGATCAAGAAACATGAACTCTACTTCATCTGCCTTATGGATTGTTAGAAAAATTTAACTTTAATCTCATAATCTCAGAATATTTTTATTGAATTAATTAAGCAGTCATTTATGTTCAAAGAATTATGTCTCTTTGTTTAAATTATTCAATCACATTAAATTAGATAATAAGTTATATTATAAATATAAATTATATATTAAATAAGTAATTTTGGCATAGATAACATTTTAAATAATTTTTCTTCCCATGTGTTTAAAACAGATTCCATGGCAGCAAGCAAAGATGGTGACTCTAAAGCTGCACCACCTTCAGTCCCCATGATGTCACTTCCTGCAGACATTTTTAAACCTACACCTCCACAAGCTCCATTTCAGCCTGGCTCAACACCAGAACATCTCTCAAGTAGATTTATGGTAATGATAAAAATAAAACAATGGTCTTTTTTTTTTCACAATTTATTTTAGTTCTAGGTTCTGCTTTGGCATTTGGCACGTTTCTTTACCATATGTTTCATTTTACAAAATCTTTTCTTTTATTCTACCTGTTCCTGAAAAATCTGCTAGCTTACTATTAGAGAGAAATATTTTATTTACTTTACAAATATTTTCAAAACAATTAAATTTTGTATTTAAAAATTCAGTAATTGTTACTTTGTTAACCCTAATGATGTAAATTAATCAGCGCGATTTGTTTTTTGAAATCTCTAGATGTGGAACTCTGTTGGTATTGTGAGACAGTATGTTTCTGATGATGAGAACTCTATTGATGTTGAGTTCCATGACACAACAACCCACCATGCATTGCACATAGACAATAAATCAGATTATGTGATGGCAGCTTTATCTAAGCAGGCTGTGCTGTTTGCTTCAAGGGAAGAAGATGACAATCCAAGGTTTGTTTTTAAAACTATTTTCAATCTGGGGTTGTTTTTTTTTTTTCAAATTTAAAAAAAATTATTTGTATTAAAGGTAAAAAGATAATTTTATCAAGGCTGTAAATAAAAAGTGTAGTTTCATATTTTTTTTTTTATAAAGGTCACTTTCTTCAAGGATTTGGTATTCATAATAAAAAAATTTTTAAAGTGTTTTGTTTAATAAGCTTATTTTCCACAAGTGTTTACACTTATTAAGATTTTACCAAGGGTTTTTATTTTTAGAAGATGACTTACAACAAGCATGTTTATGTGACAGTTTTTCAAGACTTAACATCTTATTTGAAACAGTCATGTGTTTAATTTAGTAAAGGTTGGATTATTGCAGTATATAAGTTTAGGTCCAAAGTGTCATTGTTTACATGTAAATTGCCTGTTGCAGCAAACTCTTCTGTATGCACTTTGGCTCATGGGATAGCCACAAAGAATGGTCGTACTCCATGCCCCTTGGCGAGGATATAAGGGTATGTTAAATAAATATTTTCCTGTTGCGGAAATGTTTTCAATCTTTATACACTTTCTTCTATATTGGTTTTAATTTTATTATTTACATAGCATTTTTTCGTAACAGTACCATAAGAGCTAATTAACTGATTTACCTAGATCCATATGCTACTAGGTTTTATCGGTTATTAGGTCTTTGAGGCTAAAAGGTCTTTATGGGGTATTAGGTCTTATTAATAGTCTTAGCATTTTTAGTTACAAAAATGTCTTTGTCAATAGTGTGCCTGTGAAGCAATAACAGGTGCTAAATTAATTAAATTTGTCTTTCAGGCAATTACTGTTACCAATTTAATTTATTTTATGTTTCAGGCAATTACTGTTACCAATTAATTAATGTTGTGTTTCAGGCTATTACTGTGACCAATGGCTGGGTTGCCGTGGCAACAGAGAGCCGCATGCTGAGGATGTTTACACTAGGAGGCCTGCAGCGCCAGATTTTCTCCCTCCCCGGAAATGTTGTGGCCCTGGCGTCACATGAGAACACTCTACTGGTTGTGTACCACAAAGGGATGGGGTTGCCGGGAGACCAGTTTATGGGTGTTATGGTCCTAAAAGTTCAGGGAAACACTAGAAGAATGATAATTAACGACACGCTGCCTTTATCACCAGCATCTAAACTTTCATGGATAGGGTAGGAGTTCTTTTTTTTTACACATTTAAAAAATTTTCTAACATTTATTTCAGCAAAAAAAATGTTTTTAAATTTAGTTTTGCACTATTAGCTAGCCATTTCTTAAACTAATTTAAGTTTTGTGTATACTTCCCTCCTTACAGTTTCTCAGAGGAAGGGAATGTTTTTTATATGGATGTGGCAGGTGTTGTCAGAATGTTAAATCGTAACTTTAGCTCCACCTGGTGTCCAGTTGCTAATACTAAGCAGCATGTAAGTATTTTATAAACATCCATTATTATGATAAAATCGCCCTTATATTAGGATACCTACTATTCTTTTTGTATTTTGTAATGAACTACATTTACACCAATATATTTAAAGCTAATGGCGATGTGTAAAAATACAAAAAAAATTTTAACTACTGTAGGTGAAGGGGAAATCTGACCATTATTGGCTTGTGAGTGTTTGTGAAAAGTTTCAACAATTAAGGTATGTTGTCATAGATCTAGATCAGGTAACTAGGAACAAAGTTAAAGGTTTAGATAAGTTACTAGTAACATATTTTTAAAAAAAATGCAATGCTTCTATCCTACTTGAGTCGAGTGTAGTCATAAAATAAAATTTTGAAATTTCATTTTTTTTCAATTAGGTGTGTTCCTTGCAAAGGTTCACGGTTCCCTGCAACGTTGCCTAGACCAGCTCTGGCTGTTTTGTCGTTCCAACTACCAATGTGTGATCCAGAATCTGAGAAAACTCAATACGAAGTTAGTTGACGACCCCTGCCAATTTTATTTCACTTTTATTTCAAAGTACATTGTTTCAAAATTACATCTTTCTTAATTTGACAGCATAGTATTTACTTTTTTCTCATATAGTATATTTAAGTGGTCAGTCTAGGAGCAGTTGCTATATTTACAACATTTACAGCCTTTTTTTTTAAAGTAGCCAGTGAATATATTGAGAATATTAAGTTCAAGATTTAATATTTTCTAGTTTTTATTTTTTAAAGAATTGTTTGTTGTTTTTTTTTTAATTTTTTAGTATTTTCTAATTTTTAATCCTTTTAAACTTGACTTTTATAAACCACTGCTATCGTAATATTTTAGGAAACTTATCAGCGCAGCTACATGTTTGCAAAAAATCTGACGGGCCCAGATATTGATGAGGAGGAATTAAATAAACCAGTTCGGGAAGCGCTCATACGTTTATTTGCCGTAAGTGAATACCCTACATTTTCTGTAGTTTCTGAAAATCTAAATTATATTTAAACTAATACTTATTTCTCACAATTTTTTTACTGTCCAGGACAGGCAGGAAAAAAATGTTTCTTTTTTTTTTTTAAAAAAAAAAAAGCTCTCAGCTACAAAAGGAATATTTATATTTCAGTTTGCGGCTAAATCTGAAAGAGATTTTAGAGCTCTGGAAGTTTGTGGCATGATGGAGGATCACAACTTACTTCATCTGGCAGCTACGTATGCAACACGACTCAGGCGCATACAGTTAGCAGAGCGTGTCAGTGAGTTCATGCAGGAACGTCAGGAGGCCCTGGAACAGAAGCAGGATGATGAGCAGGAGAGCGAAGAGGAAGACCAAACAGAATCTGCATCAAATACATTGTAAGTTATGCATTTTCTTGGGCTAATAGTTAGAAATTTACTTTTTCCTTATAATTAGTTATGAATATTTCAAGAATAATAATGATTTGCCTACAAATTAGATTTCTCTTTATTTTTGATTTCACCAAAACAAAAATGACTTGTTTTAAATCTAAAAATATTACAAACCTAAAATACACATTTTTAGTTTCATGTTAATCTCTATGACAAATGAAATACAGTTCTGCTTTTTCTTTGACCTAAGTGAATGGACTGTATGGTCAGAACAATTCCTAGTTGTTTTTACTCTACCCAACAGTCAACTCCAGCCGGGTACCTGTCTATGATCTCACATGTGCTCATTTATTTTCTCCCCAGTTCACAATCTAATGCAGTAGACAATGATGATGACACAGAAATGGGAACAGAGAATGAAGAAACAGTTGACAGTGATAATAAAAACTTTAGTTCAGGTTAGTGGTTTTTTTTAGCTTTGTTATTGAAAGTATGCTAGAAACAGTGTTAAATGTTATATTACAAATACCTCAGTTAAATAGCACCAAAATTTAATAACAAAATAGTAAATTAGTACTGTTTCTTATACATACAATTTTTTTAAAAACCAATCAGCAGTTCAGTCAAGATTTTATGTAATGATAATTGATTTAATATTGTCCATACAGGCCCAATTTTGAAAACATCAGTAGAAAAAGAGTCAAAATTTAAAATAAAATCATCGGGGAGACCCAATCCTTTCAAGGTAATAAACTGATTTCCTAAGTTAAAAATTATTTTATAATTCTCCATTTTTACCATTGATAAACCTAGCAAAATCACAATATTCACTAAGCATGCAGCTCCATATACCAAATTATAATTTTTTAAATCAAAGTCAATTTATGTTGTTAAAACTAATTAGCTTTTTCCTTTCCCCAGATGTTGACTGTAGCTGATAAAAAGCCAACCAAGGGTACCCAGATTTTTGACAAGATGGAAAAGACAACACCCAAAGCCTCCCCAATATTTGCCCCCTTGCCAGTTAACATAAAGAAATCAACTAAAAAGGTTAGCTCCATAGTTTGTGTGAAATCTTTTTAAATTTTAACTTTTTTTATAGTATAATCTTTTTTAACTCGCCTTTTTATTTTATTTATTTTTAGCAAACTGTTAATCAGCCCAAATTAACAAGTTTTAAGAAAGAAGACAAAAAAGAAACCAAATCTAGCTTGAACCAAGAAGTTTCTGAAAATGTGGTTGTCAAAAAGTATGCTTTTCTCTTGTTATAAAGAGTAAATCAATATTGTAATTATATAATTGGTTTAACTATGCATTTTTGGCTACAAGCATCTATTTGCTCTCACCACTTTTCCTTAAAAAATTCGTTTTTTTTTTTTTTTTTTAAATCTTTTTTTTTTTTTCATTTTAAAAAAAAATGTAAAATGATTGTTTCTACTAGGAAAGTCAGTGCCTTTAGTCTATGGTACGAAGAGTCTAAAGCTGATCTAATGGAGGAACACCCAGAACTCTCAGAGGAAGATTTAGGTCAAGCTGGTGCAGAAAAATTTAGAGCTTTATCTAAAGAAGAAAGGGAGGTAAGAATCAGATTATCTCCCTTCTATTAATTGCAAAATAATATGCTGAGATTAAAAAAAATTACAATAGTATTCTGTGCTCTACAGTCAGTTATATTAAAGAATGGCAAATATTAGATTTTTATACTCCAGGAAATACATAATCTTGTTGTTGGTGATAACTATTAAAGCTTAAGCCTAATTAAGTGGTATAAATAAAAGGCTGGTGGGTATTTTGCAATGCCTGAATACCTAAATAAATAGTGACAAGTGAAATCTACTCCAGAAAATGAGGTTTAGAATAGACGAGCCGACCCGCTGCGTATCATACGCCGCTATTTAGTTGTTTTTTTTTCTACTTTTCAGTAATTTATAATTTGTGAATTCGACAGTACCAATGCTGCCACTGAAAATATTTGCTTAAAAACACTAAACCCCCCCTTCCCCCCCCCCCCCCCCGCCCCCCTCGTGAAAGCAGCCTCCTCTTAGTTACCTCCTCTAAGTTTAAAATCGTTTCAAACTAAATTATCTGCCCCTAATAGCCGTCACCAAACCCGTCTCTGTGATTGTAAAATGTAAACAGAGTGAACACCGCTCACCAGATCATGTGGGGGTGGGGTGGGGGTGGTAGTGATAGTGATAGAGAGGAAGAGAGGGGACTGCAAAGGCGCGCTTGCAGCTTGTTTTCTAACTGATCCCAGAAGAGAATTATATATATAGATTTTTATTTATAAAAAAAAAAACATTTTTTTTTTACTTTATAAATATGTCAAATGTTATGCTAGATCATTTGATTTTAAAAAATCAAATGGCGGATGAGGCAGAATTCACCATACTGTTTAGCATCTGCATATTAAGTGTTTGTGTAGCTTGTTACTTTTAAATGTAGCATTAATATACATCAAGATATTTCTGCACTTAGAAACTTAACATTTTCTTTTAATAGTAACTGATTTTTAAAAGTAACTGATTTTTTAAACATTTTTTTCTAGTTGTGGGTGATGAAGGCAAAAGAAGCATCGAATGAAGTTGAACCATCAAAGAAAAGAAAACTGTCAGGGGACTCAGATGGTAAGGGAACACAAGAAGAGCAGAAAAGGATCAAGACAGAAAGCAAGCCTCTTTCTCAAACAACCAATGCCAAGTTAGCAAAGTTTGCTAAACAAGAGTAGACCACTCACCTTCGCTGTGTTAACTTTATGTGAAATGTGTTGCCATGAAATATTTATTGTACAGTGTGTATAGCTTTCTTAATGTATACTTTTTTTTTTTTTGAGGAGACAGTAAAATAATTTGCAAATAAAAAACATTAAAGAGTTTGTGTGTTATAGATAGCTTTTATTTCACTGTACACAACTCTTCATGATCAAAATACTAGGTCATGATATCGGTCTACGACAAATTCCCTAATACTATTTGCCCAAAGGACATGCTTGAATGTACACAAATTGTATAGCAATTTATAAATAAATAAATATAGAATCTAGGGTTCCTTTGTAATTCCAGGTTTAGTGACAATGAACTATGTAGAGAATTAGTATCAGCATTTATCCTACATTTGTATTAAAATCAGTGCATAGTTTTGCTAGAAATTATGGCTGTTATAAAAATTGGGGGTGGAAGGAGCTTAAAGCATACACAAACAGCTTTTCTTTGTAAACAAAAATGATGTATAGCGTGGATCAATGTCACATGGTCGGAATGTGATCGGCACATGATAAATACAAATGTGTAAAATTTATTGACAACATTCAAATGTTCTGAAACAAATCTATTTCCCATAACTAACAATAATTAAAAGTAAGCTGTACTATTTTTTTAAGCATTCTGCAAAGGCATTAAAAATTACAATGCAAAATATATTCTGATCAACCACACAGTTTATTTTATTGGAATGGTTATAAGTGTTTTAATCTACAATTGTGGCAGGCACTGTGAAACAGACTGCATCAGTTGAGTCAGAGGCAACTAGTTCATACTTCACAAGTAGTGTGATCTGGAGACAAAATTTAAAAAAAGACCAGTAGTTTATACACTATATTACCAAGATTTTGTCAATTAGCATTGATAATGGAAATTTAAAAAATTGGAATGCAAAACTAATACTGATAGCCTATTTGGAGTCATTTAAAAACAATTCATGTTGACCCTAAGAACTCTAAATGAATAGGGCAGAGATCATCTTTTTATACATAAAGGGATAGTATGGTTGTTTCTCTCTGCCATGAGTTACTTGTAGGATCTAGATGGTCTCATGGGACTGGGAACCAAACTCAACATATTCAGGATAGATATATTAGACATCCTATGCCTGATCAAACTACCATGCCAAGTAACATAAACTAATATCAGTCACATTGCATTTTTTTTACTCAAAAGGTATAGTGTACAAAATTAAATAAAGGTTTTTAATTTCTGATGCAATAATTGTGTATAGTGGGCATTCATATTGAAGGAAATTAACATTGTTATTTAGTAACTTTCAACTCTTTCTACTGTGGTCTATCTACCATCCCACAGGCCAAACAAACAAAATGTCAGCATTGACATAAATGGCATGGATATTAACATTTCTGTGCCTGTAGTTCCATAAGGCATACTTCTTAGGAATATTATCTTATTACCTCCAATATGTTAATGAGTCTTTAATGAATAAAACTGTTGCATTAAAATTAAATAAAACTAAAATAAAATGGAAACAGAAAAAGTTAGCATTGTACTTTTGAGTTTTTGTTTTTTGAGGATATACCTTGGGATAAACCTGCTGCACAAAAATGGCATTCTTGTAGAGACCAGTAGCCCCAGAGGCAATAGGGCAGGTCATGAAGTGACAAGCATTAGGGTCAGGCAATGGGAATGGAACGGGCACTCCAGCGATTATGCCATGGACAGAAGTCACTGCCTCAGTTATTTCCTGGTCTGTGAACAAAGAAATGATGTGCTGAGATAAAAAAGAAGTTTCCTTTAATGTAACTTGATCTCATTTACAGAGCTCTTTATTTTATTGTTAGGATGTACATCAATATAAAATGGATGTCTTCACTATATTTTAATTTCATACTAGACTAAATTTCTCACTTTTAAAAGGTGGGGCACTAATGCAAACAGCAAGTTGTAAAAGCAAAAAGTTAAGTTCCCTTTTCAAACCTGGGTCTATGGGGCAAGTGAAGTAGATTTCATATGTTTCTGTGACGAGATATATAAAAAGATAGCGAGGTCAGCACTACGCCCAGCCGCCTTTACTTTCCCTAACGTGAGTTAGGTACCCATCAGAGTTGGGTGGACTCAGGAACATTCTACTGACTTCAACCGGGATTTGAACTCTAGTCTTACAGGTTAGCAGTCCAGCTCTCTACCGCTAGACCACTCCGTCCTCAAACAGCAAATTGTGGTAGTTTTTAAGTTAACTATCCAGCCACGTTGTAGCTATATAAAGACTGCAATTTTCAGCAAGTTTTAATGTATCTCTCCAGTACTTACTAAATTTTGATAACTCCTTTGGTCTTAAATAGAATAAATAGCATTTAAAACTTTTAAAAAAATATTTATTAAAAGGCTTTTATCAGAGTAAAGCCTTGAATAACCTAACACTGTCTAGTATTTGACAAACTTACTGGCAGTAAAAGTGATGGTCACACTGACATTGGTGTTTCTCTTGAAGGGGCAAGGAATTGTTGAGCAGGGTGTTACATCAATTTGAGTTATTGTACCTGCTTTGGATCCTGTATGAAAAGTAGTGGAAATGACAGTAAATAGAAAACCACTAATCATGTATATAATACATCCCAATTCAGAGAATTGAAATAGGGCACAGGAATGTAAAAAGTTACAGTGAAATTGTAGGCTTTGTTAAGCAGTCAAAAAGTTATTCTTTCTTGTTTCTGGTTCAAAAGTCTAAGTCAGTGATGAGAACTAACAATCCCTTAAAATACTTTATATATCCTTAGGAGTTTATTAATCCAATATTAGCTATATAATTGTTAAATAAAAAATAATGAGCGTAGGCCAATATGATACAAATTCAAAAAAATATAAACTAATTTTTCTAATATAAGTAAAGAATCCTCTTTAGACCTAGTGATCCATTGGAAGATGAAGTAGAGTTTGTATGTTTCTTGACCTCGGCATATGAAGGCAAGGTGTGGTCAGCACTTTTGTCCAGCCACATTTACTTTCCTTAACATGAGTTCAGTACCCATCAGAGCTGGGTGGACTCAGGGACATTCTTTTGACTTGGACCTGGATTTGAACTCGAGTCTTTCGGGTTGCCAGCCTAGCGCTCTACCATTTAGGCCACGCTGTCCCATGGTTTCTGTTGGTAGTGGTTCTTGTAGGTTAAGTTTTAAGCCAGCTAAGGTTATTTACTGCATTGTTAACCAGTGTGGATAGTGATACTAGCAAAAGATTAGCTATTATGTTGTATTTATATATGTGTGTGTATGTGTTTTTCCTAATATATAAAAGCCCATGTGTATACATCTCTCTCTCTCTCTCTCTCTGCAATATTTTTTGGCAAAATGTTCAGCGATATATGGAGAACTTAAAGATACAGACTTTTGTTGAAAATAATATGGTGGATGGTGTAAATGTATAAACTAAATTTTATTTCAAGGAGGAAAATAAAAATAAAGGCATATTCAAATGTAGAAACAGATTTCCAGCTAAAGCGTTTATGACAATAATGCAATAAACAATGACGTCACATGACACATGTTTAAACTAAGGAAGAACACAAAACTAATGGTGCCATCTTCCAAATTTAAATTTAAATTTTGCAATGATGTAGTGTAGAGAAAGGAATAATTATTTTAGTTAGTAGATCTGAATGAATGGGACGGCGTGGTCTACAGCTAGAAAGCTAAACTGCTAAACAGAGAGTCTCGAGTTCAAATCTGGGGTTCAAATCAGTGGAACGTCCCTGAGTCTACCCAGCTCTGATGGGTACCTAACTTAACTTGCATTTAGGAAACAAAGGCGGCTGGGCATAGTGCTGACCACACTATCCCTTCTTATACTAAGGTCAATGAATCAGATGAACTCTACTTCATCTGTGTCTTGAGCACAAACGGGATTAGGAAGATAGAAGATCTGAATGAAGGCTTTTTTAAATTTTATTTTTAAATTATTACTAGATCTAGAATCTCTCTTCCTCTCTACTAGAGAGTCTCTAGGCATATCTCTACCAACCCCACCCCCACATGGTCTGGTGAGCTGTGGTTCACGATGTTTAGGGTTGCCAGGTGTCCAGTTTTGAACTGGACAGTCCAGTATTTGAGCAGACTGTCCAGGATAAAATAAATATAAATACTGGACAAGTATATGAATAATACTCTGTTACACCCCCCCCCCCCCTTCTTCTGCTTTGCGGCATACCTGAGAAGGGAAGGATGGAAAGATGTCCAGTATTTTCGGAAAAGGTATCTGGTCGATGTTTACAATCATAGAGCCGGGTTTAGTGACGGCTATAAGGGGCAGATAATTTAGTTTGAAACGTTTTTAAACTTAGGGGAGGTAGGCCCCCTAAATACTATTAGTCTAAGACTCTAAGAGGAGGCTGCTTTCACGGGGGGGGGGGTAGGGGGAAAGGAGGATGGGGGTAATATCGTCCTTAACTACCTACTGATAGTGTTTTAAAGCAAATATTTTCAGTGGCAGCACTGGTACTGTCGAATTCACAAATTATGAATTACTGAAAAGTAGAAAATAAACAACTAAATAGTAAATAGCGGCATATGATACGCCGAGGGTCGGCTCGTTCTCTATAATTTTTGTCCGCTGTTTTGTTTCTCGACTGCTAACTCTACTACTTAACTACTGGTGGCTTCTATTTGAATAAAAATAGCCATTTAAAAGAAAACAGAATCTAGCCTAGGCCCTAACCCTAACCTAGTCTAGATCTAGATTTAGATCTAGATCTAGGTTTTGTTAAAAAAAAAAAGCCGGTCGTTATTTGGTCTCGACAAAAGAAATAAAATAATAGATTTTCTAGATCTAGATCTAGATCTAGCTAAAAAAAAAAATTATATTATTATATTTATAATATTATTAATATAGATTTAGAATAGATTCTAGATCTAGATCTAGATCTAGAATCTATGTATTTAGAATAGATCTAGATCGCCTGATCTAGTCTAGAATTAGAATCTAGATCTATTAATAGACCACTTAAGTGAAAAGATTTTTTTTTTCAATTTACCGCAGTCATGGATTGGAATAACTTCTGCACTGACAATCCCGAAAGCAACACCAGCAAATACGAATAATATCGTCGTAGTCCACTTCATTTCGTTTGCTTGTCCAGTCTTTTGCAACTAAAATTATTTCAACGTAATTTAAATCTAGATCTAGATCTGGAATCTAGGTCTAAAAATAATTAAGCTTCCTGGCTTTGAAAGTCTGCGAAACACTGTGAAACCAAGCGATATATAGCTTCCTCAATGAATGAGATCACACTGACTTTATCGGTCTTAAGTAGGGTTTTTATAAGGCCAAGTTTATTTTAGTGCGTGAACAGAACCTAGATCTAGTACTAGGCTAGTTAGTATCGTATGATTCTTGCTGATTAGCCCTATCTTGTTTTTTCCCCCACTTGATTACGTTTTTGTTTTAAAAATAAACTTGAATTATAATTTCTTTCTTATATTATCTTTACTCTTTCTCCCTCTCTGTTAAATTATTTTAAAAATTAATATAGGCCTAAATCCAATATAGCGTCTCGGTATGTTGAGGGAAAGGCTTAGATCCCTCCATCCCCTTCCCCACCAGTGTTTCTTTCAGACTTTTTTATCCGGGTGGGGGGGGGGCACTTAAAATTTTCAGGGGGGCGGACTAAAATTTCCGGGGGGGGGAGGTCAATATTAAAAGTATATATTTTCTGTATAAATCCCATTTCGTTCGGGGGGGGGGGGGGGGGGTGGGGGGTGGTAGACTTTCTTTGGGGAGGGGGGGGGGGGAAGAAAGATGCCTGGATGAAACTCTGTTCCCCACTCAGAGGCGAAGCTAGGGGAGGACGGGTGGGGGAGTCCCCTTAGGCGCCAACTCTAGAGGGCGCCAAACGCATGTGAAGCTCATTTAGTAGATCTACATTATTGAATGATACACCGTCGAAGTAAAGATAATAGGTTGCTACTTGACTGTACAAAATGATTTAGCTGTTCTCTAAACAGTTATTCAGCTACTGTGCGACACTAACATAAAATCGGCAACGGGACATTGACTGATAAGCGCCCCCAACCTTTCTAAACGGGATTATGGGGGGGGGGGGGGGGTCAGCAACATGAATAATTATACAAGGGAGGGGGAAAAATTTAAAAGTTCGCCCTGGGAAGGGTATCTGCTGTCGATCTGAACGCTGATTACTAAAAATCTTGGTTAGGGGCGTCAACTGCGCCCGCACGATTTGTCCCCTTCCTAAACTGTTGAAGCACATTAGCTCAGAGTTTCTTCCAGGCATCTCTTCGGGGGGGCGAAGCCCCCCCGAAAAATTTTTACCGCCCCCCCGAACGAAATGAAATTTATATAATTTATATAGAAAATATATACTTTTAACAGTGTCCGCCCCCCCGAAGAAAGTTTACCGCCCCCCCGAAGATTTCAAGTGCCCCCCCGGAGAAAAAAGTCTGGAAGAAACACTGCATTAGCTCACCCCACCCCCACACACACAACTGCTATTTTTTGTCTACTTTTTGTTAGATCATCAAATAGCCTTACAGAAATCCAGCTGACACATTGTTTTTATTTTTTTTAATTTTTTTTTTTATTCTAAGATCTAAATTCAGTACTGTAAGTGTAAGGAGAAGTGGGTTGTTGTTTTTCCATTTGCGAACACGTTTTTTTTTTTTTTATAAAGGGTAATCACAACTTTGACCTATTGAACTATTTTTAATAGGTAACTAGATAATTAATTTTCCAGGTTGCTAGACTTTGACCTCCTGATTTTAAAATTCTAATTCTCTATTGCAAAACGCGGCAGTGTTTGACCTGACCTTGGACTTAAATAAGACGGTGTTTTTCCCCCACAAAGAATTAAATTAAACCTAAATAACTAAGCTTCGCATGAGCATCGTAGCTTAATCTAGATCACAGTCCACAGTTTTAGACTGCTAAATATCTTGACGTGATGTCCTATTGTTGTTCAGTCAGTACAGCGATGAGTAATACAAGAGAGTGATGCAGGGGCGGATTAAGTTTGAGGGGGGGGGGCACCAGTTGAAATTTTATAGTGCCCCTGCGTATGCATAAAAAGCTTCTGGTTTGGACAGCAAATAAAAAAAGCTTGTCATTTAAACAATAAAAAGGTCATTAAATTTACATTAAGCAGAAGTCTGTCGGAAAATTAAATTTACTATGTAAGAGCAAATTTGAAGACTTCTAAAAATACCTCTCAACACCCCCCCCCCCCCCCACCTCCATAATCCGCCACTATCTGCCCTATGATAACCAGTATCGAAGAGGCAACTAATAAAGACTAATATCTCAAATAATGCCAGTGGCGTAGCGAGGTCGGGTGTCACCCGGTGCGGCACTTAATGGTGTCACCCCCCAGAGGCGTAGTGACCCTTCCCTTTCAAATTTTCGATTTGCACCCCCCCCCCTTCAAACTTTTCGATTTGCACCCCCCCTCATACTTTCGATTTGCACCCCCCTCAAGTTTTTCTATATATATTTTGCTATTTTTTGCCTTGGTGTCACCCCCCCCCCCCTAAATGGTGTCAGCCGGTGCGGTCCGCACCCCCCGCCCCCCCCTCCTCGATACGCCCCTGAATAATGCTACTAGGGACTTTTAATCATTTTAATCCAAAACAACTAGATCTAGATACCATATACCTAAAAATATAACTGTCCAAAACCTCAGTTCTAATAACAGATATGTAAAGCATATTTTCTTACCTTTCTTAGTAATGTAGCTGGTGAGCAAAAACGGTCGGGCATTTTTAAATTTTGGGGGCCCCAGGCCGCAGCCTTCTCAGCCTCCCCCTTAATCCGCTACTGGTTGTGATGATAAACATTCCTATAACGTTGGTTTAGTTTTAGTTTAGATATCCTTTTCTTACACATCGCGATATTATCTTCGCAGCTAGTAAGAAAATACCTACAGATAACGTCTATCTGTCGTATCTTTAGTTCACCGGCAGGCAAACAATGTGTTAACAATAGGCAGATAGTTGAAACTATGTAGATCGTGTACTTTAATGTACAGTTAATACATTTAACTTGTTTATTTTAAATCTTTCCAGTCTGGTATCCCCCCCCCCTCTCTGCATAGCCCATCTTTTCACATACCAAGGAGTTAAGCTTCACACAATCGGGATTGGTGTGTGTTATCACTTATATTCTCCATTAGAATTATCATTTATTGAATTGAAATTCATAATTTGTAAAAATCGGTGTCTCTTATCCTTTTCGGAGGTACCGAAACCCATCAGTTTCATATGCGATTTCACGGAACCCTTCTTATTAGTTCTATCGTCCGCACTGACAAATTCCGATCGTGAAACATATGATTCTAGTGTGTACCGAGATCACTGCAGTAGATGGCTAAATTTCTCCATTACACTGTGTGGTAAACATCAATATACTTAGCTGGGTGTCAACTATTTGAAAATGGTTTTGGAGTAGTTTAGAAGTTTATGTTAGTTGTTAAGGATATGATTCAGGTAGGGATCAATATGTTTAACTTGCGTAATAACTTAAATCCGCCTATTACCTGATATTGGAAAAGTATTACACACAATTAAGCATTGAAAGACCTAGTCAGCGAAGAGTCACAGGGTAGTGTTTTCTTAAGTATCATGCACACGGGAACATGGGATGTTAGGGGAACAAGGACATGGGATCGTGCGTATTCAGGAATTGTGCTCATAGGATCGTGAACAGTAGGGAATCATCCACAATGGATCGTGCACATTCATGTACTGTGCTCATTGGATCATGAGTCGAGATCGTGCACATTCAGGGATCGTGAACATTAGGGGATTATATACATGGGATGGTGTACATTCAGGTACTGTGCTTATAGATCGTGAATATTAAGGAATCCTGCGCTTTGGTTCGTGCACACTTAGGCACCATGCACATTTTAAAAGCACACAAAGTGGGTGTGGTTTGTTGTCCGAAGTTCCTACCCTCAAGTTAACATGATTGAACGAGCCATTTAACACTCACGAGTAAAACATCATAGACCAAGATTGCAAGACTATGTTTTTCCGACTCTGGGAGGTGTAAAACGTCGAGATTTGCAAAAATCTTGATTTTTTTTTTGCACGATTACAATACTTTCTCTATACTTCGTATATACGAGAAAGTAAAAAAAACACGAATCCTTCTAAACTCAAGAGCTCATTTCACATTTTGTATTGTTTCTAATCCTCACTAAAGTCACGTGATCTCATCAGTAATTCTTTAAAAGCATGAACCTTCTAACACCGGTAGAACCACGCTGTTGTGGTTTTTAAAGAGGAGATGGAAAGTTCTCCTATACATTTGTATGCAATAGTAGTGGGGTTGGGCTGAGGAAAATTTATGTAATTATATATGGAGTATAGGGTGGGTAAAAAAAACTCCATTGTGTTATATGTCTGCATAATCTCTTGGGTGGAAAAATAGCTGTAGAACATTTAGGTGATGATGAAGGGAGGGCGAGTGTGTCGCTCGAATGTTGTAAACACAAGGTAGGCAATCGTTAACGTTACACATTAGAAATATAATATCATTTTATGACTTCACTTTACTATAATGTCACTACTATAAATAAACCATCCAGGTGATGACCTACTTCAGTGGCGAGACACATGTCGTTGGCTATTTTTAGCGGACCATCAGCTGACAGGAAAAAACACAATGACGCCGCTTATGTCAGGAGACGGGTGACCCCATCACGTGACCGGTCACGTTGAGTGTTGATATCCTCACATTGACCTAGTCACAACGCTGAGGGTGGACTCTGAACTTCAGAGGTTTCCAAACTGGGAGGAGCGGGCTAGTATTAGGAGAGGGGGGATTGTTGTTAGGGGATGTCATAGGGGAGGTAAGAACTAGTGCTAGGGGAGGTAAGGACTAGTCCCAGGGGAGGTAAGGACTAGTGCTAGGGGAGGTAAGGACTAGTGCTAGGGGAGGTAAGGACTAGTGCTAGGGGAGGTACATAAGGACTAGTGCTAGGGGAGGTAAGGACTAGTCCTAGGGGAGGTAAGGACTAGTGCAAGGGGAGGTAAGGACTAGTGCTAGGGGAGGTAAGGACTAGTGCTAGGGGAGGTAAGGACTAGTGCTAGGGGAGGTACATAAGGACTAGTGCAAGGGGAGGTAAGGACTAGTGCTTGGGGAGGTAAGAACTAGTGCTAGGGGAGGTAAGGACTAGTCCCAGGGGAGGTAAGGACTAGTGCTAGGGGAGGTAAGGACTAGTGCTAGGGGAGGTACATAAGGACTAGTGCTAGGGGAGGTAAGGACTAGTCCTAGGGGAGGTAAGGACTAGTGCAAGGGGAGGTAAGGACTAGTGCTAGGGGAGGTAAGGACTAGTGCTAGGGGAGGTACATAAGGATTAGTGCTAGGGGAGGTAAGGACTAGTCCTAGGGGAGGTAAGGACTAGTCCTAGGGGAGGTAAGGACTAGTGCTAGGGGAGGTACATAAGGACTAGTCCTAGGGGAGGTAAGGACTAGTGCTAGGGAAGGTACATAAGGACTAGTGCTAGGGGAGGTAATGACTAATGCAAGTGGACTAGTGCAAGTGGAGGTAAGGACGAAAAAACATGGCCGACTTAGAACTTAGTGAAGTCATTGTACGAGGTGGGTATCTATTATTACAATAACAAATCAGGATTTGCCAAGTCAGATTAAAGTATTTAAAGCTGACCTAAGTTCGGTAATTTAAGTACTACAATATTTGATATAAGAATCAATACATCTTATATTCAATTATTGATTTGATGTTATCCAAATGGAAGACCAAGCAATTGTAAAAAAAATAAAACGTTACTGCAACAGCTGGTAAAACATGGGAAAACTGAGACTTCCGTGATGTGGGCTCGTCTGGTGTTTTATTCGACGTCAGTAGAACAACGTCATACACACCGAGATTCGGCGTAAGGCGACTTAAGGGGTAAAACCAGGGTAAGGATTTAAACTAAGGGGGCCAGGTTATGGAATTTTGGCAAGGAAAGGTATAGGCGAGACCGTTCGTTGGGTAAAGGGGGTGAGAGGGGGGGGGGGGGACGGACGGATGAGGATCACCATTGTATATGTCTATATTACATATACATGCATGCTATGTAGGCTATATACAGATGTTGCCTATATATCAGCCCCCCCCTCTCATCCACTCTACACACAGCACAAGGGAGACGACGTTACTTGCACAACTTGGCATCAGATATGTCGCAGGAGTTGCCGAAAAATAAAACCAGAGTTGGTAATCCTATCGCCTTTTAGGCTCCACTCCTGTCTAATTTCAGAGTTGTCTCTCCTAGATGGGTTGCTGTCCCCAGCTATCGAGCCTCATCTGCCCGGCGGTTCGAACTATGGACTTTGCGGGTTAGCACCCATGAGCTCTCCCTCCCTACCATGCCGACCTACTACGACTATTTATACGCCTGTAAACTTTACCCCCACCCTCCCTTAAAAAAATCTAGCTTGGGTCCCCAACCCCTAGAAAAAATACGACTCTCGCCCATGAGTTTATAGATATATTTAGGACACACCTAAGTTTGGTATCAGAGGCGTAGCGAGGGGGGGGGGGTGGGGGGGCGGGGGGGGGGGGGACATATGTCCCCGGGCGCCGACCTTAGGGGGGGGGGGGCGCCAAATTGAAAGCTTGAGAGGGGGGGTGCAAATCGAAAGTTTGAGGGGGGGGGGGTGCAAATGAAAAGTTTGAGGGGGGGGTGCAAATCGAAAATTTGCTCCCGAGGGGGGCGCCAAATTGAAAGTATGTCCCCGGGCGCCGGGAAGGATAGCTACGCCTCTGTTTGGTATTAATCTATTGTTCACAATGGCTAGTAAGCCAAGGGCGATAATCACACTATTTGCAGTTCTACAACTGGAGTCTTCAAACAATTAATCGTTACCTTATTGAAATCTAGGCGGCTCCCAAGAGCTAATTCACGAGCTAATATTTCACAAATCTTAATAAATTTTAAAGTTACTTTTCAATGGTATTGATTATTATTATTTTATACTGTCTATGTATTAGTTTAATAACTTATTAAGATCGGGAGAAGAGGCGGGGGGGGGGGGGAGGGTCACGTGATCCCTTTGTCTATTCCAACAGACACCCATGCATCGAGGAACGACCGATTTGTCCCCATTTTGTGTCCGCCTATTGATATTAATAAGGTTGTTATTGATTTTCTATCAAACATCAAGTCGACACTTGGACCTAAAATAAGGCCACATAATAATTTCAATCACCAAGGGATTTAACAATGAATAACACATTTTGAAAAAAATTGTATGAGTAGTTTCCCTTTAACTGCAGCATTGCTTGATTGATGGAATATTCAGAAGGTAAATTAAAAATACATTCTCATATTTTTCTTTTAATTTATGAAACATTTTTATAATGAAACAATTGCAAGTGTAGGCCTAAGTCCTAAAAGGATCAAATATTAAACATTTTAAGTATAAATGTTTCTGTCTTTATACGTAGAGTTATCGTGCGAAAGTGTCGGTCAAAAAACTGCAGCCACTACACTAAGCTGTAAACTGTTTTAGTGGTATCGTGCATAGGCGTAGCGACCCTTCCAGGCGCCCGGGGACAAACTTTTCTATTTGCACCCCCCCCCCTCGAGATTTTGATTTGCACCCCCCCCTCTAGATTTCCATTTGCACCCCCCTCAAACTTTCGATTTGCACCCCCCTCAACCTTTTTCCAACCCATTTTGGCGCCCCCTAAGGTCGGCGCCCGGGGACATATGTCCCCCCCCCTCCGCCCCCCCCCCCCCCTCGCTACGCTACTGGTATCGTGTTAGTTAAATGTAATTCAACCACCGGATGTTAATCTAGGTTTAATAAATTAATATGAAACCGGATGTGCGTACTAATTACCAAAATCTCGGTGAAGAATGCTGCAACAACATCTGTATACCTGTAATACAGCCAAAAAATGTCAGCTACTCTACCGAAACAAAATGGACGATTTTAATAGTGAAGGAACACAATAGTATAATAACTCTTGGTGCTAGGTTTAAAATCTGCAAACGTATACTAATTTGATGTTTTAGTAAAAAAAATAATTCAGTAGTTCTATTATATTTATAGAATCACTAACAAAGAAAATAAATAAAAATTATTTTTTTGTCTAAGGGGTCATCATTAAGGAAGTCACGTGTCACATATCGTCACAAAAATATAGAATCCACCCATAAATAACGTCACAGTCACACTGCAGCCTACCAACCCCTCAAAACGACAATATTTTTTTAAATTTGCTGTGCTCGGTCAGCATTGAGCATAATTATGTTTTTTTTTTAATTTAAAAAAAGGTCTTTTAAAAACTCGAAATAACGGTTAAATGCAAAATGTGTCGTCACATTTACTGACCCTCTGATCCGATCCTCCCACCCTCCACACCTCCTCACATATAGTCGCAAAAGTTTTAACCCTTCCCCCCCCACCCCTTGGAGTGTGTCATAAGACCCCCTTATTCTAGACTGCGAAAAGACATGTGATATCACCACCCCCCTTCTCATTATACACCTACTCATACCCTCATGAACACAAGCCTACGCACATACATACATCCCCCTTAATCCCAACAACCCCCCCCCCCCTAAATCCCAGCTATTCCCCTAATAAGGTCACAAAAACAAGTCAGTGACATCTGTTATCCTTGTCACCTTTTAGCACGAACAAATGGGGTACAACCACAACAATAGGATGCAGGTGTAGGTAGTTCTGGTGAAACTCGCGAAAACATTGTTCTGACGGATGCTGAAAAAAACAACATAAAACGCCCAAACTCTACCCACTACGCTCACTTGATGCATACAGCAAACTAGCCGTTAGTAATTATTGCATACACAAAACTAGCTGTTAGCACTCAACTACCTCAAAGTGTTTAAGTTTAAGGTAAACATATTTTTTAATTAAACAAATATTTAAACATTTTTTTCTTTGTAAAATAAGACAGCTGTTTCGGACAAACTTAAAGTTAAAAAATAAATTCAACTAAATTTATTATTAAAAATAATGCATTACTGTCTTCATTATTATCATTTTTTTAATGACAAAATTATTATTTATTATTTTTATTAGTAGCACTAGTATTTTATTACCTCCTAATTATTATTTAGACCCAAGCTTACATGTTAAAATGTTTATGGCCTAGGCATTATTTTCACAGCTACAAAGTGTTAAGATAATAGTTGTAAGTTAATCCTTGAGATTAATGTTTTCTCAGATGGCTTTCATTGCCTCATGTGTTGGATTTGCGGTGCTCCTGGCTCTATCGTTAGCCAGCACGACGTAAGTATTTCATGTTTTTAGTCTAATATTTATTGTCAAATATCTACATAGACTGCCCTTTGAAAGTCAGTTTTTTTTTCTACTAGATTTACTAAAAAATTTATATAGTTTTTTACGCGAGGTTGATTCATTCGTTTCGTTAAGAAGTTCCGACTTTTTACTTTCTTTATATTCTAATCGTGCTGGTAAGACTTCAAGCAAGTGAAATGTTGGATTGCCAGTGCTCATTGGAGCCAAACGCCCCCCTCCAAATTAAAGCTGGGTACTCACTGGAGCTGAGTGGGCTCAAAGTTGTCTTTAAGTAGTCGGGTTTACTTCTATAAAGTTGACCGCTAATGTGTGTGATGTCAACTTCAATCCTCGATAAATTCCACGTAACACTTATATAACACAGTGCGATGTGCGTAAAATCTCCTAATGGCTTTAGTCTAATTAGCTCATTAATTTCAGACAACCCACGACATCAGAGGAAGACAAAATCTACGAACTTTACGCCGAGTTGTTTAAAACGGAAGACGAAATTCAAAGCAGGGTTAATGAGAGCTTTCAGGTAAAAAATGTTTTTTTATTCTAACAGTGTGACACAAAAAATATATAAACAGCCTAGTACTTAACGTAAATGATGTTCTGTTTTTTTCAGTCTTATTGTCAGTACTTTTAAACATAAGGCGCATAACCAGTTGACACGTATACTTAATTGCGTTGGAGGGGATCGCATCCAACACTAAAATTAAGAACGAAGAAAAAGAAGAAGAATCTATGTATATATAAACATCTTGCCTGTAAAAAAAATTTAAGTGGCGAACATTTAACCGAAAGAAAAACATCCCAAGAAGCCAATATCCGGAAAAAAAAGCAAGCCACAAATATTGAAACAACGGCCATTTCGATACGCCCCATTAAGCGGTGGAGCACCGAATTTAGCTTGATTTCTCATGTATTATTTTTCTTTTTTAGATTAAAAAAATTTCTTTCCATACATTAGCATCTTATCAAAAGGCAATAAACTTTATTTTATTAAAGTAAACTTACTTAATTAAAGCCCTTCGTTAAAAAATATGAAACAAGAACAAAACAAGATTATACAAAAAGAAAACATTTCTGCCTCATTTAAGATGTCGCAAAAAATTAATCTTCCATAATGTAGGTTTTTTTTTATGGAGAAGAAATGGACAATACATGACAACACTACCTTGGTTGACACATTGTACACAGGTGTTTCGGTATAATTGACAGTTTGTGTGTTCTTTTGACTGAACTTGTAAACTTAATTGGTGGTATGGCTAACAGCAATTCTACAATACTTCTGCAGATTTGGCCGCCATTGTATGACGTAATGAGACCTACAGTCGAGGAACACGGGTGTTGCATGTCGTAAGTAACTCACCTGTGTTGTGGTGTGATGTAACTCACCTGTGTTGCGTCTTGTAACTCACCTGTATTGTGTCTTGTAACTCACCTTTGTCGTGTCTTGTAACTCACCTTTGTCGTGTCTTGTAACTCAACTTTGTCGTGTCTTGTATCTCAACTTTGTCGTGTCTTGTAACTCACCTTTGTCGTGTCTTGTAACTCACCTTTGTCGTGTCTTGTAACTCACCTTTGTCGTGTCTTGTAACTCAACTTTGTCGTGTCTTGTATCTCAACTTTGTCGTATCTTGTAACTCACCTTTGTCGTGTCTTGTAACTCACCTTTGTCGTGTCTTGTAACTCACCTTTGTCGTGTCTTGTAACTCACCTTTGTCGTGTCTTGTAACTCACCTTTGTCGTGTCTTGTAACTCACCTTTGTCGTGTCTTGTAACTCACCTTTGTCGTGTTTCGTACTCACCTGTGCTGTGTGTTGTAACTCACCTTTGTCGTGTCTTGTATCTCACCTTTGTCGTGTCTTGTAACTCACCTTTGTCGTGTCTTATAAGTCACCTTTGTCGTGTCTTGTATCTCACCTTTGTCGTGTCTTGTATCTCACCTTTGTGGTAAGTTGTAACTCAACTGTTGTTGTGACTTAAGTAACTAAAACCTTTATTGTGTTGGTCGTTTGACTGCTTACTCGATAATCTCGAGTTCAGATCTGGGTCCGGACTTAAGTTCTCATGACTTCCTTCAGTCCACCCAGCTCTAATGGGTACCTGACTAACGTTGGGGAAAGTAAAGGCAGCTGTGCATAGTGCTGATCATATGCCGGGGTCAAGAAATGTAAGAAAAATCTACATCATCTGCCCTAAAAAGAGTTAGACTCTATATGGGAGCTTTACCTTTAACACCTGTATTTTATGAACTAAGTCAATCACAAAGTATCTTGTCTAGTTAATGACGAGTCACCTAATTAGTAAAAATGTGCTTGATCAGGTCAGTAAATTACACGGTGTTTGATGAGCTACTGGACGAGAAGAACGAACTGGTCACCTTGGTGGGACTGAAGGACAGGAAACAGTGGTTCGTCCATCAGATATGCAGGTAATGTAGGGTTATGGTTAGGTCAAAACTTGGTTAGGGTTAGGTTAGGTCTACTCTTAGTTAGGGTTAGGGCAGGGGTCTCCAAACTTTTCAGTCCGAGGGCCGCATTAACTATCAAATTTCAGTTCAGGGGCCAGATTCTTCCAGGCATGTCTTTGATTTTTCTGGGCAAAGTTCCTCAGCAATCAACGACAAACGATTTTTTCTTGGACAAAAAGATCTTCGCGGGCCGGATGAGAGGACTTCGCGGGCCGCATCCGGCCCGCGGGCCGTAGTTTGGAGACCCCTGGGTTAGGGTTAGGTTAGGTCTACTCTTGGTTAGGTTTATGTTAGGTGAAAACTTGGTTAGGCTTAGGGTTAGGTTAGGTCTACTTTTGGTAAGAGTTAGGGTTAGGTTGGGTATACTATTCGTTAGGGTTAGTCTATACTGAAGTGATTTATCTAATAGAGGGTTTAGTTTTCTCTTGATCTGTTGCCTTAATAACTCAATTATTAACTCGAAATTCTCGAGTTCGGATTGTGTGTAAGTTTGTTGGATGTTCCTGAGTCCACCCAGCTCTAATGGGTACCCGGCTCGAGTCCGGGAAAGTAAAGGTGGGTGGGGCATAGTGCTTGCCACACAAACTCATCAAGTTCTAATTAAGAGAAATTAAGAGAAACAGATGAGCTCTACTTCATCTGCATCTTCTTCTGAGAGGGAATTTAAATTTCTACTTAACGTTTTAAAACGTTTATGTTATTAGCAATTATTCTAATTGGGTTACGGCTTTGATATAGTGCTATTTTTAGAATTCGTTTTTTTTTTTAAAAATCTCATTATAAGTTAAGTTACGCGGATTAGGGCGGTTTTTTTTGTCTTATTTTTTTAGAGCTGGGTTTAGTATTCAATGCTTGCAATTTTAGGTTTCAGAGGACAGGGTTAATGCTAATCTAAAGTTCGATTTTTGTTTTAAAATTACTTTTTTGACTAATGTCACGTCTTAGAGTTAGGCACAGAGTTATGTTACATCCAGAATGTACACTAAAGATCTTATCGACACGTCAACTGTTTGATATTTTTCCTCCTCAGCCAATCGGATAATTGCACCTGCACGTGCACATGCGCAACGGTGACGCAGACGACCGCGGCTCTCGTCTGCCAGAAAGGCCACAACTGCACCGAACCAACTCTGGCATCTGTTTCCCTCCAGATCGTCAAATTCCCTGGTTTCTGCCAATGCTTTAACAATGTGTGATTCTTTTTAAAAAAATTTAAAAAATTAAAAAGGAATTGTGAAATAGAATCGAATCAAAACATTTGTAAATAAAATAAAAATTAGAAAATTTAAATTTGTTGAATTTTTATCTCCATTCACGATCATTATGTGTGTTTGTTTGTCTATTTATTCATATGTACTTCTGTATGTCTATTCAGATATAACGATATTAACTCTAACCTAAAAATATACAATATATTTGTAATGAGAGCTATCGATGTTTGGGTGTGGATGGGGATAAACTTTTTTTAAAGTCATGTGTGTGTATGTGTGGGTGTATGTGGGGTGGGGGGGGGGGGGGCTCTGGTTTGTTGTGATGATTGAAGGGGTAGGAGTAAAAATCGGCATAAAAGGCGTCACGTCATAGTATATGGAGGATTATTTTGTATTTCTTTTTTAAATTACTGATACTATTATTGTTATTTCTCTCCCCGCCCCCCCCCCCCCCTTCCGGCCAAATTATTAACACAATTATACTACTTTACACTACCATATTTGTAGATATTGCCTGCATGTCTTGTTTTACAAGACGATTAACCTATATCTATTAAACATGAATTCCTGACGAAAATCAAAAATATGGCACCAGAAATGACAAAGGACATCAATAAGGGGACATAAAAAGCAAAATATAACACAAACAACGAACAACTTCAAACACACAAGACACAAAAAACCAAAAGAACCAGCAGAAAGAAACAACATTTTCAAACAACAACTTTATATTATTAAGAAAAAATCGAAAAGAAAACATACTAATCAAGATAAATAAAAAGAGAAAGGAAGTAATGAAAAACAATACAAAAAGAAAATTATATTAATTTATTTTCGATAGGATAATGTTACTTGATTTGATAATATGTTGTTGACTGGTTAGTCATTAAATTTCTTAATACTTAATTGAAAAAAAAAGAATAGTATGGAACAGAAAAAGAGTTGCACACTAAACGAACTTAAACAATGTATACATGGTATATATAAATATATAAATATATATATACGAGCCGACCCGCAGCGTATCATACGCCGCTATTTAGTTGTTTTATTTTCTACTTTTCAGTAATTCATAATTTGTAAATTCGACAGTACCAATGATGCCACTGAAAATATTTGCTTTAAAACACTAACCCCCCCCCCCCTTTCCCCTAACCCCGACCGTACACCCCCCCCCCCCCCCCCCCCGTGAAAGCAGCCTCCTCTTAGTTATTTCTTAGTTACCTCCTGTAGGTTTAAAATCGAACTAAATTATCTGCCCTTAATAGAAACCCGGCTGTACGGCTCTACAATTTGTAAACATTTAGCTTTGTAAAAATTTAGAGTGAACACCGCTCACCAGACAATGTTGGGGTGGGGTGGGGGTGGTAGTGATAGTGATAGAGACAAAGAGAGGGGACTGTAAGGAGCGCTTGCAGCTTGTTTTCTAACTGATTCCAGAAGAGAATTATATATATATATACGAGCCGACCCGCAGCGTATCATACGCCGCTATTTAGTTCTTTTATTTTCTACTTTTCAGTAATTCATAATTTGTGAATTCGACAGTACCAATGCTGCCACTGAAAATATTTGCTTTAAAACACTAACCCCCCCCCCTTTCCCCTAACCCTACACCCCCCCCCCTTCCCCCCCCCCCCCCCCCGTGAAAGCAGCCTCCTCTTAGTTATTTCTTAGTTACCTCCTGTAAGTTTAAAATCGAACTAAATTATGTGCCCCTAATAAAAACCCGGATCTATGATTTGTAAACATTTAGAGTGAACACAACTCACCAGACAATGTGGGGATGGGGTGGGGGTGGTAGTGACAGTGATAGAGAGAAAGAGAGGGGAATGCAAGGAGGCGCTTGCAGCTTGTTTTCTAACGGCTCCCAGAAGAGAATTATATATATATATATATATATATATATATATATATATATATATATATATATATATATATATATATATATATATATATATATATATATTCATTTTAGCTTGATTACAATGCATCATTTATACTCCGTATACAATAAAGTGGTGAGGTGTAAAAAGGCGAAAACTTGAATTCTCATTTAAAATTTTGTGCAAGATTACAATACTTTCTTAAATACTCTGTTACGAGAAAGTAAAAATCTGTTGTATGATTGAAAATGAGTTTTTTTTTTTAAGGAAATGTTTAAGGGGGAAAATACTATTGGCGATTTTTATTGCTAGGTTTAGGGTTAGAGCTTGGACTAAGGCCAAAGGTGAGGTTACAATGTCTTTGGTCACGTTGACTCTTTTTGGCCATATTTTGGACCCACCGAAAGTGTGGTTGGGCCACTTAGAGTCTAGTTTGGCCCAGTGTGGTTGGGCCACGTGTAGTCTAGTTGGGCCCAGTGTGGTTGAGCCACGTGTGGTCTATTTGGGCCCAGTGTGGTTGAGCCACGTGTGGTCTATTTGGGCCCAGTGTGGTTGGCCACGTGTTGTCTAGTTGGGCCCAGTGTGATTGGCCACGTGTTGTCTAGTTGGGCCTAGTGTGGTTGAGCCACATAGTCTATTTGGACCAATTGTGATTGAGCCACGCATAACCTATTTTGGCCCACCTGAATTGTGGTTGAGCCAAGAATAGCCTACTTGGAATAAAGGTACCATTGTGTATTTTTATGTATGCATGTCATGTGCCGACCTCTAATCCTCTCATTATGCGAGCCAGTGTTTTCAAAGATGTCAAGGTCACCGCTTTTTCACGCACGCGTCTATTTTTAGACACAACTACCTGCCCAACAACAATTAATCGAGGACATTTTTGGTGAGGTGTTTTGCTTTTCTCGCTGTTTCTTAGACAAGCAACCGGATGTAGATCCATGTTAAGAAATGAAACCGGATATATTCAATCGAACGCAAGAGGAAATGATTACAAACGATACAAATGTAGTAACAGTTCTTTTAGCGTACCAATTTAAACAATGGTTCTCAAGGCTATTTTACATCATCTGGCAAGGATGTGGGGAAAAATATTTTAGATTTGTTTTTGAGAGGGTTTATTAATTCAGTATTTGAAAATGCCATTTTAATAGACTGTTCTTAAAAGGTTAATTATGCCTACCTAGGGGTGTCCGTTTGCAAAAAGTATATTTAAAAATAATAGCTATACCTACCTACAGTTGAAAACAGGCCTTTAATCCTAACCATAGCCTGAACCCAACCAAGCCCTAACACCATGAACTTATATAATCAGACTATATAACTTCTCCATTATTATTAGTGTGAAGAAAAAAATTCTATTCTCCTATATTTTCCCATTCCTAATACCGACAAGCAGCAACTTGTAAATACCTGGAAGGTATAATCAGATTTCTGTAGAGAAATTTATAGTAGGGTTTACGTGCAGATTATATCAGTTTATAACTGAAAATTATATCAGTCAGTAGCTGCACATAATATCAGCATGTACCTGCATAGTATGAAGAGCATATACCTGCTAATTATATTAGCAAATACTTGTAAAGTATAATGAGAATGTACCTGCTAATTATAACAGAAAATACATGTACCTGCATAGTATAATGAGCATTTTATTGCAAGCAAAATATATTAGAAAGTACATGTATCTGCACAGTATAATGAGCATATACCTGCAAATTATATTAGAAAATACACGTACCTGCTTAGTATAATGAGCATGTACCTGCAAATTATATTAGAAAATACATGTAACTGCATAGTACAATGAGCATATATCTGCAATTTATAACAGAAAATACATGTATCTGCACAGTATAATGAGCATATACCAGCAAATTATATTAGAAAATTCATGTACCTGCATAGTATAATGAGCATGTAAAGTATAATCAGCATATACTTGCACCCTTCCTGACGTCACACCAGGATTCCTTTCGGTGTTCAGTGGGGTGGGGGTCGTCCACCACTGCCTGACCCCCACCATTTCTCACTCTAGCCCCACCCTACCTAGCTTATCCCCCCCCCCACCCCACCACTTCCACACACTAATACCTTGTCTGTCCTGGTCGCCGTCCAATAGCCTTCACCTTCCTTGACACACTTTCACGGGAGCAATACACACACAAAAGAAAATAAAACAAGGATATAAACCTATAAACTTAAAGAAGGTCAATGCTATGTTTTGCTTTCGTTGATCTTCTAGAGCTATACGACATTCAACATTTAAAAATATGTTCTAGGAAAATATGAGCAACACCCGGAGGTATAGAAAAGGTATAAAACACTCGCAGTCTTCTCTTGTAAATAGAAGACCTGAATTAACATTACGTCACATCGTAAGGTGATATTTTTTTAAAATTAGGGTATTTATTTTTATTTGTACATAAAAAGGTTTGTTATTAGCAATATTTAAAACTTTAGAAAGCTGGTGTTTTGTCTATAATGTCAAGAGGTGCTTTTGAATATTTTTATTGTTGTAAATATTTATCTCGTTATTGTTTTTATTAATGTATAATTGTAGTCAATCTAAAGAAGTTCGCTAGAAAAAGTTACTATTTTTAAAATGTGTTTTTTTTTCAATATTTATCTCTAAAACATTAGTTTTAGGACGGTAGATCACCCAACTGTTACTTCTTGAGATTTTCGTTCGGTTCCGGAGGGGGGGGGGTGTCGAGTTTGTATAAGTCCATTCCGCTTTGATAGGAACCTGACTTGGGGAAAATAAACAGGGCTGGACATAATGCTGACCGATCAATCTCTTCATAATCATATGTCAAGGCCACTAAACAGATGCGCCGATACCATATACACGTCAATGTGTACTTGAAACAAATTTAATAATTACTTTCAGATGACTCTGATCTACATCTGTCTGGTGCTTTCCGTGCTTGTGGGCGCATCATTGTGCAAAACCACGTAAGTGATATAACATAAGTAATTATTTAGCTAATTAATCCATAAGATTGACAAAGTTAAGATTTTATTCTCAGATTATTTACAATTATTTCTTATTTTCTAAACGATTAGCATAGTCTGTCGACAAAAGGTGTATTTTTTAAAAATTAAATAAAACATAAAAATCATTCTCTTCCTTTTGCCGGTAACTCTTCTTGACATGTTCATTGTTCGGTATTTCTTTGGTTTTTCCCCTTTGGAGTTTCAAACTTACTAAATTTGGCACTTATAGAGCTACAGCATGGAACATTAGTAACAACTAAGGAATTGTCTTAGTTTATTAAAGGGACATAATACAGATTTACCTCACTAGCCCTACATACAGGGCCCGTGGAGTTGGTTAAATCGTCGTGTCAAAGCGAATATTTGTAGATAAAACTACACGCACTACCATATACATACAAATAAACACGCACACATACACAATACACATCTATATAAAATGTGTCGTGATGTCAACTTATTATGGTCTGCGTTGAATGTTAGCCCTTACAACACTAACCATTTTATCGTTGCCAAAGTGTTTATTTTTTCTCTCACCCAAAACACAACATGTGTCACCACACCATATTTCACCAGTTCATTAGCATAATTAACTAATTAATTTGAATTTCAGGCAACCCACAACAGCAGACGAAGAAAAAATCTACGAACTCTACGCTGAACTTTTTAAAACGGAAGAAGAAATTCAAAACTTAGTGAATCAGAGTTTTGAGGTAAACGACATGATTTTCGTTGTTTTCATCATCATACCAGCGTACCCGTCGCGATTGCTGCGGTGTAGTTCTACGCACAGATAGACGCAACCTTTTATAAGAGATTCATCTACGCGTTACTAATCATGTATTTTTAGACGCGTGACCTTGTTTTCTAAAACTGAATTATTTAAACGTAAACAACCCCAGCGCTAAATAGTTTTTCTTGGATCATAATTGCTGGGGCGCGGGTTTTGTCCAGACTTTCTAGGCCATAAAACGTAGAAATTTGTAAAAATCTATATTTAGATTTTTTCATGATTACAATGTGTTCTTTATATTCCGTATTCAATACGGTGAGAAGGTTATTTATTTTTAAATTACATAAGGAATCAAATAAATAAGATTGATACACTTGAAGGATATTTTATCAAACCTGTTTGCATTAATATGCACAATGCAATCAAATCACGTTTTTGGCTACACATTATGAAAACTCATCTCAATGTCATCTCGCTACTGTTGAATCAGAACGCATCTTTTGACCTTGACCTTGACCTTCTGCAGATATGGCCGCCCGTGAGTGGCAGAGAGGCGTCCCGTATCCAGCACCATGCATGTTGCACGTCGTGAGTACATCAAGCTTTTAAGTAGCAACTGGCCCCCACAGATATCGCATGACTAGTTTCTGTCAGAAACGCTCAGAAAAACGATTTGTTTCTGAAAAGGGGAGAGAAACTATATGTTTTGTTTCTGTAACGGACACAAAAAAAATGTTTTATTTTTCATTAACGGACAGAAAAACTATATGTTTTTGTTTCCGTAATGGACACAAAAACTATATATGTTGTTTTAAAATGTGCACAAAAGCTATATGTTTTGTTTCATTGACGGACACAAAAACTATATTTTATTTATGTAACAGACACAAAAACTATACGTTTTCTGTAACGGACACAAGAACTACATATTTTGATTCTGTAAGGACACAAAAACTATGTTTTATTTCTGTATTAAACTATGTTTTGTTTCTGTATTCTATACAAAAACTATACATGTTTTTTCTCTAACTGACACAAAAACTATGTTTTGTTTCTGTATTTAAACTATGTTTTGTTTCTGTATTCTATACAAAAACTATACATGTTTTTTCTCTAACTGACACAAAAACTATGTTTTATTTCTGTATTAAACTATGTTTTGTTTCTGTATTCTATACAAAAACTATACATGTTTTTTCTCTAACTGACACAAAAACTATGTTTTGTTTCTGTAAGTTAACTACATAAAACCACATGCGTCAAAGTTTCCAATGTTCTTTTGGTCATTTTCTTTTTAGATAAAGTAAAAGTAAAATGTAAAATTTGAGATAAGGGTCATCCATATATGACGTCACGCTTTTTTGGGACGATTTTTACAACCCCCCCTCCCCCCCCCCCCCCGTCACACATCTTCACAAAAAGCCAGACCCCCCTAAAATGACGTTACACCTCAGCCTCCACCCCCCCCCCCTCAAAATTGCAGTTGGACTTTTTTTTAAAACATCGATATTTTCCCAAAATCTTGTCTGAACTCTGTCAAAATAGAGTATTTTAATCAATTCCTATTACAATGTATTAAAACAGTTTTCTAAAACGCGAAATAAAGGTTAAAATTTGTTTTCTACCATTGCTTTTCTATAATGCAAAAGTGTGACGTTGCACAATCTGAACCCCCCCCACCCCGCCCCCCCCCCTCCACACCGTCACAAAATAACGGACCCCACTTCCCCTACGAATGTGACGTCATTTACGGACGACCCCATAGCCCAAATGTAATTATTACAGTTAATTTACTACCTAAAGGATTTTGAGCTTTAGAGTTGAAAATTTAGCTCCTGCATTCTAGAGATGACTGAAACGTTATTGTGTTTTTAATAGTACAGTAGATTACACTGCGTATAGTCAACTGCCTGACATCAACAACGAACAAGTGGATCTGATTGTACTAAAGGGAAGGAAACAATATTTCCTACATGAAAAATGCAGGTACGTCTGACAAGCTTTTGTACGGTTCGTGCTGACGCTAAATCTGCAGAAATGTGACTGTTAATGTAGTTGTATTAGGGTTATGGTAAGGTTCTTGCTTAGCTTAGATCTGCAGAAATGTGTTAATGTAGTAGTATTAGGGTTATGGTAAGGTTCTTGCTTAGCTTAGATCTGCAGAAATGTGTTAATGTAGCAGTATTAGGGTTATGGTAAGGTTCTTGCTTAGCTTAGATCTGCAGAAATGTGTTAATGTAGCAGTATTAGGGTTATGGTAAGGTTCTTGCTTAGCTTAGATCTGCAGAAATGTGTTAATGTAGTAGTATTAGGGTTATGGTAAGGTTCTTGCTTAGCTTAGATCTGCAGAAATGTGTTAATGTAGTTGTATTAGGGTTATGGTAAGGTTCTTGCTTAGCTTAGATCTGCAGAAATGTGTTAATGTAGTAGTATTAGGGTTATGGTAAGGTTCTTGCTTAGCTTAGATCTGCAGAAATGTGTTAATGTAGTTGTATTATGGTTATGGTAAGGTTCTTGCGTAGCTTAGATCTGCAGAAATGTGTTAATGTAGTTGTATTAGGGTTATGGTAAGGTTCTTGCTTAGCTTAGATCTGCAGAAATGTGTTAATGTAGCAGTATTAGGGTTATGGTAAGGTTCTTGCTTAGCTTAGATCTGCAGAAATGTGTTAATGTAGCAGTATTAGGGTTATGGTAAGGTTCTTGCTTAGCTTAGATCTGCAGAAATGTGTTAATGTAGTAGTATTAGGGTTATGGTAAGGTTCTTGCTTAGCTTAGATCTGCAGAAATGTGTTAATGTAGTTGTATTAGGGTTATGGTAAGGTTCTTGCTTAGCTTAGATCTGCAGAAATGTGTTAATGTAGTAGTATTAGGGTTATGGTAAGGTTCTTGCTTAGCTTAGATCTGCAGAAATGTGTTAATGTAGTTGTATTATGGTTATGGTAAGGTTCTTGCGTAGCTTAGATCTGCAGAAATGTGTTAATGTAGTTGTATTAGGGTTATGGTAAGGTTCTTGCTTAGCTTAGATCTGCAGAAATGTGTTAATGTAGTTGTATTAGGGTTATGGTAAGGTTCTTTCTTAGCTTAGATCTGCAGAAATGTGACTGTTAATGTAGTTGTATTAGGGTTATGGTAAGGTTCTTGCTTAGCTTAGATCTGCAGAAATGCGTGTGTTAATGTAGTTGTATTAGGGTTATGGTAAGGTTCTTGCTTAGCTTAGATCTGCAGAAATGTGTTAATGTAGTTGTATTAGGGTTATGGTAAGTTTCTTGCTTAGCTTAGATCTGTTGAAATGTGTGTGTTAATGTAGTTGTATTAGGGTTATGGTAAGGTTCTTGCTTAGCTTAGATCTGCAGAAATGTGACTGTTAATGTAGTTGTATTAGGGTTATGGTAAGGTTCTTGCTTAGCTTAAATCTGCAGAAATGTGACTGTTGATGTAGTTGTATTAGGGTTATGGTAAGGTTCTTACTTAGCTTAGATCTGCAGAAATGTGACTGTTAATGTAGTTGTATTAGGGTTATGGTAAGGTTCTTGCTTAGCTTAGATCTGTTGAAATGTGTGTGTTAATGTAGTTGTATTAGGGTTATGGTAAGGTTCTTGCTTAGCTTAGATCTGTTGAAATGTGTGTGTTAATGTAGTTGTATTAGGGTTATGGTAAGTTTCTTGCTTAGCTTAGATCTGCAGAAATGTGTGTGTTAATGTAGTTGTATTAGGGTTATGGTAAGGTTCTTGCTTAGCTTAGATCTGCAGAAATGTGACTGTTAATGTAGTTGCATTAGGGTTATGGTAAGGTTCTTGCTTAGCTTAGATCTGTTGAAATGTGTGTGTTAATGTAGTTGTATTAGGGTTATGGTAAGGTTCTTGCTTAGCTTAGATCTGTTGAAATGTGTGTGTTAATGTAGTTGTATTAGGGTTATGGTAAGTTTCTTGCTTAGCTTAGATCTGCAGAAATGTGTGTGTTAATGTAGTTGTATTAGGGTTATGGTAAGGTTCTTGCTTAGCTTAGATCTGCAGAAATGTGACTGTTAATGTAGTTGTATTAGGGTTATGGTAAGGTTCTTGCTTAGCTTAGATCTGCAGAAATGTGACTGTTAATGTAGTTGTATTAGGGTTATGGTAAGGTTCTTGCTTAGCTTAGATCTGCAGAAATGTGACTGTTAATGTAGTTGTATTAGGGTTATGGTAAGGTTCTTGCTTAGCTTAGATCTGCAGAAATGTGTGTGTTAATGTAGTTGTATTAGGGTTATGGTAAGGTTCTTGCTTAGCTTAGATCTGCAGAAATGTGACTGTTAATATAGTTGTATTAGGGTTATGGTAAGGTTCTTGCTTAGCTTAGATCTGCAGAAATGTGACTGTTAATGTAGTTGTATTAGGGTTATGGTAAGGTTCTTGCTTAGCTAAGATCTGTAGAAATATGTGTTAATGTAGTTGTATTAGGGTTATGGTAAGGTTCTTGCTTAGCTAAGATCTGTAGAAATATGTGTTAATGTAGTTGTATTAGGGTTATGGTAAGGTTCTTGCTTAGCTAAGATCTGTAGAAATATGTGTTAATGTAGTAGTATTAGGGTTATGGTAAGGTTCTTGCGTAGCTTAGATCTCCAGAAAGACTTGTGTTAAAATTAGGTTTGATACTCAAACCGACATTTTCAAGAAGAAGAAAAAATGAAGAAAAAAGGCTTAAACTCATCTTAAACAAGATTCTCATCACGTGTAAGTTAATTTACCTTTTTTTAAATTTATTTATTTTTATCCTCAGCCAAGTTAACGATTGCACATGCGCGTGCACATGCAAATTAATAACACAGCTAGCGACAGCTCTCGTCTGCAAAAAACATCACAACTGTACCCCACCAAAACTAGAATCTGTCCAGTTTCAATTCGTGAAATTTCCAAGTTTTTGTCGTTGTTTGAACATTGGAAGCCCCAGTTAAATAATCAGTTGATTAATATTTAATTAAAAATCAAGAAATTTGTATAATTGGTTCTTATAAAGTCATAACATTACATTATATTATATTGTTGTTGTTTTTTGTAGTTATTCGAGTTAAGACTAGGGTCAAGGATTAGGTCAGGGTTAAAGGTTAGAATCGTGGTTATGGTAATGGCTAGTGCTAAGACTCGGGCAAGGCTAAGTAACCAATCTATCTATATATATAATTCTCTTCTGGGAGCCGCTAGAAAACAAGCTGCAAACGCGCCTATAAAACAAGCTGTAAACGCGCTCCCTACCTCCCCACCCCTACATGGTTTTAGTGAGCTGTGTTCACTCTAAATGTTTACAAGCAGAACCAACGATTTTAAACGTAGGGGGGGCGGGGGGGGGGGGGGGAAGGAAGGGTGGGGGGGGTTATGGTCCTTAACGAGATACTTATAGTGTTTTAAAGAAATATTTTCAGTGTCAGCGTTGGTACTGTCGAATTCACAAATTATGAATTACTGAAAATTAGAAACAACTAAATAGCGGCGTATGTTATGCCGCGGGCCGGCTCGTATATATAATTCTCTTCTGGGAGACGTTACAAAACAAGCTGCAAGCGCGCCTTGCAGTCCCCTCTCTTCCTCTCTATCACTACCACCCCACCCCTACATGGTCTGGTGAGCTGTGGTTCACTCTAAATGTTTACATTCGTGGAGCTGGGTTTAGTGACGGCTATTAGGGGCAGATAATTTAGTTTCAAACGATTTTAAACTTAGAGGAGGTAACTAAGAGGAGGCTGCTTTCACGGGGGGGGGGGGGTGTATAGGGTAAGGGTTGGGGGAAAGGGGGGGGGGGTAGTGTTTTAAAGCAAATATTTTCAGTGGCAGCATTGGTACTGTCGAATTCACAAATTATGAATTACCGAAAAGTAGAAAATAAATGAACTAAATAGCGGCTTTACGCCGCGGGTCGGCTCGTTCTCTACAATAGCTCATGTTAATATCTTAATAAGTACCATATATTTTCTTCGGCTGGATGACTAGACGGCTTAATTACTTTAATTGGTAATCTGTGTGTGTTTTTTCACTGCACCTGTGTCGAAAAACGTGCATAAAAAGTACTCACACTGTAACCAGTCAAACATAAAAATATTTTATTAGAACAATGTCACATTAGTGACTTTTAAAAAATGATAATTGTTGCTTATTTTGCTGCGGTCTGAATATAATACTGTATGATTCTTATAATCCAATATTACTGCTTGCTTTAATAGGGTACAATTCTTATAACTATAATTAAATATCTTGTCATATTTTTAAAAATAGTCTTGAAAAAAAATACAATGGATATATAGTTGGGAACACTTCAGTGTTTATCGTTCTATAAAAATAATAAACCATTGTATACTTCATTAATTAATTACTTGCTTCATTAGTGTTGTATTTTATGTTAATTCACAGTTTTCTAATAAAGTAATCTCCACTGTCGTGCTAAATGTGTCCGCTTTATTATTTGAGGTGTATGCATCTTATTCGAGTTTAGTGTTGAGATCATTGTTAGTGATTTAGAAGAGAAACTAAAAATTGATAGAATTAGGTGCTAGTGTTGTATTCTGTTATACACAATTGTTCAGTGGTGGTCTATGACATTACCCCCCCCCCCCCCCCCTCCGTCAATTCCCACACTCATACCCCCCCCCCCCGAAGCAATTACCCCCTGTCAATTACCACCAACCTCTGAGTAATTACCCCATTCCACACCCTTCCCCTTAGCTCAAGAATCCTGACACTAAACCTTCCCTCCAAAACCCCAACCCTATAATTAAAGCTAACCCTAAACCAAACCCTTGCCCTAACTGTACCTTAATCTATCACCCGGGGGGGGGGGGGGGAGGGAATGTCCTACTGGGCGATGGGGGGGGGGGGGGTTAATTGACAGGGGGTAATTAATCCAGAGGAATTGTTCGGGGGTAATTGACATGGAGGATAACGTCTTGCTTCCAGTTCAGTGGAACGTTCGTGTCAAAATGTACCAGACTCTCTTGCTGGTTAAGTTAAACAAAGGTGATCACAAGGACAAGATCCCCGTTGCTCGTGAAATGGTACGGCGTGGTCGGATGATAGAGCACGCGGCTGCTAACCCAAAAGTCTCCAGTTCGCATCCCGGGCTCCAGTCAATAAGACGTCCCTGAGCCCACCCTTCCCTGATGGGTACGCCAGGTTCGTAATGGTAACTTTTATTTTGGTCAAAATCAAAATCAAGATTTCTCCATATATATATATATATATATATATATATATATATATATATATATATATATATATATATATATATATATATATATATATATATATATATATATATACCAACCGGGATGAGTCACTCTTGGAGAAGTAGACCGTGACCTCAGTAACAAATGGTTAGGGGTGATAGAGAAGGGGTGGGGTGTGGGGGTGTGGGGATTGCGGGATGGAGGAGAAAAATATTGTTTAACTCAAGGTAACGGCGCATGTTTAAACCTGGTTGAATTCCTGGACAAGTATTAAACAGAGGTTAATGGCAAGGTGCATGTTAAAGTTCATGGACACGGAATGTTACATGCACATCAAAACGAGGCTTGGACAAAAGTGCAGGTTAATGTTCATGGCCACAGCATGTTGTTAGCAGTCATATTTCTGCAGCAGATGTTGTACGAGTCCATATTGTGACACTTTGTTCACTCGCACACTACACAACTCTATATCTAGATCTATACTATTTGTGGTTCTTAGTTTAGTTTGAATTTCGCCTACTGTAAGTAGTTTTTATTTAAGCTTGATATGTTTTAAACAGTTAAGATAGACAAAATCCGTCAGTTCTTTGTGTTGTCTGTCTAAGGACATCTTTCACGTTTAAATGTTTAAGTTCAAAAAAAATTCTTTTGTTAATTAATAAACCATCTGCATCCATTTTTTTGAACCTTTAAAATTTATTTTATATTTAAAAAAAAACTCACCTGATTGCTAGCCCGAAAGTCTCGAGTTCGAATCACGATCCGGACTCATGACTGTCGGATGTCCCTGAGGCCGCTCAGCTCTGATGGGTACCTGACTCACGTTAGAAAAAGTAAAGGCTGCTGGGCGAAATGCTGACCAAACTATCCTTTCATAAATTGGTTCTACACTTTGCCATACTCTCCGTGTATTAATACTTACAGCCACAATGCTTGAAGACATCGTCTCAGCGCTCACGGCCTACTGGTGGATGTGTCTGATCCTGCTCACCCTCACCACCTTGTTCTACCTACACAATCCCCCACCCAACTCCCCTCCCTCCCCTGGTCTAGCCCTACCTGTGATCGGACACCTGTATTTGCTGGGGAAAGATCCACGGGAGATCTTCAGATCTTGGGCTCGACGACACGGCAATGTGTTTCACCTAAAGCTGGGTGCGGCTTCTTTCGTTGTACTCAACGACGTGAAGACCATCAAAGAGGCATTCGTCAAACAGGCGGACATTTTCTCTAACCGGTCCACGAAAGATTTCATTGCCAAGTACGTACCGCGAAGAACCAATGGCCTGGCTTTGTCGTCTGGGTCGGTTTATAAAGAACTGAAGTTAACGTCCATGACTATTTTAAAGAATTTAGGCATGGGGAAGAACATTCTGGCGGAAAAAATCTCCGAGGGCGTGGTTGTTTACCTGCAAGAGATTACTGAACTGAAAGGTATAGCCACAAATATACGGCCCCTGACGGATATTTGCGTAGCCAACATAATCTGTTCTATGATATTCGGTAAAAAATTTGATTTCGATGATCCGATATTTAACAGATTGCTGGATCTCAATCACCAATTTGTAATCGCTTTTAGATCCACCTCTATTTGTAACTTTTTCCCATTTTTGCGTTATATTCCGTTTGATCCATTTAAAGGGAGGAGTCTCCCGCTTTTAAAGGAAGAAATCGGTTCGTACACACAAAAAATCGTGACCCAGTTTGTTGAGGAGTTCGACCCACAGAACACTGATTACTTCATAGCGGCGTTTCTGGCCGATATCAAACAAAAAACCCACCTCGGCCAGGCGACGCTCCTGGATCTGGAAAAACTGAGCGTGGCCGTGGAGGATTTGTTCGCGGCAGGGGCGGAGACGACCAGCACGACGGTCGTGTGGGCCATGCTGTACTCCTTACACCACCCGCACATCCAGGACGCCATCCACCACGAGCTTCTCCAGAACGTCGGGGTCAGCCGTCTTCCTGCCCTCGACGACAAGCCCAACTTGACCTACCTCAACGCCTTCATCATGGAGCTCCAGCGCATCTCCGCCATAACCCCGTACGGTTTAATCCACGAATGCAACCGGGACACGACTCTCGGCGGGTTTGCCGTACCCAAGGGGACGCAAGTCATGCCCAACCTGGACTACATCTTCCACGACCCGCGCGTGTGGGGAGACCCGGAGAGCTTCAGACCCGAGAGGTTTATCGATGAGCAGGGACGAGTTGTCTCCCCTGAGGAATTCATACCTTTTTCTGTGGGCAGACGCAGCTGTTTGGGGGAGTCCATGGCTAAGATGGAGTTGTTCCTCTTTCTTTCTGCGTTGTTTCAGAGGTGAGTACTTGTTATTTTGTCGACATTTTGTTTTTAAATTATTTTTCAAAGTTATAACCAATCCACATCTTCACATCAAGTTAATTTATTTTTAAACGTATTTTTAAAAAAAAAATAAACGTTTAAATATTTCAATGCTTTTATTTTTAAACATTAAACTTAAATTATATTTAAAATCAGTTAGTTGTTACCCCCCCCCCCCCCACACACACACAAACACACACGTGTATACATGAATGAACAAACGGGTGTACAATTATGGTTAATGTTGACGACTAGCATTCTAAAGTGTTGCGAAGTAGGGCCACGGAAACGCCAAAGTCAAGCTCTAAGTTCACGGAGAAAAAAATCGCATTATAAACCAACGTTTTAAAATCATTTGCATTCCAACATTACACTACACCTAGTTTACGTCCCATGTTTATGAAAATGTATATAAGGGGAAATAATCTCATTCTCTATCCGGGAACACTATAAGGGAGGTCACTTGTTTTATTATTATTTACCACAGGCGATTCTGATAGTTATTTAAAATAAGAAACCTATATTAGATAATCAAAAATGTATTCACCATAATTAATTATTACTAACTTTCCACGGTTTTAATTATTAAATAATGTGAACAAATATTTTTACATTGCGTGCATTAAAAGTAAAGAAAAAGAAAAGTAACCATTGGGGACCTGAGGGGAAACAAATGAAGGGATAGTGTGGTCAGTTCCATGGTTAACCTTTCTTCATTTTTCTAAATAACGGTACCATCATACCGCATGCATTAACGAGAAATTGTTTACCTGAGTTTTACATTCGAGAATGTGTCGTTAATTTCAAAAACGTCGTAAATATATTTTTAAAAAGTACTTTAATATGTTTTGGACGAAACGTGTATGTTATTATATGAACAAATATTGTTTCATATTTTAAGCTATTTATTTTAAATGTAATATATATTTATATATATATATATATATATATATATATATATATATATATATATATATATATATATATATATATATATATATATATAGCTAATAAAATATAATACCATTTTAAATAAAAAATGTTAGTGGCTCTTTAAAAACTGTGAAATTTTGTAAATTGTAGCTTTTGGCTCTTCCGTCTCATAAAGTTGCCGACCCCTGAGCTACTGCAGAACAATCACTGCTTTAGTAGAACTGGTTTTTTTTTTTTTTTAAACCATTATCAAGCTGCAAGAGAAACATTATTTATTAAAAGAAAATTCATTGTGTTTTTGGTCGGAATTATTGGGCCCCCTAAGCGTTCCCCACCTCCTCCCTCTCCCCCCGTATTGCGGGTCTCGTAAAATGGTAGTTACGCCCCTGGATCCAATACAAGACGTCTAATTACTTTTCTTTTAAAAATCTAAAAATTAATAAAATCATAATAGTCAAATGCCACTGTTCCACAAATGCTTTTAAGAAGATTTTTCCGGTTATTATCAAATAAAAGATGCTCAAAAATCACAGTTTTGATTGTATTTAAATCTTAACATTTTTTTACGAGGAATATAAACACATCTGACCACTTTCATACTGTTCAATACAATTTTAAAATTGTAATTTTTGGTAACGACAATTTGTTTTTGTTTTTCGAAAATTGTTCCCAATTGTTTTGGTGGATTAATTTGAAATTTAATGATGCATTGTCTCCCTTATAATATTTAAAACAAAAGAATGGCACGTAATTGTTCCATGGGAATTTTTTGTTTCAATACATATATTTGAAAACTCAGTGGCGTAGCGAGGTCGGGTGTCACCCGGTGCGGCACTTAATGGTGTCACCCCCCAGAAGCGTAGCGACCCTTCCCGGGGACAAACTTTCAAATTTTCGATTTGCACCCCCCCCCCCCTCAAGTTTTCGATTTGCACCGCCCCCCCTCAAACTTTCGATTTGCACCCCCCCCCCCCTCAAGCTTTCGATTTGAACCGCCCCCTCAAGTTTTTCTCTATATATTTTGCTATTTTTTGCCTTGGTGTCACCCCCCCCCCCCTAAATGGTGTCACCCGGTGCGGTCCGCACCCCCTGCCCCCCCCTCCTCGCTACGCCTCTATGAAAACTCAAAAAGGTTTAGGAAACATAAGAAAAAATGTGTTTACACTAAATAGTACTGACAGTCCGTTTACGAATTGCAGCATTTCTGAAGTGTGTAAAAAATATACGCTTAATTAAGAAAACCGCATGTTGGTAAGGTAAGGGGGTCATCCATAAATGACGTCACGCTTTTTTTTTTGACGATTTTTTACCCCCTCCCCTGTTAAAATCGTCACAAAAAGCCAGATCTCCCCCCCCCCACCCCCAAAAGTGACGTCACACCTCAGCCTACAATCCCCCCCCCCCCCCCCGTCAAATTTGCAATTGTATTTTTTTAAAAACATCAATATTTTTCCAAACTCTTGTCTGAACTCTGTCAAAATAGAGTATTTTAATCAATTCATATTACAATTTACTAAAACTTTTCCTAAAACGCGAAATAACGTCTAAAACTCGTTTTCTAACATTGCTTTTTTATAATGCAAAAGTGTGACGTCACACCATCTGAACATTCCCCCCCCCCCCCCCTTCATCACACAGTGTCACAAAATTACGCCCCCCCTCCCACCTACGAGTGTGACGTCATTTTTGGACGACCCCATAATAATAATCTCATTTATTTATTTATACTCAAATTTGTTATTTTTTTATTACTTGTTTTGCTACATATTAGAATCAATTTTAAGTTGTCTACCCTATTAAATGTGATAATATAAAGGGAAATAATTGCTAAACGGTAATTCTGTTGGTAAAAGAAATCAATACGCTTTAAACACTGTCTCTAAACGTGAAATATAATTAAAAATTAACAAAATATAGCAATGTTTTTCCGACTTGAACAACAGACAGCATTATGATGGGTGCGGGTCAGATTTGTTTCAATATAGCATTATGTGTAAGGTCGATATTGCTAACAGGAAAAAAACGTCATATGTTTGTTGTGGGTTGTTTTTTTTTTAATAGAGAGTAGAAGCAGAATAAATTGGGTTGAGTTTTCAAGTGGTTGATATTACGACATGTAACGCTTCAAAACTGAATGCACTTCTTCTTCTTTTTCTTCTTCGTTCTTAATTCTAGTGTTTGAAGGGATCCCCTCCAACACAATTAAGTAGACGTGTCAACTGGTTATGCGCCATAAAGGCCAGTGACTCCGATTTCAGCCTTTTCTTTTTGGATTTGCTTCCATAGCCTTTGTCCAACTAGGCAGCAGTTGTTTGTTTTGGAGTTATCTCTCCTAGAAGAGTGGCTGTCTCCAGCTAAAGAACCTCATCTGCCAGAGGGTTCGAACTCGAGACTTTTCGGTTTAGCAACGATGAGCTTTACCGACTCGACAACTCCAACCCTCCTGAATGTACAATTCAAACAGTTTTAAAAGCAATGGTCGGCTTATTGACCACTGTGGGAGAAGGGGCCTCGGCTCTGTAGATTCCTGCAGGGTTTGGCTCCATTGCGTCATACTTCTCCTATGTGGAGCCCTAAATTTTATAACTTCAGCTTTATCTTTATCCTCTAATCTTAAAAATCCAAACAGAACCAGAAATCCTAATCCATTGCATGGTACAATAAACCCTATAGTGACACGGGACACGATGTTGTAGTTTGTGTAAACATGTTGCATGGCCAGGGTGCTCAAATTAAAGTACGTCTGGAGTGTTCAGTTTTTAAACAATTAATCGAATGTTCCATTCCACTAATTGGTTGTTGCTGCCGTGTTATTTGATACTAATATGGCCTAATTAATGGACAGCCGATCAATAGGGTCAATTATTAAATAACTTATAGGTATCCGTTAACAGCTTTATGGTAATTAAAAGCTATTAAAAAAACACGCGATGTACTTTTGGTTATTTAATTTACTTTTTAACTACTTTTATTTTGTAGGGATTCATGCGTCATTAGTACGTTTGTAGGGGTATGTGGGTATATCAAACATTACAGCCAGTCTTAAGAACAGGTTATTCGTAACAACGAAGCTTACTTGTAAAATAATATATTAGACATGAATTGAGCAAGTAACGCTTTACTGTTTGATCTATGTCAAAGTAATCGAAAAGCAACACTTCAAAATATATTAAACTTCGAGTTCACCGGTTTTCTTTAAACCTCCAGTGAAGAAGTTTCAATATTGACATTCATTAACAAAATACCTATAACGGCAAAGAACGTTAGATTTTCAAATGTCTAACGAAAAATATCACATCATTTCCTAAATACTAAGAAGGTCACATTTTTAAATGTCCCTCGAAAAAATCCAAACAAAAGTACTTTTCTTTCCAAGAATGACCAAGTACGTCACATTTTCAAATGTTCCTGTACATTCCAGCAAAAAAAGTATTTCTTCCATAGATTGACCAAGAACGTCATAATTTCAAATGTTCATCTACACATTCCAGCAAAAAAAGTATTTCTTCCTTAGATTGACCAAGAACGTCATAATTTCAAATGTTCATCTACAGATTCCAGCAAACAAAGTATGTCTTCCATAGACTGACCAAGAACGTCGTAATTTCAAATGTTCATCTACAGATTCCAGCAAAAAGTGCCATGTCTTCCATAGACTGACCAAGAACGTCATAATTTCAAATGTTCATCTACATATTCCAGCAAAAAGTGCCATGTCTTCCATAGACTGACCAAGAACGTCATAATTTCAAATGTTCATCTACATATTCCAGCAAAAAGTGCCATGTCTTCCATAGATTGACCAAGAACGTCATAATTTCAAATGTTACTCTACAGAATCCAGCAAAAAGTACCATGTCTTCCATAGATTGACCAAGAACGTCATAATTTCAAATGTTACTCTACAGATTCCAGCAAAAAGTACCATGTCTTCCATAGATTGACCAAGAACGTCATAATTTTAAATGTTACTCTACAGATTCCAGCAAAAAGTACCATGTCTTCCATAGATTGACCAAGAACGTCATAATTTCAAATGTTCCTCTACAGATTCCAGCAAAAAGTACCATGTCTTCCATAGATTGACCAAGAACGTCATAATTTTAAATGTTACTCTACAGATTCCAGCAAAAAGTACCATGTCTTCCATAGATTGACCAAGAACGTCATAATTTCAAATGTTCCTCTACATATTCCAGCAAAAAGTGCCATGTCTTCCATAGACTGACCAAGAACGTCATAATTTCAAATATTCCTCTACAGATTCCAGCTGCTGCCTGCCGACCCCATGAAGCTGCCGACACTGCAGGGCGTGTTTGGGGCTGCCGTGGCACCGGAGACGTTTGAGATCAGACTGGTGGAAAGAAAATTCTAGCATTGCCCAGCAGACTTCGTATAGGAAGAGCTGACAGGTGTACAATCGCAGTTGTAAAATATGTTTTACTTTCTAATTTAAGTTTCATATATAATATATATATATATATATATATATATATATATATATATATATATATATATATATATATATATATATATATATATATATATGTATATATATATATATATATATATATATATATATAGAGAGAGAGAGAGAGAGAGAGTTATGTATATAAAAACCACCCCATGCGAATGGCTATCTCTGTGTCTGTCAATGATCAGATCACTGAGTAAGTCATAGATATACCCGCACTTCCTGTGTGGATCGGCCGACTAACTCAATGATAATTGCTCCGTCTCTAAGCAGTTTGAATCTATAAATAGAATAACAAAAGGAAGGAAACGAAATTTTAAACTGATTTCCGCCATTACAAAAATAACATGAAACCTACAGTTCACGACACATCGCATAGGAATTTAAAATAAATATTAGGCCTATAGGTTTAATACATATTGCATAGAATATAGAAATTTAGATCTAGTGTTCTGGTTAGTAGTTATTTCATGTTTATTAGGATATAGTCTAGATTCTAGAATCTAATCATACGGCTGCATAAAAAACCCATCTAGATCTACTCTAGAGAAGCGGAGGTAAGAAGGTTAAAGTTAAATTAGTAATTTACATGATTTTTATTGTAGTTTCACTGTTTGTTAGGCCCAATTATTAAATCTTTAGATCAGAGGTCCAGCTTGATCATGTGTGGTATCTATTGTGGTGCATTGGAATGAAAAGCCCACATACTTAAATATAGAATTTAGTAGGCCTATACTATATTAACTGTACTGCCCTATACTTTAAATTTGTTACCACAAGAAAAAAGCCTATTTACTATTATTAGTTATAATTAAATTAAATTGAAACATTTGTTTATCTTTATAGTTTATAGTGAATAAATGCTAATGAGCATTATTCAAGCTGCTGTTATATTTAGGCTTATAGGCCTATATATTCTATAGCTTCGGCTATAGGCCTATACTATAGACTATATATTATATACCAATATTGTGCATAAAACTTAAAGCATGTAAGCATACACAATAATAATTATCATTAGACTTATAGTAACTAAGACTCGTACTATTTAGTACTACTTTAATACTAACTTTAAACTATTAGGCATAATGAAATAATGATTAATGATTTCAGTGTTTTCCGCACTCGAGAGGAAAGAGGTTGCAGGGAACTTAGAGACTAATCTTTGCCAACATACTGGATTTCTGGTGATGACAATAGGAGCAGATAGTATGTGGCTCAGTTAATACTAAAAACAATTTATTTTAGTAATTAGTGGTAAGCTCTTTTTTAAAATAATATATTATAACATGGTATCGCAAAGGTTCAGGTTGTCCGATAAATGGTAATTAGAGTCAGGTTTAGGACTAAAGTTTAATGCTTGGTTAGTAATATGCATCAAGTTGGGAAATACATAGAAATGGAAATACATAGAATTTAATGTGTTCATTCGCAAAAGTTACTATTTAAATTTTTTTAGGCCTGCTATTAATTGCTGAATAATATAATCACTATACTTATCCACTATATTATGTTTAAATAGAGTGAGTTTAGATCAGTCGAGTAAATAAATTTAATAGCAAGACACAACTAAAATTTACAATGAATATATATATATATATATATATATATATATATATATATATATATATATATATATATATATATATATATATATATATTGCTATTTTATAAAAGTATGTAAATCACAGAACAAACATTACTTTGTATTGTGTCTACAACTTAACAAAAATGCTACTACTTTGATGGACTGCACTAAATAGGGGTTAGCTTTAATTTAATAATTTGTGAGATATTCTTGCTAATCTATGTGTAAATTGCTTTTCAGGACTATGAGTGTGTGTTTGGCCATCCAGATTTCATAACTACAACTGATGTTCAATTACAAGGGATATTAATCAGTCTCCGTGGACTATACACTGTGCCTAGTTTCATCCTCAGGTAACTGTACTATAGGCATAACCCATTTTTTAAAGTAATTATTATAGCAAGAGATAGCATTGTATGTTATAATAAATATAATGGATTTTATTCCAAAATATTTTATTAATTATTGTCTTTTCTTAAATTCTAATAAATCAGTGAGTTGTACAACATAGAGGGTATTATATTTGAATGATAATTGAAACACATATTGTTATAGAGCTCAAAACTATGTACTTATCTAATATAATTAATATACTGAAACAGTTTTATTGAAGCATATTATTTCATATTTTACCACACAGAGACTGATGTGTAAGCTTAAAGTAAAGACATCAAAGTATCAGCTATCAAGAGGGTAAATATTGATAGTCTACTTCATTAATCTTCAATATGAATGAACACAATTTTAAATCTATAATCTTTGCTGATAATGTTTGTTTCTTGTTATTCATCATGTTCAGTGCTTTATCTTTTCAAAGTAATTAGTTATAGTAAAGAATAAGTAGAGATAGTAATATAAATTTGTAATGTATTTCTCTTGCTAGTTCCACAAAAGAATATTTCAAAATATTTTGTCTTTATTTCATTTACAGAAGAACATTCAAAATCATATTGTGATACACAAATCAAGCAAGTCTATGACCAGCATTATGATACAGGCCAAGAAAAAGCTGGATATTTGATTGAAAGGGTGGCACAAAAAAGATGGGTTATCACTAGGGAAACAAGCTCGGAATACAGTTCACTGTTGGGACATCAAGCCAAATACTTCTAAACTTATTTGAATCATTTTTGCTGTTTATTATAATTCATCCAATTGTCTTATTAAATATATAAATTTATATATATATACACAATTCCTAATATAGAATTTCTAAAAATGTTTTATTATAATATTTGAAAATGAAACAAACATGTTCCCAGAACACAGCCACATAATGTCAACATATTCCCAGAACACAGCCACATAATGTCAACATGTTCCCAGAACACAGCCACATAATGTCAACATGTTCCCAGAACACAGCCACATAATTTCAACATGTTCCCAGAACACACAAAATGGCAACATGTTCCCAGAACACACAAAATGGCAACATGTTCCCAGAACACAGCCAAATAATGGCATCATATTCCCAGAACACAGCCAAATAATGTCAACATGTTCCATGAACTCACAAAATGGCAACATGTTCCCAGAACACACAAAATGTCATTATGTACCCAGAACACACAAAATGGCAACATGTTCCCAGAACACACAAAATGGCAACATGTGCCGAGAACACAACAAATGACAACATGTGCCGTTAACAATACTTCACTTTTTCCTTAACAATTTTACAAGCAGGTAATAAAGCCATAAATCTTTACTGTGGATATAGCCAATAAATAGGGTAACCTTCACTATATGCAATTTGTAGTTTTCAATGCCTGTCCCATGCATATTATTTAGCCTAGTGTTTTGGGCCTTGCTTCATTTACTCAATAAATTATACAGGCATGAGAATTTTCATTATAATCTGCAAAAGCTACATTCTGTACATTATTATTTTCAAACTACATCATATATTTTTCTCTTCTTTGATAAAAAATATTCCTCATATTGTTTGTGTCAAGGATTTTATTTTTATCTATGCAATGCTATATTCCTATTTTATAATAATTACTTTTATACATATTCTTTTGAAAACTGTTCTTTATTGATTTGTATTATTTTCTTTATTTCTGAAAAATAAAACTTTGTTTGGGAATCTTTTTTTTTTTGTTTCTGTACAAATTAATAAACATAAATACCTACCAGGCTTAATATCCAGCAACATTAAACAATTAAGTAGGGCCTATTGTTAATAATAGTAAATTTTATACTAATTAATGTGATTTCTCCTGGCCACCTTGTTCTGAATACCTTCAACTGTGTCAATGTTGCTACCAACTCCAATAATTAAAACTGCAGTCATTTACTATGAAGTAAAACTTGGGTGTAATCCTAATCCACCCAGTTGCCGGGGGCAAGGTACCAAACATGTTGTCCAGTAGAGGGTTAAGAAAGTATCATTATTAAATCACTATTAAACCCCTCCTCGCCTACGCCATTGCTTGTACGCATATGGACGTTTTCGGAATTTACTGTATTGCTTATAAGTCGAAAATGCGAAAAAGACACGTTTAACATTACTAGTTTGAAGAATAACATTCATGTTAGCCGAAACAGATGTATTCTAAAGTTGTTTAAATTCATATTATTGTTCATTACGATTAAGTTGTCGTAAAATATAGGCCTATTTAAAAAAAGCATAACTAAAAAGTGTTTTAACGCATTTTCTTCTTAGAAAAGCCTTACATGAATGATATCAATAACATTACGGCAAATCTAACCCTTGAAGAAGCCCCATCAACCATTCAATTATTACGATGGGCAACAAATAAAACGCCCGCATCAAGGTACAGTCCTTATGCTATCGACATTAGCTCAACCCCGGCAACTAACGTGTCCCAAAACCAAGAATTGAAATCTTGACCCATTATTCTGATTAATTAGTGGTTAAACATCTTTTGGCATCTGAAAACGTTAGTTTTTAATCTAGTGTACTCAAAAAGGAACAACATAAAGCTTTATGCCGCCTTAAAAACCCAATCCCATGTTACGCAAGGCGTCGATAGAGAAAGAATAAGGCTTTGAGTCAGAACAGGCAAAGGCTTAGATAACTGCCAAAATACCTAATCTGTAGACCTCACAAGTCTAGACGATATATTTGTGCCTCTGTTTTTAGACTTTCAGAACAAATGCATGTGATGTGGTCAGTAGGCACATAAAAGAGAAAAGTAGTTTTAATCTAGAGACTTCAAACATTTCTGAAGGACCGAATTTGAAGTTGTAGGCGGTGGTGTCGATGCCAAAGTTTAGCGTCGTCCGCAAAGATAAGCTATCGTTATATCATCTCTATGCCCATATTGTGACAGATATTTACAAATGTGTCTGTCACAGACTGTATAATTATGTATCCTTATTATATTGTGTTTTGCATGAATGAAGAGTACCTGGCTAGCGGAAGGACTGTCTGAGCGATCGTCATGTGTTTGTCCATGCTTTTGGGTGAGATCGCTCATTGTACGTAAGGGGAGAGAAAGTAGTGAATAAAAGGGAGAGCGAAAGGTGAACGGGTGTTGTGTGCTAGAACTTGAACCTGAGGACTGTGGCTGTGAATGTAGGATGTTACTACGACATTTTGTTTCTTGACTGTGATTGTACTTATACCAGTTGTGACCATGGATTTACTATGGATCTATTAATTCTCTGTACAAAGTGTAAATAAAGTTATTGTTTCACAACTACTGTTGCTCGTATGAGTATATTGAAGAACCCACAATAACAACAAAGAATACATGTTGTTACATATGGTGTCAGAAGTGAGCGTCTACTGTTACATATGGTGTCAGAAGTGAGCGTCTACTGTTACATATGGTGTCAGAAGTGGAGGCAATAAAGTGATGTTGCTACATTGTATTACTGTTACTTATGATGTCACAAGTGGTTGAAGAATTGGTGCTACATATGTCAGAAATGGAGATATTACAGTCTGTGGTCTTCCACTGTTTACCAAGTACGTCAAGTTCTTGAAAGTCATCTATCTACACTCAAGTCAGAAGGGTTGCTGTAGTCAAGTCAGACGTTTTGTTCAAGTCAAGTCATCATCGTGATAATTTTTATCACCTTATTTCGATATTGTCTCACCAATGTCGAGTAAATATCGTCTGTGTGTTTTGTTCTGTTTGGATTTAGCTGTTCAAGTTTTTCTACTGTTTGGATTTAGCTGTTCAAGTTTTTTCTATATGGATTAGCTGTTCAAGTTTTTCTACTGTTTGGATTTAGCAGATCAAGTTTATTTTTGTAACTGTTCCTAAACTGTTCCTAAAGATGTCTTATCTAAAACTGGACAAATTTCTACTCTGTAACAGGCTACTAGAACTATTTTGAATTTTTTCAACTTTTTGGAATCAACAAAGTGAACTATTTTTGTACTATATATGTACTATGAACTTTTCTTGGATTACTAGATGTCTCTAATCAACTGAACAAAGCCAGAATACAAGAAAGGGTATTGTAAATTAATTAACATTTATCTATTGTCAACTAATGAATTTATATTTTATGTCATAGAAAATATATCAAAATGTCAAATTTTGAAACATATACAGCACTTGTGAAGGAACTTGACATTCCGAAGGAAGACAGGTTGGCATTTATAAAAGAACTACTAAAGAAAGATGAAGAGAAAGCTGCTAAAGAGAAAGCTGAGAGAAAAGAAGAAGAGAAGGCTAGAGAAGAAAAAGCTGCTAAGGCGAAAGCTGAAGAAAAAGAAGAAGAGAAGGCTAGGAAGGCAGAAGAGAGGGCTAGGAGGTTAGAGGAAAGGAATTGGAAAATAGAAGATGATGAAAGAAAGCACAAGCATGAAACAGAACTTGAAGAATATATGGAAATGGCGAGGGCGCAAGGCATTAAGAAGATGAATAAGCAGATAGCCTGGGCAACCAATCGACTTGCAAGAGACATAGAAGAAGCAAAAGAAGCATGGGACGAAGTACCAGAACAACCCCGACGAGCTCATGGAAATGTATTGAGAGAACTAGATGATATGATAGAAATAGTGTGTAATAGATCAAGAGCTATTACAGACATGCATAAAGAAGAAGACATTTCAGAATTAGATAAAGTAGAAGAGACTGTACAACCAAAAGGAAAGCGGAAAAAAAGAAACAGAAAACAGAGAGCAGATAAAAGGGCTGAAACTATGGAAAAACAAGTTGGCCTACATGAACTAGCATATGAACAAGAACTATTAGAAATGAAAGCTATAACAGACACAAATGAACCAAAATTAGAAAGTGAACAGATAGAATTTAAAGCAGAACTTGAAGAAGTAAATATTGGCAACCTTTGGAATGAAGAACAGAGTAACATAGTCCAGGAAGAATTGAAACCCAAGGATAAAACAGAGGTTGAACTTAATAATGATTTAAAGGTGACAGATACATTAGTATGTCTTAAGATTGACTCTTTTTTGAATGATACGCAGGTACACGAGAATATTATTGAAAGTTGTATCGTAAGTCCATCAGAGAATGGCAGTCAACAAGAAACAAGTCCATCAGAGAATGGCAGTCAACAAGAAACAAGTTCATCAGAGAATGGTAGTCAAAATGATTTAATAAGCCCATCAGTCAATGGCAGTGATGATTTAATAAGTCCATCGGAGAATGGCAGGAATCATGATAAACTAATGATGATTAATGAATCAGTGAACTTAATAAGCCACAATAAAGAGAACGTACCTATTGAGGAGTTACTTAGAAATCTGGAGTCAAACTTTAAAGAAGATATCCTAGAACTCAAGAATAAATTTAACAAAGAAATGGAGAAATTAACACAGAAATTTATGTGTGAATTAGAATCAATAAAGAAGCACAAGGAAGTTAAGAAAGATGAAACAGTAACTAGAAACTACAATGTCATTAATGCACAGAATGAAAGTAAAAGAAATTTAGCAAATTATGAATACAGTCAACATGTTAATAAGAATGTCATTAATGTCATTAATGCACAGAATGAAAGAAAAAGAAATTTAGCAAACTATGAATACAGTCACCATGTTTATAAGAAGCCAAAATCTAGATGTTTTTACTGCGGAAAAACAGGTCATTACCAAAATCAATGTTGGCATAGGTTGGCAAATCAGAGAAGAAACAATTATGTACACAGAAAGTCATGTGAGAAATACAGTAATTTAAGAAATGTATCAACTTCAAATCAGAATAACAAAAGTGTGAATAGGTATACTAATGGAAGTTACCGACGCAACACATATTATGAGAGGCCAAAGCAATGCCATAATATTTATATTGAGTTGGTTGATGAACCAAACCAACATACACAAAGCAAGATAACCACTGACGTTGTTCAGAAACCAGAGGAGAATATTAAAACAAATGAAGTAACACAAGTTACACGAAATCTAGGAAATGATTATGGTAGCACAGCTAAAAGCTACAATTTGAGGGAGAGATGGCATACAGGTCATCGTCAACTGCACGAGAACGATTACTCATGCTATAGAGGGTGCTAAGATTAAATTATCAATTTACAGTTTATTAATATTATACAGTCTGTAACTGTAATATATAAATATCAAACAATTTGTATCAGTAATATAAATTGTGTACTATTTCAAAAGATTGTAAACTGTATTATGTTAAACCTATTCTATACTATTAATTAACAGTGAATAAAGTAAATCAAGTAAAAGTTAGAGACTATTATTCCGCATAACAATAAGACGGAAGTCTCAATGATGAATTGTGTGTTAGCCATACCTGTGAAAGGCAATGTTGTTGTGTTGTGACCTAGAT